AATTTCCCGGAGGAAACGAAGCGGCGAATAGAAGAGATGCCTTTTGATGGTTCGGGACTCTTCCATTCACGTACCGACCATAAACTCAAGAAACTGCACGAGTCAAGAATGATGGCGCGCAGGATGGAGATCCAGTCACACACCAGACGTAAGTGGTCCTGGAATTGGCCATCCTACAGGCAGTCATACCAGCAGAGACAGCTGCCGCAACACCGCCAGCAACAACAGCATCAACAGCGCCGCCGCCCTCAGCCCCAACAGCGCTTCCAACAGGGCCGCCGTCGTTTCAACGATCGGAGGCAGCGCTGACGGGACTGGCGAACCACTCCTCATGCTCCTCTAATACCCACCCCCCTCTCATCTGGGGATCGGCCCCGAAGCCGACTCCCCATTTGGGAGTCCATCACATCTGACTGGTGGGTATTATCCATCATTCAACATGGCTATCGAATAGAATTCAACATCGTTCCTCCATCGAGTCCAATCCGGTCTACTTCATGTTTGCCGGTACTTCTCAACGAAATACATCAACTTCTGCTTAAAGGAGCGATTCATCAAGTATTCCCATCTGACGGACTCCACGGATTCTATTCCAGATACTTTACGGTCCCCAAGCGGGACGGTGGTCTACGTCCGATTTTGGATTTACGGGACTTGAATAAGTTTATTATACCGAGAAAGTTTTGTATGACCACCCTTCAAAACATTTTCCCATTGTTAAGGAGAGGGGATTGGTTCGCCTCACTGGACCTGAAGGACACCTACTTTCATATTTCAATTCATCCAAATTACAGGCGTTTCCTTCGTTTGCTGTTGCAAACCAACTTTATGAATTCAAAGTTTTACCCTTCGGACTGGCTTCAGCTCCAAGAATTTTTACCAAATGTGTGGCTCCTGTCTGTGCCTTCCTATGCCTTCAGGGCATACAAATTTACCCGTACCTCGATGACTGGCTGTTAGTCTCGCAATCCAGAGAAGGACTACTAGACACCATCCATACAACCCGTGTCTTACTAGATAGTCTGGGTCTACGTATTAATACAGAGAAATCTTCTCTTCTTCCGACACAGACGCTCACCTTCATTGGAGCCCGCTTGGATTCAACGTTGGAGAAAGCCTTCCTCCCTCAGGACAGACAGCAGACTCTAGCTCGCCACATCCATCGAATTCGACGAGAGGGAACGGTTACGGCGAGATCCATTCAGAGGGTCCTGGGGCATATGGCCTCCACAGTTGCCGTAGTTCCACATGCCAGACTTCGGCTTCGCCCACTACAATTATTTTTCAACAAGGTGTATCATCCACAAAGAGACCCACAGTCGAAACGGATTCGGATCCCGTCTTCCGTGCTCCACTCCCTGTGCTGGTGGCTGAAGCCGACCAATCTCGCGGTGGGAGTCCCCTTCAGGGCGCAACCTCCTTCGATAACTCTTGGTACCGACGCGTCTCTCCTAGGATGGGGGGCGATCTGCTCTGGCCTATCTACCCAGGGAACGTGGACTCCTCTAGAGTCCAAGAATCATATCAACTTCCTAGAGCTGCTGGCAGTCTTCAAAGCCCTTCGTTCTTTCGAAGACCTCCTTCATCATCGGATCGTTCAGATAACTTCGGACAATATAGCGACCGTTTTTTATCTGAACAAGCAAGGAGGGACGAAGTCACCGACCTTAGCCAGGCTTTCTATGACGATTTGGGATTGGTGCATTCCAAGACACATTACTCTGATGGCCGTTCATCTGGCTGGCACAGACAACGTGCATGCGGATCTTCTCAGCAGACACATCTTCACTTCGCACGAGTGGGAACTGGATCCTCGCACGCACAACCACCTGTTCAGGCGCTGGGGGTTTCCCGATGTGGACTTATTCACTACCCAACAGAACAGGGTGTGTGAGACTTACTGTTCGAGAGCGGGAATCAGACAAGCATCCCTAGGGGACGCATTCATGATCCCTTGGGACAACATCAACTTTTATGCTTTCCCTCCGATCCCTCTTCTGATGAAGGTCATAGCGAAGATAGTGAGCGACCGTGCATCGGGGATACTAGTTGCCCCCTGGTGGCCACGCCAAGCGTGGTTTGCAAAACTGCTCGACATCTCCCGCGGGGAGTTTCTTCATCTTCCGACACTTCCGTATCTTATAACGCAAATGGACGGCACACTTCGTCACCCGGACTTGCTCTCATTGAATCTGACAGCGTAGCAGATTCGATGATTGACCTTTCATTGCGGCCGGCGACGGATTCGAGAGCCTCGAATCCTACAGCTTCTATTAATTCATCGGTTTCAACTATCACTTCGACTGCTTCGGCCCCGATTCTCGAATCCAACCATGCGGGTGCTTCTCACTGCCACAATCTCTCTGTACCATCCGGTTCGAGACAGACCCTGTCGAATTTGAATCCAACGCTCTTGCACCCTGAGATTCAGCATATTATCGACGCTGCTCTAAAGCCGTCCACAAGAAAGTCATATACAGCTAAATGGAAGCGGTTTTCCGCCTTCGCCGAGTCTCATTCGTTCTCCCCACTTGTCTCATCAATTGAACAAATTCTTCAGTTCCTTCTGGAGTTGCATCACTCCGGACTGAAGCCGTCTTCTATTAAAGTGTATACGGCTGCAATAGCCTACTACCGTGGCTTAGTCGACGGATCACCCCTGTTTTCTCATCCTATTCGCAAGAGATTTTTGAAAGGACTGTATAACCTTAATCCATCGATTAGACCGGTTATGCCCACGTGGAGCCTTTCTGTAGTTCTACAGGCCCTTATGAGGGCCCCCTTTGAACCTTTGGCGACTGTGGATCTCCAGTTAGTTTCGTGGAAGATGGCATTCCTTGTAGCTGTCACGTCAGCCCGGAGAGCTAGTGAGCTTTGTGCCCTCTGCATCGACCCTCCTTATCTAAACTTCCACAGAGAAAAGGTTGTTTTACGTCTCGACCCATCTTTCTTGCCCAAAGTCTCTACACCTTTCCATTCAGGACAAGACATTGTACTGCCTGCCTTTTTTCCATCGCCGTTGAATCCCTTGGAAAGATCTTTGCACTCCCTCGACGTTCGGCGTTGTTTAGCCTTTTATTGATCGTGAACGGAGTCTATTTGGCGATCCAATAAACTGTTCATTAAATATTCAGCTAGAGATCAGGGCGACCCAGTCACTCCTCAAAGACTCTCTAAGTGGATAGTCCACACTATTACCTTGTGCTATCAGTTAGCTAAGCTTGAACTGCCTACAGTTCCCCGAGGCCATTCCACTAGAGCTGTCGCTACGTCTTCTGCATTCGCATCCGGAGTTCCGATCGATGACGTCTGCCGAGCCGCTACTTGGGCGAACCCTTGCACCTTCGCCAGGCACTACCGTCTCAATGTTCGGGCTCGACGGGACTGCTCTTTCGGTAGAGCTGTACTCTCCTCCGTCCTACAATGAGGACACCTTCCCTCCTCCTCTGATGGTAAGCTTGTTAATCTACCCATATGTGTGATGCACAGAGGCCACGACGAAGAAAAACAGGTTGCTTACCTGTAACTGATGTTCTTCGAGTGGCCATCTGTGCAGTCACACAACCCACCCGCCGGCCCCGCTCGGTGTCGGTGAGTGGACTCATTCATCGGTACCGAAAGTTTCCCATTTTTTTCTTGGTACCGATCCCATTTTCCTATCTCATACTGAGAATTTTTCCACAAGGGGGCGCACGTTCGGTCGTCAAAGACTGAAAAAATGGCGGACGCTCTGCTCTTTATAGCCCATGGGGGAGGGGAGCGGAGCTTCCCACCAAAAACTGTTAGCTTTCAATCTTCCGGCCAAAGGCACTGCGCAGGCGCAGTACCCATATGTGTGACTGCACAGGTGGCCACTCGAAGAACATCAGTTGTTTTTTATTTATTTATTTATTTATTAAAACATTTCTATGCTGCCCCTTGCCAAGGCCTCGGGGCGGCTTACAACATCAAATACAAAATACATTAAAACAATGTATTACAGGTAAGCAACCTGCTTCTTTCCACATATTGTTGCACTGCAACTCCCAGCACCCATAGCCAGCATTCTATAGGATGGTGAAGTTTCAATTCAACAATTTCCATGCTAAACCATGCTTTGGTATGATGTGAATAAGCAGCAATAAACCAGTATAAACCTTGGTCTTTTGTACTCCCCTCTCCTTTTCCCATGTGGCTATATGGTGCATGTTGAACCTCAGGTTTTGTCTAACTATACCTTGTTGTGTTGCTTGGAACTGAGGCTAGTTTAGTTTAATTGATACAAGTCAGTTTCACTTTGAAGTTGAAATACTTTAAACTGACCATAGTTAACATTAGCTACAGTTTGTTAGTCCAAAGAGACATAACAAATGGTAGCTAAAAAAGCAGAAGTAAAGGCTTCTGAACTGTTGTTGTGGGGATAAGATGGAGGAGATGTAAGCTGCCTTGAGCCCTTTGCAGGAAAAAGGCAGGTTATAAATCGAAAAAAAAAAAAATAATCTTTACAGGAGAAGGCAGGTGGAAGCATGTGAGCTAAAACTTGATTTATATTGCTCTGTACCATGGTTTACTTTGAAGTACTAATCCAATCACTATGTTTGGATTTTTGTTAATTATACAAGACTGAACATGCGGCATCATAACACTTGAATGACTTTAGTACAGACATTCTTCATTAAAATGTAAGAGAATAATGTGCTTAGTTCAGTTTTTCATATAAACTGTTGAAAATTGTATCTGCTTAATTTGTGGAATATTTTTATTTACGATTTGAAAAATCTTCATCTTAGCTATAGCTCTCATGCCCATCTAACTGTCTTGTCTTTAACCCATTTCTATATATCCTAATTGAACCTTCTCAATGGAAGGATGAACATTGCTTTTAATCATCCAAGGGTGTAATCGGGTGAAGAAAAAAATTCTGGGAGTTGTAGGACCCTGTCAAACCTTGCATAGGATTGAACTTTTCAAAACATTCATGGAGAGATCTGTCCCTGGATACTGAATATCCCTAGTTTTCCATACTGGTTTGCTTACATTCAATTTCCTGTTGTATAGCAGTGTCAATTTTGTGAAGAGAATACGATGCTCATAGCAAACACTCTTTTCCAACAACCCAAGAAACAACTCTACACATGGACATCACTAGATGGTCAACACAGAAATCAGGTTGACTATGTGCTTTGCAACCAAAGATGGAGAAGCTCTGTACACTCAGTAAAAACGAGACCAGGAGCTGACTGTGGCTCAGTTCATGAGCTTCTTGTTGCAAAATTCAGGCTTAAATTGAGGTAAGTAGGGAAAAGCAATAGGCCTAAATCATATCCCTGATGAATATACAGTAGAAGTGACAAATAGATTTAAGGAATTAGATCTGATAGAGTGCCTGAAGAACTATGGATGGAGGTTCGCAACATTGTACAAGAGGTAGCAACTAAAACCATCCCAAAGAAAAAGAAATGCAAGAATGCAAAATGGCTGTCTGAGGAAGCTTTACAAATAAATGAGGAAAGAAGGGAAGCGAAAGGCAAGGGAGAAAGAAAAAGATACACCCAACTGAATGCAGCATTCCAGAGAATAGCGAGAAGAGATAAGAATGCCTTCTTAAATGAACAGTGCAGAGAAATAGAAGAAAACAATGGAATAGGGACGACCAGAGATCCCTTCAAGAAAACTGGAGATATGAAGGGAAAGTTTCAAGCAAAGATGGGCATGATAAAGAACCAAAATGGCAGGAACCTAACAGAGGCAGAAGAGATTAAGAAGAGGTGGCAAGTTTACACAGAAGAACTATACAAGAAAGAGCTTAACGTCCCTGATAACCATGATGGTTAGGCAGGAAGTGAAGAGGAACTAAAGAGCCTCTTGATGCTGGTGAAGGAGAGTGCAAAAGTTGGCTTGAAACTCAACATTAAGAAAACTAAGATCATGGCATCTGGTCTTATCACTTCCTGGCAAATATATGGGAAAGAAATAGAGATAGTGACAGATTTTATTTATCTGAGCTCCAAGATCACCGCAGACGGGGACTGCAGCCAAGAAACTCAAAGACGCTTGCTCCTGGGGAGGAAAACCATGGGAAATCTAGACAGCATACTAAAAAGAAGAGACATCACCCTGCCGACAAATGTGTGTATAGTCAAGGCTATGGTTTTCCTAGTTGCAGTATATGTCTGTGAAAGTTGGACCATAAGGAAGGCTGAGAGCCAAAGGATTGAGGCCTTTGAATTGTGGTGCTGGCGGAGACTCCTGCGAGTCCTTTGGACTGCAAGGTGATCAAACCAGTCAGTCCTAAAGGAGATCAACCCTGACTGCTCTTTAGAAGGCCAGATACTGAAGAGGAAACTCAAATACTTTGGCCACCTAATGAGAAGGAAGGACTCACTGGAGAAGACCCTAATGCTGGGAACAACAGATGGCAAAAGAAGAAAGGGACAGCAGAGAATGAGGTGGCTAGATGGAGTCACTGAAGCAGTCTGCATGAGCTTAAATAGACTCCAGGGGATGGTGGAGGACAGGAAGGCCTGGAGGAATGTTGTCCATGGGGTCGCGATGGGTCGGACACGACTTTGCAACTAACAACAACAGCAGCAGCAGCAGTGTCAATATTAAAACAAGACAAAAAATTGTGATTTGAGATATATATTTCCTCAGAATCTCAGCTTGTCTGTTAATTACACTATTGGAACTTGTAATATGAAAACTGCATAAAGGGGCAACTTATACTCCTTATCTTATGCCAACGTTCCTTTGGATATGTCTTGATACTGTTCTTTGAAGTGAAAAGTTTCCAAGAAACTTTGGAGCAACCAGTAGAATTTCTTATTACTTTCTTAAAACACCAGATCCTCTTTTATGGCCAAATAGCAAATTGCTTTTCAGAACATCCAGCATTTCTTAGATTGAAAGCAAAAAAATTTAAAACCTTGTCATATGGGATTCAATAGGAGTTGAAGGACATACAGTATTGATGGTTCTTTCCCTGAGACACATGTGTAGGTAGTACGAGTTTTTTTCATACAAACAAGCAAGTTTATCTTTGATGAACTCGCTGAGAACCTAGGTAGATATTCAGATTCATTTGTTTCTCTGAAATTCTTTTGCTGCAGTTATAAAGTTTTTAATATATACAAATATTCTCTGTATTTGCATTTTTTTAAACAGTGTCTCTACAGGCAAAATCATTGGTGCCAGTGTTTTGTTTGTTGGTGGAGGACTGGGTGGAACTATTTTATATGCGAACTATGATCCACGCTTCCGAGAAAACGTAGAGAAGACCATCCCTTATTCCAGCAATTTTTTTGAAATGGTACTGGGCCCTCCATATGTTGTTCCAACACCAAAGAAGCCAGTAAGTTTTTGCCTTTGCCTTAAGAACATACACAATAATTCTCCAATTTTAAGCTGAGCTTTAGATCTTGTACACTTAACTGATATGTAACTGAGGAAGGTATCTGTTGAGAAAGTTATAAATAACCTGTGCCTGTGTAAAGAAACTGTGCAGACCTCTGCTGAAAAGCCCTTTTTAAAAAGAGGTAAAGTTTTGACACTTGCTGACAAAACTGCCAGGTCCTATTAAAAGAGGGGCAACTTGCACTTTTCCATGAACACCTAGAAACACTAGAAAAGTGAGACCACCCTTAGGACAGTCTAGTATAAAGAAGGATCTTGCAGTGAGGGGATGTAAAATCCCACCACCCCCTTTTGCGTGCAAACTTCAATTGTGTCTTGGCCTTTCTTTGGGAACTCAACTTTTGTTAGCTGTCAAGAGAAAGCAGAGGTAAGAAAAGGCCTTTTGGAACCTCCTTGGGTCAGTGTTTGAAGTGGGTACCTGATATGACAGAAAGTATCCTTGAGGAGGTTGAGCCAGCTGATGCTTCCGGTTGGTACACTCAAGGAATTGCATACCTCTGCAGTTGTGTAACTGTGGCAAAAACCCCATACCTCCAAGTATTTTGCACATTATGAATACAATATATATATTTTAAAATGTTTTTCAAGCGCCTGACCACCCTTCAGTGTACTGCTTCAGCAATTGGAAGGGGCTTTCAGTAGTAGTCAAAGTTGGATTTGCAAAAAAATAAAAAGGAAAAAGGATTATGGGCCAAAAAGGCAGCAATTAGCTGAATGGTGCATAATTGCAGAGGGGGAAATCCAGCCTGTGCTAGTTGCCCCAGAGTGGCTCTTAGCCACTTATAACGTAGCTGTCACAGGCAAGTCCTAAGGTAACCTTGGCAGCAGTAGCCAGGGGGTTTTGCTCCTCTTCTCAAACAGGTTTCTGGGTTCCTAGTACCCAGAACATGGCAATCCATCATGGTTAAAACAATATATAAGCCATAGGTTGTCTTAAACAAGCCACCCTGGTTTCACATGTCACAACAACAAACGGTGGTTTATCATCAGTGATACTGCCTTTCCATTTTCCCTGTGCTCCACTCCCCCTACACTAGGTTGATTGGAAAAAATCAGACTGCATCATAGGGACCTGCCTTAGACATTTCTCTGTTCAACAACATGACTGCATTCAGTTTCTATCCTCAAATGGGTGGCAAGAAATGGATCTTCAGTCTTTGATGGCACTGAGGAGCTCTCTTGCAGGAAGTGTAGCATCTGCTTCACCAGCACCTTAACAGACTTAGCTGCTCACCATGACATTTTGTCCTGTATTGGAGGAATTACTATTTCAGCTGCATTGAAGGGCCATGGTCTGGACACCACGCCCAGGGGGTAACAGTGCATCCTGATTTTGTTCAGTGGCTTAAAGCCACATTTGATCAAGTCAGGAAAAAACCAAGCTCCTTAGGTATTCTGCTTGTTAACAATGTGCCTCTCTTATATGTGTTATACTTTTTTAGGTTATGAAAAAAGTCTTAGAGTCAATTTACAAGTACAATGGGGAAAGACAGCTTGCTGCTGCTTAGTGTAGACCAGACTTTCCCAACCTCAGGATTTCCCAACCTGCAAATGTGAACAGAAAGAGGAATACAACTCACAACCAGTGTGGTTCTTGTTCTTTTTAAGAATGTTACAAGATTCTACTATGAGTTTGAACCATCCTCATAGTTTTGTCAGATTTGACCAGCATCACTTGGAAGATCTAAGAGAAGGGAAAGGAGAGTGTGATTGTTTCAAACAGTCTTAGAGTTTTCTTTTTCCTCCCCATTTCCCTGAGCACTTTCCAGACTTGCTCCCTGGAGCTGTTAGCTTCTTCCAAAATTCCCCCAGTATCAGCCAAATTTCTTGGAGTAGGTCTAATTACGAATCCCTTTGTTTTGTTCTCAGTATCCTTGGAGTTTGCCAGCAAAAAAGCAATGGGAGAGCCATACCATTCAGTTTTTAAAGAAATTCTGGAAGAAGTTACATTAGATCTAAAGAGCTTTGAAGGATTGTCTTGGTGACAGCCACCACTACCAAAGCTTTTCTTCTAATAAATTCAGACAGATCAGAGCCATTCTGGGTATTCATTGTACTTGACAGAACATTTGAAATTTCTATATTTGTATGCCTGAAGATGCTTCTAAGTCTTCAACTATTGCAAGAACTGCTTACCTATTGTCCATTGGACTGTCTGTTCTACTTATCTGTTCTGATGTTCTCAAAGTGCCTAACAGCAATGTCAGGCTGTGGCCTCTTTAGAAAATGAATACATGATTGAGTTCTCCAACATAACGGTCAGGCTACCACAGTCCTTTGTTACTGGGGTGTGTTTGTCTGCTTGGCTTTGGGTTTTCTCTATGTGAGTCAGAAGATTTTGGAGAATTCCTTTGATGGAATATAGAATGAGGATGTTTTACTGATCTCAGAATTTTGTGGTGCTTTTTGACATGCAGTTTGTTGTAATGTTTGGCTCCTGAAAAAGGAAACTTCTCTCATGCATGTTGGCTCTTTGCATACTTAGCTTTCTAACTTGAGTTAGGTCACACCTCTAGGAATTGAGAAATGCAAAAAGGATACATGTTTCTTTGGATAAGGTGAAAATTCCTTCTAGTCTGTAGGATACCAAGTGGCTAAAATTGCCATTGAAAAAGCCTTAGGAACCATGCTGATTATCTTTTCCCCCTTTGGATTTTAAAATAATAGCATTTAGAATGTAAATGACTACATTTTAAGTTTCTGTCAATGATTCTAAGTATATAGAGTATGTCCCACTTATCTCAATTGCTGCCAATCTTTGAAATGTGTGCATGTATTGTGGGGGGGGGGGGAGATGTTTAAGGTTAGGGTTGTTACATGTGTTTGCTTGATAGTTTGCAGATTACAGTAAAACTGTTTTTCCCAGATTCAGCCAGGAAAAATCACTTCTGTAACAGAAGTCACAAAAGAATCTAAACAGCCTGCTCTCAAATCTCCAAAGAGTAAAACAGAGGCTCCTTCAGCTGCTAGTGAAGAAAAAGAAGGTAAAAAGAAATTATAGAGAATAGAGTAAAGGATAGTGGTAGAGACGGAAGGGGCTTATAAGGCCATCAAGCCCTTGCTGTGCTTCCACATCTGGTCACCCATCCAGCTGCAGGCCTGTGCTTTTCCAGCTTAGAAAGGTGACTTGAAATTCTAACTCAATACATAGTTATGAATGCACACCTATGTTTCTTATTAAAATATGGGGATACTGTATAACAAGATTTTTTCATTTTTATAGATTTGCTATTGCTGCTATTACTTTATAATTTATTATATACCTTTCTTGAAAAAAAGACTCAAGGCATTTAATTTCAAACAAGATTAAAACATATACATTTAAAATTTGTTCATAAAAAGTTAACCTCATAGCAAATATATGAAATTATAGAAGACTGAAAGAATTATACATGCACACACACATTTATATATAGAGAGGGAGAGGGAGAGGGAGGGAGGATCTTTACAAGTTTTCAGTTTATTTGTAAGGTTGCTGTTGGAAATAAATTTCAGCTTATAGCATAGTTATGCTTTGTGGTTCTAATTTGTATGTGCATATATTTGCAGCATGTTCAGAAGTAGCTCAGATAATCTCAGCAACAGGTGAAGCTTTGTCAGTTCCAGCTCCAGGGATGCAGGAGGAGGAACATGGCAAAAGTCATATGCATCTTGAAGGAAAACAGAAACCTCCTGACTTAGGTATTCTTGGCTTATCTGCAAGCTTTGGAAATCTAAATCCAAAAGAATTCATCTCTGTTCAGCTTATTAAGAATAAATCCTATGTTGGACTTGTTTAACACATCAACAACCTCAGCTCTTCTTATTTGGACATCACAAAAACAAAATACAAATTCTGTATTTGTAGGCTTTTCCAGGAAATTGGAAGCAGTTTTAGTGTAGCGCACACCCCTGAAATCTGTGGGTTAATTAATTCACAGCTTGATTAGTTCACTTAAATAATTAACCATGAATTGTAGATGTTATGTCCAAACAGGATCTCTACTTTTCTTGCTGATCTTTGCTTCTGTCTCTTTAATTTTCATCACTACTGAATCTAAATTTAAATATATTTCATTGCATTTATGCTTATTGTTCCTTTTCTCTGTTGTCTTTCTGTCTGATGAATTTTTTAGATTCTGAACTCCTTGGGGTGAAGGTTTGAGTGACTCTTTAAAATCCTTAAGACAAAGTAAATGTACAATAGAAGTGTTTAGATGCCCCAAACAGAATGCAGCATGTGTTCTATTTTTATTTGGGAGATTTTTTTTCTTTTTCTTATCTTTTCCTAACTGAATGTACATGGTCCCAGTTCTTCTCCAGGTTTAACTAAGAGCATCATTTTTAGTAAAGCCCAATAAAAAGAAACAGTTAGTTGATTCACCCTAAGGTGAATCTAGATCCTGATGCAACCTTATTTGCACCAAATGATTGTATCAAACTGTAATTAAAATTCAGGAAGGACAGGAGAACATTTTTGAAACTGACAGTAGTGTTCACCAGGAGCCCACAAACTTTGGCAATCAACCTAGTACTTAACAGTCATCAGGATTTTGCCTTTATACTAATTTTTGCATGTTTGGATGTAAGTCATATTCTGTTCAGTAAGGTTTACTGCCAGGTAAATGTGCACAAGCCTGCCATCTTTGTACACAACCATGGTGAGCCTTCCTGTGAAGTCAAGGAAAAGCCTTTGCCCTCTCCTTTAAGGTCCAGGTTTGTGATTTGGAGAAGGAGAGCTGGGGTTCATTTAGACACTGGGTGCCTAAGGTGCTTCAAGCACCTGCTTTCTTTTTCAGATCTGGAAGAAAACCAGACCACCAAAATGAACCCTAATCTTCCTGTTTTTGAATTAGAGGGAATGGATATTTTCCTTGCCTTTTCAGTAAGCCTTCCAAAACTTAGCCTCAGTGCACAGATAATGTTACTCTTTGCTAGCTCTAAGTATAAGAGGAAAGTTGGAGCTCCATTTATCATACTTGCTAGAAGTTGAACAGGAATGTGGATTCCTTTTGTTCATGCTATAGTGTTAAGGTTGCTTTGTGTTTTTGTGTGGGTATCATGTGGTTGCATTGTTCCAGAGCACTGACATTGTTATTACTTAGATTTAAGTATAGAGCTTGACTATCCATAAAGAAGTCAGTTTGTGTGGCAAAATACATGTCTAGCATGCTGACTACTGTTGTAGCTAGATTAGTATTTTCTTGTTAGACAAGAAATTAACTCTCTCAGGAGTGTATGTTTGTTTTGCATTCAGTGTTTTGTTTAAAAATTTCTAATATCTAGGCAAAGAACACAGCCCTGGAGATTTAAGGGTTATAAAAGAAAGGCCAGCTGATGAGGTTGCTGCTCGTCTTGCACAGCAAGATAAAGAAGAACAACATAGGATTTTGGGTATGTAAGCAAATAGTATGGTTAAGTGCTCCAGATTATGCACTGTTACACAGATGCAAGAGCAGCTATATAGTTAATATGCTTGGGTTTTTTCAGCACATTGTAAAAGTATGAACTTGGGCATGGAAAGAATATGCCTAGTGTAGGGTGGATTATAAATTTCATCAAGATCCTAAGAACAACATTCAGATTTCAACAGGAAGCTTGTTTGAATTCCACCAATTTTTTGCCTGCAACTTTTACTTTTCACAATTTAGATTATGTAGCATAATGAAAATTTTGTAGTGATCTCACTAGTTCTGTGGAAATCTATTTCTAAATGTATGAGGCTTCAACCTTTCCATTTTAAATTGGAAGTATGATGTAAGAACCATTTAGTACACACAGAAATAGGAGTAGATTTAATTTGCAGTCTGTTAAAACAGTGCGCTATTTTCCAGGATTATTTATTTACATTTATCTTAATCCATCATTTATCCTTATAGATTCCAGGATGGTATACAGTAAATATGACCACTCAACAGTGATAAAGATCCACAAAACAATAAAATAGTAAACAAATGGAGAAGCAGAAATCACCAATATAATCACATATTTTAATCCACTTTAAGTGCTTTGGCAAACAAAATAATTTTTGCCTGGTATGGAAAGGACTGAAATGTAGTCAAACACACCTCTAAAAGCAAGATGTTCCTCAGCTGGGTTGTCACAGCAAGGAGGGCTTTTTCCCATGGAGGCACATGCAGAAGAGTCTCCCCTGCAGATTTTAAAACTCCGCCAAGCTGTAACAGGGAGAAATGCTTCTCCAGAGATTTGGGCCCCAAGTCTTCAGGGCTTTAAAGATAAACTGCAGCACCTTGGGTGGGAGTGAAAGTGAAGAGACTGTTAGTTCCTTTATGATTGGTTTAATATGATACCACTTAGCTGTTCCAGTTAAAATTCTGGCAGCCACATGTTGAGCTAGCTGAAGCCTCTGGGTATCTTGAGTGGTGGTTTCATCAAGAGGCTATGGTGGTTTCATCAAGAGGCTACTATAGCATGGATCATGATGGTCTGGCTATCCCTTTCTAAGAATTGTTCCAGCTGACAAACCATTCTAAGCTAGTAAAATGCAGTCCAACCCACTGAGGCCACCTGAGCTTCGGATGGCAAGATGGATCAAAGAGTATCCCCATGCTCTAAACCTTTCTTGGGGGAATGCGACACCCTCCAAAGCAGGTTGCGCATTCAGTCCCAAACAACAGAGTTGGCCACACTGAAGGGAGGAATGAAACCTGCTACATTCTATTAAGTTTTTAACTTATTGTTACAGGTAATCTGAGCCACTAGAAGATAACACAAACAAGATAAGTGATAAACAAACTAAAGCATATTTTTTATTTTCTCTGCCTAGCACTTGCATCATCCTTAGAAAGTGCTTTGAGTAGCACTGCTCGTGTCACCTTGCAAGCAATTACACTCCAGGAGGCTGCTGCACAAGCTGTTAATCTTCATGCTCAAAAACTGAAAGAGGCCATGGATAATTCAGAGGTATTTGTTGTTGTCTGTTGAACTGATGTACATTTTATTTGATTTATTTTTAATTTGTGTTTTACTTCATAAATCTTTTTGCAAACTCTGCTTTGATTAAAAGGTACAGCATAAATAAAATTATTTAAATTATTTAATTTATAAAATACTTTAGATAATTATTAGAAACTATGACATATTTCTATGACACATCTATTTTGTGTTTGCGCTGAGAAGTTGACAAACCTGAGATTTACAAAAGAAATAAAGAGTTGGTGAGCTAGCATATTTGTGCGGGAGGACAGGCATCCTGTTCCAGGCACCCAGGAAAAGTCAAGATCAGATGACTGAGTTTTGTGAAGTCTGCTGGTCCTGGTTTGTCCCTGCTTTTTGTTCACAATTGATTTTTTCTTGTCCTGCATTTTTTTGCCCCTAGCCCCTCTTCAATTTCTTCTTCATACTAGTTTAGACCCTATCTCTCCAACACATGTTTTTCTCCCTATTGTTACTGGACTGAGCCAATCAACAGCTGGGGCAAACCCGGGTGGACCCCAGACCTGAGCCAAACAGAGCCTGAGACTTAGAGCCAAAATCAGCTTTATTCTAGTGCAGTATAGAATAAAGGGAGACGAAAGGGGACATTCAGCCCAAAGCAGTGTCTCAAAAGTTACACCCCAGTACATGCGTTCTATACCCTAGGTAACCAAATAGGTCACCTAATACACATCTAATACATCAATACATCAATGTATGCACCCCCTCCTGCGCTGGAGAAAGAGTCCTTTCTTCTGTCAAGGACCAGATATTTCCCATGTCTATTTCTTATCTGCTCGAGATTCACACAGGCTTGCCATATTCTTACTCCCTGCACATGTGCAACTTTCATGGCGGCTAGAACCAGTTTCCACTGTCCCTTTGATTACTGTATTCGAGGTCAGGCTAGCATGTTAGCTGTGGGTTACACAAAGTTCATTTTGTTCGTATCTGCCCTCCCTTCTGGGACAGTATAACTGTGGTGTTTTTACTATGTGACCTTCCTGTGGCCAACTACTTTTGGGTCCTTTCTCTGACCAATTACTTTTGGGGTGTTTTGGGTGCTGCAATTGGTAACACTATCAGTAAAGAAAGAAGTTACCTTTTTGCGACGGGGTAGTGGGTGGGTTGGCTTTTGTGCTGTGTTTTTTCAGTGACTTCATGGCTTCTTTGGGAAAGAACTAGAAAGAGAGCAAACAGCAGTCAGTGCAAGGGTTCCTACAAGTCCACTGAAAGCTAAATAGTCATGCAGACATCAGAGTTCTTTTCCACCGACCATGCACAAGCGAGAATCAGCTGCCAGCTTTAGCTTCCCACTCAACCCATCAGACCTCATGGCATGTAGCAATAGGCTGATCTTGAACAAAGCAGTCACATCTACTGGAGTTGGGGCAACTGAATCCTTGGGCTGTATCACCCTTTCCCTTCAGGAGTCTCAGTTTGAGATTAAAAGTTGGAAACACTAGTAGGCAACTAGCATAGAAAGGCAAGGCCGAGAATAATGTTTGATACCTCCTCAACATGGCATATTTCTGCCAAACACAGCAGCCAGCGATTTTGAATGCTAGTTTCATTTTCATTAATGAGGATGGATCCATTCCTCCCCCTGCTGTACTACCCAGGCAAACGCAACCCAGGGAGTCTGCTCGTCCAGTAGTATCTCACAAATTGATGCCAGTCCTTTCTCCACTTTGGAAAGTTAACCAGTTAACTGACAATCTTCAAGATCAGTGATTTTCAGCTGCCAGTCTGCGGATGGGCGCTGGTCCGCCGGAGATTTCCTGCCAGCCTGTGGGGGTGGGGCGCACATCTCATTTGCCAGAGACCAGCGCAGGGGCTGGCTGTGCTCCACCACTTCTTCCTTATTTGGCATCACATTTGCAGGCAGTCTGGAGGTGCTGCCTGGGGGTGCCAGGGAGGGGAGAGACAGTTTTTTGTTTCTGCCTCAGTGGTCCCTGAGGTAGTTCAAGTTTTCGCTGCTCCTCAGCTGTGGAAAGGTTGAAAACCACTGTTCTAGATTATTGGTTTTCCTTGGATAGTTTCCTCCCCTCTTCTGTGGTCTTACAGTTTTTCATTTATCCATGGGAATGCTTTACCTATCCTCTTCTACTAAGCTTTAGCCACAGATGGAATTGGTAGAAAGGACTTTTAAGACTAGCTGACTACACAAAGCTTGTTCATGATATAACTGCTTTTCTTCTGAGTGACAGAGGGAATAAACTCATTTTAATAATATAAGTATGCCTTCTGCGCACCAACATGGAAGGAACCTTCTGGGCAAGTACCAGGATAACATAGTTTTGGTAATCTAGGGAAACACATTTTGATTTTTAACCAGCAGTCTATTACTCTTACCTGAGAGATCTAGAATACTATGTTTTTGCTAGGTTGCAAGTAACAAAAAGGCAGCTCAGTGGCGATCTTTGGAAGAAGCACTGAAGGATCGTAGGAGAGCTGTTGATGAAGCTGCAGACGTCCTTTTAAAGGCTAAGTAAGTCATCTACATAAACCTGGTAGAAAATCATGATGTATTCCATTATGCTCGAATTATAAAAAGATCGGGACTGTTTAATCATGACCAAGAAATGCCATCCAATATTGAATGACTTTGGGTGCTTTTTTTTTTTTTAAATGAACGTGAGATTAGGCTTGATTTTCACTGCCTGGGGTCAGTAAGTTTAGCCCTCACCCTAACAGCATCCCAAACCACACCCCTCTACTTTCTCCTGTATAAAGGAATCTTTACTTTTCCCTGTAAGAGTTAATAGCATTTATGTGGTGAGAGCAAATGATTCTCTGTTCCTGTAGTTTGGTTCTTTAAATGTATAAGAAGTCCTACATTTAGCTTGCCCATTGTAATGACTAACATTTTGCTAGATTCTAGAAGATTATTCAACCAACAGGACATATCTGTCTCAGTTTAATTTTGAATTTGAGTATCCAGTACATACTGTCTTGGTAACCTGTTGAGTATATGTGTTTTGATTTTTAATAAGCCGTTATTCTTTTGTGGGATAGTGTAAAGTTAGTCATTCTAACTTTGTCAGTGTAGACCAGGAGATGTGCTACTCTCTGTTTTATATGTAATCATCTAATTTTTTATTTAACAACTTTAACTTTGGACTTACCATAGTTTGCTTTAAAATCTTTTTAATTTAGTTCTTTGCATTATAATTCTTACAGAAACTGGTGATGGACCAAATGATTTAATCTGTAGGCATTACTTACTCATGTTGCTTGGTTTTGTTTAGAGAAGAAATGGAGAAAATGAAAGGGGTGATTGATGGTGCCAAGAAGTCTCAGATTCCTGGGGCCAAACCACATATCCTGACTGCAGAAGAGAATCTTCATCGTATGATAGTTGACTTAGATAGTGTGGTCAAAAAGGTGAATGTAACCCAAGTAGGGTTTTATTTATTTTATTTATAAATCACACAGAAATGAATGTTTAGCCTTTCCAATTTCTATATGTGCATGTGCACACACATGCTAAGTGGAGCTAATATCACTTGTTAAAATCCTCTTACATTTGTTTTTATATTTTATTTGTTTGAGGATATGGGGGTACAGGGTAAATCTTCCTTGAAAGGAATATACCTGAAGCTAGACAATGAGAACCGAGCAGTGGGCAGGAGGACAGGTTGTGGTATAACAGCTCAGAGAACTCTAATTACAGGTAGACAGCCTGTCTGTCATCTTCTTGGTCTGTGTCCAGTCCCAGAATTAGAGGCAAAAGGGGTTGTTTATTTATTTATTTATGTAATACATTTCTATGCCACCCCCATCGCAACAAAGCCTCGGGGCAGCTCACAGCCAGATGGACGGTTGCTCTCCATCTGGTCTAGACCAACTCCTCAGAGCCCTTGCTAGCTTGGCCAGTGGTTAGGAAAGCTGGGAGTTAAGTAAGGACAGGTTCCATTTGGGAAAAGGCCAGTGTTTGTGACAGGAGGCTGTAGGGTAGAGAGAAGCAAGGGAGCAGTTGGGGAGCAACTTTTTGGGTTACTGAGGGGGCAGAGGGATGATAGTTTGTAATGAAGAATGGCTTGAATGATGTGTTTGCGAATGGATGGAAGGCACATCTGTGTATATGAGAAAGATACAGTTCAGGAGTGATCCAGTGAGGGTGTGTACTGGAGGGTGAAATAGCTCCCTCTAAGACTTTCACAATAGCATGACTACAGGGATGTAAACCCATAGCTGGGACAAGGCTTGGAGGGAGTGTGCTGTCAAGGGACAGCCAGGATCCACACTGAACATTATCCCAGCTCAGGCTTCAGAGTCATCTCCCTCCCCGCACTTTGAGTCCTCTTGATAGCTTGCAGAAGTTGAGCTGTCAAGTGAGCCCAAAGGAGTGAGGGATCTGTTGCTGAGAAGAGGGTGGTTTGAGGCTTTTATACCCTCTTTCTAAAAAAAATGGTAGCCATGTTATAAGTGAAGCCGGGGGTCAGACTAGATGGCCCAGGAGACCCCTTCTGACTCACTCTGTTTCTTTGTTTCTAAAATTTCATTTCTCCCTTCACCTTAACTGCCAACTTAGGGATGTACATTTTGTCCATTTTCCTGAGAGTCCAGGTGCTTTTTTCAAAGGAAAGGTGTTTTTGAAAGCTTTTTATCATAACTCTGGGTCCCTTTAGCAGTGGGGTTTTGAACAGGGACTGGGTGGTTTTGGACTGGGACTTATGTATATATAGGTCCCAGTCTAAAATTCCATTTCTCATTCAGATTAACAAGTTGGACTGATATATCAGTGGAGTTGGCTATAGCCATTGGCCAAGCATTGACACTTGCTTGGAGCATCCCATGGCAAGATTGGCAAGATACTTTCCTGCTCTTGTCATAGGATTTGCAGACTACGGCCAGTTATCAGGGTATGGATGACGGATGACATGACAACCCATTGTGGGTATTCCTAGAAAAAGCTGTGCATTGTTGAGCTATCTTGTTGCTCATGTACAAGCCATCCTGGAGAAGTTGGCAGGCTCACATGCTATGTTCAATATCAGATGCTCTGTTCCTCCTCTGAATTAAACATATTTAAAATAATTCCTGAAAAGTATGCTTAAGTGCCTGCCTGCTTTGACTATATTTACAAACTGGTGTGTTTTTGTACTGTTGGGTACATAATACAGAAAGGAATTCCAGTATCTTAAGAAAGGGACTCAAATGGGAGATTATTTCTTTCTGAATCTTTCCTTCAGTGTTTTGCCCCTAGTTATTTCTGTGATGTCTGATAATTGTTGCTGTGTGCAGTTCTAAGCTAACAACTTAATACCTGCCTTGAAACGTAAATCCTTACTTATTTTCTGTAGGTGCAAGCAGCTCAGTCAGAGGCTAAAATAGTAACTCAGTACCATGAGCTTGTATCTAAAGCAAGAGAAGAATTTCAGAGAGAACTGGATAGTGTTACTCCAGAAATTCAGCCTGGTTGGAAGGGGCTAAGTAAGTAGCATGGTATCTAACATTTAGTTGTGGTCTCAACACATAATTTGTACAGGTATGGCAAGTTTATAGTACTAAATCAGTTCCTGTTGATTCTTCTCCTCCTTCCTTAAACTCTTTTCTAAATGAAGATCACTGAATTCTTCGAGTTTTTAATCTTAGGTTACTTGTTTTATCAATTGCTTGTTTTCTTGTGTTTTGAACTGAGACAATTCTGGTAGCTTACCATCCATATAAAATTCATTAAAAATTACCTGTACTCTAAAAATGAAACCTCTAATTTTGTAGACTTGAGTAAGATGTGTCTTCAGTTTGATAAGCCACATGAATCTTGATGCTGTAATATGAAGAACAATGAAAACTGCTAGCTAGTGCATCAGCTGATATTGGTATTAGATAGGAATACTTATTTGATTTCAGCTCTACTAAGAACTATGTTCACACTGAGTTAGTTGGTCCATCCTTCTATATACTGTCTACTTCACAGGGAGCATCTCTACAAGGACTCAGCTGTGTTTCTTAGTCACCTACATGATACCCTTTGAAGCAAAAATGAGCCTGACACCACTAAATGCAAAATGTAACTTCTACCATTGACTTACAGACCCTCTCAAAGGCCTTGTCTTTTGACCTTGTACAGATCAAAACATAAACCTCTAACCCATTCAGTTTTACAAGAAAATTGAAAACTAACACCAACTAGTTGCTGTTATTCCATATACTGCTGTAATTAAGTTCTAAACTTCCCTTCTTCACAGAATTACTCTAGGCAATGTATAAATGCTCAAATGAGCTCATCATAATAAATATTAAGACTTCATTTAACAAATTAATTAACATTCAATAAAGCAGAAATACAGCAATTCTCCAGTAATAATAAAGCAGATAATAAAAGTATGCATTTGAATGAGAATGACCCATAAAGCTCTTGCTTTTTCCCTACTCTTGGATTCAAGGGAGAATTTGACTGAGAGTCTGAGAAGAAGGCTCAGGTATGCTTCAAAGTTTTTTAGGTAGTTAATTTTCTAAAGGAAGCCAGGCAGGTGACTCTGAAGGTGGTTTGTTAATCAGAGTGAATGCATTTTAACAATAAGACCCAAAATCCTCTCTTAATCTAGAATAAATCCCAGAATGCAGTTTTTCAAATTGCAGTGAAGTGGGTAGAGTTTGTGATCTAGTTCAAAAAAGCCGCATCTTTTCCATCAAAAGATAGGACAGACATTGTCCTCAAATGTGTTAATTTTCTAAAAGAAATGGTATCCATTGCAGCAATGAATATCCAATGGGTCAAAAGTTGCAAAAAAGCTAATTTTAACCCCCTTAGCGTTCTGTAGCTGCTGTTAATGCCATTCTTAATGGGGGTACGGAGGAGTGCATGAGGGTGAAAATGCCTCCCACATTGTGCACCTCTGCCTTAAAGATGCCAGAGGACTCCTGCTGCTTAGAAAATAGTTCCTTACTCCTTTACTTTTGTAACAAAACTACTTGGAGAAGGAATTACAATAGGTAAAATATTGGCTAAAATCCCTACTTTCCATGCAATTTGGGTTGTATACTAGAAAACATAAGCTTTTTGTAACTCATATATAAAAGTTTTTGGTGGAACAGGCTTAGACTTCACAGTAAGAAAGGAAAAGGGGAAGAATAATGAAAAATCACACATTAAGAATTTAAAAATAATTTCATGAGTTTGTTAACCTAGGCAAAATGTGACTTGTTGCATCAGTCATTAGAGGTGGGATTGGAGTTTACAGCTGATTAGCTGACAAGGCCAATCAGAATTTGTGAGTTCCTGATTTTAGTATTTCTCCTCCCCTTCACTGAAGATAGTACTCCTTCAATAAGGAATAGCTTGATAACACAGCTGGTCGGAGGCAGTTGCATTGCAATATTCTCCTGTACTGGGTGATGGACTACCCCTTCCCTGAGAAACTCAGTTTAATTCCCTGCCTGCTACAGAGTTGTCTTCCTCTTCGATCCTGAGAATATAATTCAATAGCCATGTTACCTTTGCAAGGTACTGCTGTCTTGTCTCACCTGGGAAGGAAAACATAAAGTCATGCCTAAAGATCAAAGAGATTAAACAATGTGCTAAGATTGCAGCTTACTTCAGAAAATTAGTACCCCTTTTTAAATAAACTAAAATAGGTTAAGAGTGGTAAGTTACTACTATATGTAAAAGGTTATTGGATCATTTAAAAAGTTTTGATTCACAAAAATGTGTGCACCATCTGGCTCAATTATTTCTGTTTAGAACAGAGAGAGGTTGTTTTCCATATTGCAACACCAGGGTAGCCACCAGCTGGGACATGGGAGAGGCCCTTCTCTTCTTTGGAACTTTGCTTTTTTCCTGAGTACCTTTTCATTCTGATAGGAATTTGGCCATTTGGGTTAGCTATATTTTTTCTCCCTAGAATTTTTGCAAGTTTGAATCTGCTACCTTGGTTACCCTTCAAATTGTTTTATTTGACTAAATTATGTTAGATTGCATTTGTAAGCCACCCAAATGTTTATATAAAACAGAAATACAGGATACACATTTTCCAAAGAGGTAAGTAAATAAATAATTGCTGTTTGAACATTAGGTTAAGTTCTGAGGGATTAAGTTTGCTGCTTTGTATACTGTTTACATGATTTTATAGAACACTGAGATAGAAATAAATGAACATGATTAATCAGAAGAAGATATACCTGCAACTCCATTTTTCTGAGCTGGATTTATTAGACTTATATCCTGCCTTTTTCTTACGATCTCAAAGCGGCTTACACCATTTTCCTCCTCCTGCTCTCAGTCTTATCCCCACAACAACAATCCTGTGACGTAGGTTGGGCCGAGAGTCTGTGACTGGCCCAAAGTCACCCAGTTGTCTCCATGACTGAGCAGAGAATGGACCCCAGGTCTCCTGAGTTCCAGCCTTGTGTTCTTAATCACTACATCACACTGGCTCTCATATTCTTGAGGAGGATAAACGACAAAACTTTTTTCCCCTTTAAGGGGACTGTTAGCATGTACGTACAAACATTGTTTGTCCTTTTGAGAAGCACCCAAATTTTTGCACCAAATTCTTAAGTTGCTTTTTAGATTCAGGACAAGACTTGGGAAGTGGTGTTTTTATGAATGGTTAGAATGCATTTTGAGTGGGGGAAAGTTCTATGGCCTTTGAACCCCTCTGAATCATGTCTATAATCTAAACTGCACAGAGAAGTTAAATAATAACAATAACCATCACCATCATGAAGTTCATTCCTTGTACATCTTTAACCAGGTGTGTTTACCTTTACTTCAGTATGACTGTTGTGGGTTTCTGAAATTAACCATTTCATGTTGTACAGTCAGGTATACTCTTGATGTTTCAGAGTATATGTTCTGGTTGTTTGCTTGTATTCATATCCTTGCATAATTTTAACAGCTGATTGATCTACGTCTGTGAACAATGTTTAACTTTTCCAAACATTTATTTTCTCTTACAGAAATAACTGATTTAGGTAAGCTCTTTACATGTATCTTCTTTCCACATAGACATTACATGTCCTTTGATTACAAATAATTACATGCCTCTTGTGATTTGGTTCTCAAAGTTAGCTGTCGTCACACAGAAAGGGTTTCATAGGGTGAACTAATCTAGCCATTATGTCTTGTAAGAATTTGTCAATTTTAACATGATAAATTCTTATGTGTTAGCAGAGGCTTTTAATGTACAAACAAAAATTTACTCTGCAGTATTATTATAGACTTGAGCTATCCTTTTGTTTCACTGGAATCTTTGAGTAATCAAAATAAAATGCTTCTTACAAGCATTGGTTAAAGTCTGAAGTTCTGTTCCTAGTGGTCAGGTGACTCTTTGATCTAAGCTTTAAAAAATATTGCCATTTTATCCTCTTTCTAATATATATATCCCAAAATTCACTGCCTGTACAGTATTCCCCCAAAATTTGTGGGGGTTCCATTCCTAAAGCACCTGCAAATTGTGAAAAACCGCAAATTTGGTGCTGATGATGGGCGCTGGCCGCCAAGGCAGTGCGGGCTGGAGGTGTAGGCCGGGCCAGCCCAGGCTGGGGGGCAGGCACACATGTGCAGCGAGACAGGGATGGGTGCGTGCAGAAATCGTTTTCTCTGAGCAAGTCCAAACTTGGAGGAAACGATCTCCTTGCGAGTAAGCTGCCGTACGGTGAGGGGCCGGCTTACTTGCAAGGAGGTTGGCTTGGACTCGCTTGGAGAAAAATTCCGCGAAAGACTGAGGCTGCAAACGCTGAACCGTGACTTCACGGGGGTATACAGTATTGCATTTTTCCTGACATGAAGTTAACTGCCAATGTGAGAAAATGCATCTGCTATAATTGGGTTAGGTCTTTTTTGTTTAACTTTGCTATGTTTAGGTCCTAAAAGACTTCTTGAATATGAAGGAGCACAAGATGGTGTGCTGGAGTGAAAGAAGGTTAATTTGAAAAGCATTTTAATGTTATTTTAAGAGTATAGGGATTCCTCTTGGCCTTTGCATCTGGCAGCCTTTTTTTTGAATTTCCCAGAAAAGCTTCAGCTCTGGAGTAGGGAGGGAGGATTATTTGATTACTTCTTATTCTGAATTCTAAACTCTGCTCATATCAAGTCAGTATAAGGATATGATGCTCCTTGTGCAGTTTGGTCTTTTAACACTTTGTTCTCTTCAGCTGGACAACTGACAGCAGACGACTTGAACTCTCTCATTGCGCATGCTCATCGACGTATAGACCAGCTCAATAAGGAGCTGGTGGAGCTAAGAGTTCGAGAACAGCAGCACATTGACTCAGCCCTGGAAAAACAGAAACTTGAAGACAAAAAGGCTTTTGAGTCAGCAGTGGCAAAGGCACTAGAACATCATAAAGCTGAAATCCAACTCGAACAGGAGAAGAAGGTAAGAGTTGCACTTCTGTCTTTTGGTGGGTGTGGGTATGTGTGCTTGTGTGCCTGTGCACCTGTGAGGAATGCCTGTGTTCAGTGTTATGTCTGCTCAGTGATATGACCAGATCCAAGTAGAAACTTTGGGCACTGAAGATATGGTTCTCACATGGCTTTGAGTGTATGTTTTCAGTTGCTCCATTTGTGCTCTCTGGGAACCCAGTCTGGGCACAAGGTCCAGCTACTAGCAGACATGGCCAAATTAACAGATCAGGCTGATGCACCAGTGGAGTTGTCTGTAGCCATCTGGCAGTCCAGGCATTGAGCAAGTACTGTGATAGGGAATGTGCAGAAGCAAGGTGTAGTTTTTTCCCATGGTGATGGACATCACTACTGGCTAATGAGACCTGTATCTCTTGTGAGGGCAGGGGAGACTGGCAGTTGAAACTGCCAATGATAGCTAAAGCAAGACTCTTGTATCTATCTCATGGCTGACCAGAGAAAGGAGGTGGAAGAAGTTAAAGTCAACTTCTGTGCTTTGGAACTGAGATGAGGGCAGAACCAGGAAAGCTGCAACCTTTTCAGCACTCTCCACAACAACGGTTCCTTCTTTAACAGCTCAGAACCTTAACAAGCACTTGTGTGACTGATCACATTATTTTTGCACATGCAAAAACTGGATGTAATGTGGGGATGATGGCCAGATTTTGAAATTCCGGATTGTGGTTGCCATACTTGTGAAAGACGGGCCATAAAATATTGAATTGTTTAGTTAGCAGAGCCAGGTTGTTTGTCACTGTGGTCCCACATGTCTCTGTTTAACCATAATATTCTGGTAGCAATAGAATTGCCTCTATTTTGTATTGTTGCCATGCTTTATTCATTTATGCTGCTGCTGCCTCCACAATCATAGGGAATTTCCAATGTATTTATTGAAAAGTATTGAAGTGTTGGACTACAGTATAAGACTATATAAGACAAGGGCAGATTCTATATGTCATTATATATGTCACCAAGCCCTGGCACAGTCTGAAAACCCTTCTTGAATATCCTGTTCAGTCACTAACATGTGACATAAAAGTCCTGAAAAAGCAGGTCCCACAAACAACTAAGTTGGAATGTACTTTGTTGTAAAGGAAGGAATCTGAAAGGTCTTGTTACATCCCTTTGTTTTGTTTTTCAACCTCCCAGTGCAATTGGATGGAGATAAAACATTTGTTCCATAACACCCAGCAGCTTACACTGAAGCCAGTGAGGCTGCCCAAAACCAATCTGTGCTCAGACAGTTATAGGCATCTGTGGGGGGCAGCCCCTTTTCCTGTCCTGCAAAAAGGTTTTTTTGCTCCAGGGTGTGAGAAGAGAGAAGACTGAGGCGCATATACCACCAGGAAACTGTGGATGCTGGTGATGCCCCTCTCCTCCCTAGCATTTTAAAGCTAAAACATCCTATACTGTAAATGACACATCTCCCTTGGAATAAGTCATGAAAGTCATCATCTAGAGACCAGCAGAGAGGATTAAACAACAGAAATGCAAGTTGCACATATTGGCTTTACAGATTCCTTAAATGAAGGCCACAAATACCAAACTAACAATAATAGTCAATATTCAGATTTATCATATGTAGTTATTGAAACATTGTACCTTTAGGGCACCTTTAATCAAATCTTGCTGGAATTTTGATACATAGTTTAATTAGAATTAAACTATAAATTGTAAGGCTATCAGTTTTTGCTGTCCAAGCACTCTATGAACAAAAAAATCAAGTGGAAGTGGGAAATACAATGTAATAACAATTTCATTGATCTGTTAGCACACATGATTGAGCACTTGAATAACTGGGAATGGATTCCATTTCTTAGGTAAATTGTACACTAGAGCCACTGGATAAAGAACTTTTCATGTAAGATAAAATAAGTAAATTCCACTTGGCAGGTTGAAGAAGCCCAAGCAGTTATGGAGAGTGAAATGAGGACCCAGCTTCGCCGCCAGGCTGCTGCACATGCTGATCACCTAAGAGATGTTCTTAGGATCCAAGAGCAGGAATTCAAACTGCAGTTCGACCAGGTGGGAGCTTGCATTATTATCGTGCAATGTTTTAATTTCAGCAGTTTGCACTGCTGGATAATTGAAGATTTTCCTTCCCAAAATCCAGTCATAACTATGGTTATGTACAAAGGAATAGTATTGTTCTCAAGTTGAACTTATTAGTATGTAGACATGCTTTAGGACTGTACATTCTTTTGTCGAATGCATTTGAATTGATTTCAGTAAGCACATGATGGATTCCAAAAACACAGAGGGAAAGAGTTATTCTTGCATGCCATATGTCTTAACTTTGGGAACAGAGCTGTGCCTGGCTCCAGCATCCTCACCAGCTGCAGCCTCAGATCTTTGTAGTTTGGATGGAAGGTTTAAAAGGGGTGTAAAGATTGAAAGTATTGTGTGTATGTTCTTTTAAGTGTTGGTAAATTTCAGAAGAGCAAAGCAGGTAAAAGAGGGGAGATGAGTGAGTGAGGGGATTGGTTGGAGACTGAGAGTGTATCGGCAGAACATGGAAGTGTGTGAGGAAAGAGAATTAAATACTAGCAGCAGTCAATAGTCAGTTGGAATCAGTCAGCATTCTGGAGAATCTGAAGAGGCAGCCTTCTCTTTAGAATCCCATACAGTGCTGTGGAAGCCATTTAGGAAAGGGAAGGAAATAGAATACTTAGAGGATATATTAGCAACCAGGGAGAGTTGAAACCTAATATTGTCAAGTATTATAAGGAACTGAGAGATGGAAGCTGACAGAAACCTGACTGCAGAAGAGAAACTGAGATAACTAGAATAAAGACTGGTCAAAGAACATTCAGAAGAGAAAGGAAGATTTGAGGGTGAGGAGTGATTGTGAAGGGAAAGAGTGAGATACCTCAATCACAAGTTATTAATATACACTGTTTTATTTACTAAGGAAATGAGTTACAGAACATCTTGAAAGCAATAAGCTGTTTGAATACCAGTGTCTTGTCCACAGGATTACATAGTCTGGGGTGGCCATTCTGAGGCTTGGGAGCCGCCTGAATTTACTTTGCAGCTCACCATTCACCACCGGGGGCACCTGCAGGCATCCATTTGCCACTGCTGCTCGTCATGGGTGCCTGCTTGCAGCTGTCAAACATCTGACATTTGCCATATGTGGCTCTTCCATTGAACAAGTCTGGCTGCCCCTGTCATAGTCCAATGAAGGAGGCTTACAGCTTGGGCACAATATTGAGGGAAAGGTTAATTAATAAGATTGGAATTAAATTCCTGGTGGCAGTGTTACATACTGAGTGAAAGAGAGGGTAATATCAAGAAAGTTAAAGGCACACCATATCTTAAACAAGTTATAGGAGTGTACTCATGACTGGAGAACTCTTGTGTTTTCTGGCTGAGTCTGCTTAAAATCCTCCAAATAGGGAACAGTGATTGTGTGGGACTCTTCTGTTCCTTCCTTGCAACATACAAAAGAACTGAAGCTGCAGCTATGAGGATGTTTGGAGCTACTATGCACAACCCCACTCCTTCCTCCATGCTGTCTCAGAAATGTCTCTTGGAATAACAACTGTTCTCAGAACATGTGGAGGCAAATACCTAACTAGGGCTTTATGAAAGCTTATTCTGATATTTTGTTCACAACCAGTTTTGGGTTTCAGAACTTATCAGAAAAACTCAGTGAACAAGAAATGCAATATAAACGCCTTGCTCAGGAACAACTTGACAACTTCACCCTGGACATCAACACAGCCTATGCCAGGCTGAGGGGAATTGAGCAGGCAGTTGAAAGTAAGTATGGGAAACTTAAGATAGCTAATTTATTTTGCTGAAGCAGTTGCGTGAGTGGAAGTCAATCCATGATTGCCATGTGCTTGGCTTAGACTGGAAAAGCAGTGTAGGTCCTTTTCTTGAATGTGCAGGTGCAGGACCTCACTGAATGCAGGCAAGTAGGCATTGCCACCAATCAAGGGAACATGTTATTTTTGTTATAGTTTATTCAGTTCTATACTTCCCCAGAGCCAAAGCTCTGTGTGCAATTTATAGCAGTCCATAAAACAGATATTAAAATACAAGTATTTATTAAAATGCAAGTATAAATATTAAAATAAAAACAGTTATTAAACTACAATAAAATATAAAATTAAAAAACATTAAAAGGTTTAAAAATGTCTCTGCTTCTAGTCAGAGCAGACTGGGTCCTCATAACACCAAAATTGTGATTCCTTCTTTTGGGTACCTGAAGAGGACCGAATGGACTTTGCCATAAGTGTATCCTCCATTCTTTATTTTCAGTAATAAAGGAAAGCCTGTATTCTTAAAGGACTACCAGCAGCAGGGAGGGAAAACATTTCCAAAGAAGACAACCAGTGGCAGAACTCTTTGGATGCTTTGCTTAGTCAGGCAAATAAACTCCACTTTGTACAGTGCTCAAGAGGAGGGCATTTAGTTCCTCAGGACTTTGAACTTAACTGCAAAAAATGGTGTTAAAGGCTACTTGTCTAGAGCATGCTCTGGTGGCTTCAGTTTTGTGCGAAGTGTCTTCATAGAAGGGCCATCACTAAGTGATGTAGCACGTTTTGTGCAAGGAAATTCAGATTGAATCCTGACATGTCCAAGTAACGCTGGGAAAGACTCCTCTCTGACAACTGCTATCAGTCACTGTACTGAAGTAGACTAAACGTCTGACTGCCATTTGTCAGTATATTTTTCTGCTTCTGCAGTCAAATCATTCAGTTTAAAACACTAATCTGGGAATGCTGATAGTGCCCTACTGTTTTTGACAGGGCTGCTGTTAAGGTAAATGAAGTACAGCAAGTTGTGCACCCAAAAAAAGCACCATTTAAATACTTTGAATGTTTAATTTATTTTTACAGGTGACTTTCTTACTAGTAAACTTTATGGGATTTTATATTACAGGCCATGCACTAGCTGAGGAAGAAAGCAGGAAGGCCCATCAGTTGTGGCTTTCAGTTGAAGCTCTAAAGCAAAGCATGAAAACTGCTTCTGGAGATAACACTACTGAGCCACTGGAGGGTGCAGTAGATGCTATCCAAGCCAGCTGTTCTGACAATGCCTTCACCCAGGCCTTAACAGCTGCCCTTCCCCCAGAATCACTCAGTCGTGGAGTGTACACAGAAGAGGCACTGAGGGCACGTTTCCACACTGTTCAAAAGCTGGCTAAGAGGGTAGCATTGATAGATGAAACAAGAAACAGCTTGTATCAGTACTTCCTGTCCTATCTGCAGTCCCTTCTTATGATTCACCCTCAGCAGCTCAAGCCACCTTCTGAAATTGGCTCTGAAGATCTAGACACTTTTAAATTGCTCTCTTATGCATCTTACTGTATTGAACATGGAGACCTGGAACTGGCAGCTAAGTTTGTCAATCAACTGAAGGGAGAATCCAGGAGAGTAGCACAGGACTGGCTGCATGAAGCTCGGATGACCTTAGAGACAAAACAAGTGGTGGATATTCTCACTGCCTATGCCAGTGCTGTAGGCTTGGGGACAACTCAGGTAGACTGATGTAGGTCAGCTATGGAAGACTGCTGTATCTCCACAAGTAGTCCAGTGAAGTGTCAGATTTCAAGCGTGTTGGGAAGGAAATCAGAAGCTAGCTTTAAAGCAGTTCCAAACCATACTGGGCTTTCATGTCACTGGCTGAGAAGTGGCGCTCTAATGTCCTAGTACTTTCCTAAAACTTACCACCTGTTGCATTTGTACCCCACTTTTTCTGTCATTTATGATATCTGGAATTTTCTGCAAATTAAAAAAAAGATGTTTCCAGGTATTGATCAGCTTTGTGAACCAACCAAAATAATGTTTATACCCGCTATTACTAATTTGCCACTTGGTGCACTTAAATAAATTGGTGTTTAAAAAGAAACCAAATTGCTTTTCATTGCTATTCAGATAACTTTTAAAGATGCTAGAAGAAAACTTTATAGCAAAATGGTATGTACTGCATGAAGAATACTCTGCTGGATGATGAGATAGCAGGGCTGTGTACATTTCACAGCTGTCCAGAAGTGCAAGAACAGCAATTTGAGGATTTCTGGAGAATAGCTTTCATTTAAAAGCAATTATGAAAAGAGGTGCTTGGAAGTGTGTGAAAAATCTTTGCTGACATCTCAGAAGCCATAAAGCTGCCTAAATAGAATGTTATGTAGTTCCTGTTCCTTTTCAACCATCAGAAACAAGTGTCATTTGCAGGATCCTTTATTACCACAAGCTGATCTTTAATACATTTTGAGGTACCCCATAGAAAAAACTGAGGTGATGCCTTCTGGGAAAAGCTGATGCTTGTGTCAACCTAATTGCACAAAAGGCACACCACTGCACGGATGCAGTACTCTTCACAAATCTCCATAGCCCTCTGTAGAAATGATACTGTCTTCTAGAGCCTGTGATCCTTGCAGGAAGGGGTAGCTGGCATCCTTAACTGCACTTTAGGACACAGTTCTTTCCCAAGAGCCATGATGGACAGGTGCCTTCTCTGTTTTGGTTGATTTTCTCAGTCAGTATGTGCTTGGACTCGCAACACACTGTTAAATCAGGCTACAATATTCACTGTATGTGTATTAAAAAAACCAATGCCCACCCTACTTTAACACGTAGTTTCACAAAGTCATCCATGCTACCTTGGTGACATTGCAAGGTTCAATAATATTGGGCTTTTGTGAATATAAGACCACAAAGTCAAGTCACTAGCAAAAGCAAATAGTGGTGACCGTATGGATGTGGCTGCATGTTTCACTGTGTTGGCATGTGTTAAGTCTTTATCAGATCTTCTTCAGCTGGTTCTTTACTGAAGAAATTATTCCCACATTTCTTCCAGTATGGAAATGAGATTCTAGAATGTTTGCCACCACTTTTAACCCAGTGTTCCTTGTTGTGCTCCCGGCCGCCTAATCAAGTACATCTTGCTTATCAGAGACTGGAATGTCCCAACACCCTGTATTTAAAGAATTAGTTATTGCTAACCTCGGTATTGCTACCAATGTGTTCCCCAAACTGTTTCTTTGCTTCTCTGATTGTCCACTTGCATCTCCCCTGTACAAGCTTGTGGTCCCATTTATTCTTTTTCATTTGGGCAAGTCTTCCATGTTCTGAAGGAAGCTTTCTTCTCCCTAATAGCTTCCTTGATTCTGTCATAGAATCACAGAATAGTAGAGTTGGAAGGGGCCATGAAGGCCATCGGGTCCAACCCCCTGCTGTTGCAGGACACCATGTTCCACCATCCCACTCAGATAGCTGTCCAATCTCTTTTTGAATGTCTTGTGTGGGGGAACCCAACACCTCTCTAGGCAGCTGATTCCACTCTTGTATTGCTCTGACCATGAGGAAGCTTTTCCTGATGTCCAGCCTGACTCTGGGATGCTGCAACTTGAATTGATTATTCCGTGTCCTAAATTCTGGCATCAGAGATCTTGACCTTCCTCTTTGTGACAGCCTTTGAGGCGCTTATAGAGGGATATCACGTCCCCCCTCAGTCTTCTCTTCGCAAGGCTGAACATGCCCAGTTCTCTCAGTCTCTGCTCATCTCAGCATCACCAAACCTCTATGCCGTATTTCCCAAGTTTACTGGCCAGCTGTTACTTCAGTGGATGGATAAGTACTCTTCACCAGTTTCAGTGTTACCACTCTCAGATCTGCACTGTAAGAACAGCTTCCACTGCACTCGGGTGTTGTTTTTGTATATGTGGCAGCAGACTGTAAAATGAAGAAAGTGTAAATATCTACTTTGGTTGGCTGCGCTTTATTCCCCATCCCTTCCAAACAGGACAAAACCCTATAGAAGTGCATACATCACCACAAATGTATCTTTTTCCATCTTAAGATTCTCCATTATGTAAAATCAATAAAAATACAGTAAAAATCCCCCACTCATTTCCTTGAGTCACTGTAGTTGCATTTGAAGAGGCCATATCCTTCCTTTATCCAGTAAGAACACTGAATTAGTGAGGCTGGAAAAATGTTTCCCGTTGAAGTAAATTATTAATGCTGGAGAGATGCGTCTTTCTTCCAGACGGACACCTTTTCTGCAATTCAAAATGTTAAACAATCTTCCCTGAAACTCTGCATCAGAGATAATTGTTTACTGGACAAGTCTGCAGCCCATTAGAGCAATATCCACATAACACTGGATTAGTTTCAGCAACTCAGCTTTTGGGCCAACCTGGCTCTCAAAAGAGTTTGGTGTGGAGGTTAGACTGCTGAATTGGGCCTTTGGCCAGTTGCTGGCTCTCAGCATATCATACCTCACCATGTTGTTGACAAAATAAAATAGTGGAGGAGGATCATGAAAGCTACCTTGGGTTTTCTGGAGGAAAAGACAAATTTAAATGTAACAAAAATCACCCGTAGTTTTATCAAACATCTCTTGATACTAAAATCAGCTTTAGCTTCATCAATAGTCATGAACAATTTTGTATTTCATTATACTACATTGTATGGAGTACCTAAACTAATGTAATGGCAAAAACCAATAGGTTATAGACCATTTTGTTACCTCAGGATGTTTTGATTTATAGAAAAATAAACTTGTAAAGGGCAGAAGGCTTAAATTAGGCAACACTTTCTACAAGGGGGGATTTCTCACCCAGGAACATCAAATGTGGCTTCTGTGGTTGCTGCTGCTGAAGACAAGGCAATACCCTGCTGCCACCGCTAGCCCAGAGCTGTGGCTGGGCACTGGTGAGGCAATGTGTGGACAGAGGCAAAAAGCAGCACAGCACCCCCAATCACAGCATGGCTACAGCTGGCTCAGCAGTTACTAGGCAGACCAGGAGAGCAAAAGTGGAGCTGGGAGCATCTGCTGCAGCCACGGCTGCTTTTGCCACCAAACTCAATGGCAGAAATGTGGAAACCAGACAGAAACAGTGCATCCAGGGTCACACATAATGACAAGCTGTGGTGAAGAGTGGAAACCTTATGGCAAAATGTTTCAAAATGTGGTTTCATGGAAACCAAACATGTCATGATCAGGGGTCTTCAACAATGCCAGTTGAAAGGTGCCGGCAGCAGGCCCAGGCCAGCAAGGCGGTGCTGGCAGGGGGCGCAGGCCGATGAGGGGGTGGGGCGCGCCCAGCGAGGCAGGGGGGCATGTGCATGGCAAGGGGGCGGCTTGCTCATGCGGAGATTGTTTTCTCCAGCGAATCCAAAACGATCTCCACGTGAGCAAGCCGCTGCCTCAATGTGTGGGTGCATGCGCAGTGAGTCCAACCTCTCAGGTGGGCCGGATAAATGGGCATGGCATATAGCAATGGAAAGGCCATAGTTTCAGGACCCATGCTAAAGATAATGGATTTACACATAAGCTGCCCCAGTGTTTTTAACTTCTCAAAATATTTCATTTTTAATTCATTCGCTACATATAAATAGACATTCCTTCCCCAAATTTTCTTTTCAGAAGCACACTCTGGCTTGTCTTGCATTCTGCTGGGAAAATTTCATCTTAGGCTCAGGTCAGTGAGAACTTACAGCATGTCAGCACAAATGCTTCCATCAGAATGCTGTGCTGGGATCAAGCTGATTGAAACTTAATATGAGAATATATCTCAATAGTCCATTTGTTTCTTTATGAAGATTATAGCTTAGGAGAACGCAATGTAATGAATAATAATTATGCAACTTGAGAGAAATGCAGAAGACAGTAATTTCAACTCATTTTAGCTTTGCCAGTATAAGATCAAGTTTAGCAAATGCAGCACAACACACCCCAATGCTTGGAAAAGCTGGTCTAGACTGTATTGCCTAATGGGACTACCCTACTGTTCAAAGATCAGTAAAAAGGTAAAGAAAAAGATTTCCACAGAACATTCCTGTCGCAGGTATACTACTGTGTAGTGATCTTAACACAACACAACACCCAACAAGAAATCAGGCAACCATACAGTTTCTTTTATTTTAGAGGCAAATCAGTAGGACAGTAATTATGTGATTCATATAGGCAGTTCTAGTTTTCAAAATGGAGCTGTTCAGAGGAGAGAACCAGTGTCCCAAAATATGGTGGGATAGAAGTTCTTATCAATACTTGTTCATCATTAGACATGAGCTTGGATGATGAACAGAATTGTTAATTACACCAGATAATGTGCAAGCTCCAATGGGCAGCTGTCACATACCATGTAAGAGTTGTCCCTTTCTTTGGGAAAAAGAAGAGGCTTTTTCCGGCTTCTATTCCTCATCACTGCTGTCACCAACTTCTGCTGACATATCAGCCAGAGCACTCCTGTAGGATCAGAATACAGGACACAAATGTAAAATGGACTGTAATGGTAGAATGATCTCACATTGCTGGCAAAGGCATAACCCTGATCCTGTCAAGAAAGCACCTGCTTGAAAACAGGCAGAGCAAGAGCTGCATGAAAGGGAGAATAGGGGACAAAAGACTGCTCCAGAGATCTGAAGTGGCCCTCCCAGTTTTTCTGTTCATGGACCTCACCTTTGCTCTTCAGAGAGCTGAAATTCTTTTTGAACTCTCTGGATAAGCTTTGCAATGCATGGTAAACTGAAATCAGCAGTCATCTTTACCAGGTCAAGGGCCTGCTCTGGTTGGTTGTTTTGTTTAATGCAGTTCAAGACCTCATTCATCACTTCATCACTGCATGGGAGACAGAGAGAGAGAGAGAGAGGAAAGGACGAATGCTCCAACAACATTTCTATCAAATCTGGATTTAATACAGGATTCCATCTGCAGAGTTATGATATAAGCTATTGTGGGGCTAAGAGATCTCTTGATTTAACACACAAAAGTGCCCTTTGCTAGCAACACTAAAAGGCACATCTTTGGTATCCCCTAAAGTGATCAACTAAGCCATAAGTGCAGACAGACAAACAAGCAAAACAAAATAAAAATCACACTTTTCTAAAAACATTTAGTATGAACATTGAGAGGAAGACTATAACACACACACACTGCATGCAACTGCTCAATATATTGCTAAGATTGCCTTGTTCTAGCCCTCTCTCTGTTATTTCTAGTGGTTCTTTACCCTTTGTTATTATATAAATGTGTAACAAAGGGTACGCATTTATATAATAACAATTTTACGATAATATACAATGATCATTATTAAATGATCATTGTACACAATGATCATATTTGTACAAGACATCTCACCCTGTGAATACAACTCATGGTGACCCAGCAGTCAATCTGGCTAACTGTTGTTCTCCATACACTTTCTCCTTTGGTCCACTGAGAGGTATCCCAGGGCTTGATTGGTCGAACTGATCTTATCTCCTCTCCCTGCTCCTATCTCAATTGCTTTTCTAGTTGACACAGCTTGCTCCTCCTCTTCTTTCAGGGATCACTTCTAATTCTCAAAGAAGAGTGACAAGCAGCACACTGGAGCAGTCTTCACTGAATCACAATTGTTTTGTGCCAGATAGGTGCACAAATGTTCTAGTTAATTTTACTTACTTTTTTCTTCAATCGTTTGAAGCTGTTGACCAAAATGTGAGCTCTTGCCTGGTCAATGTTCTTGCTCATCTCTTACCAGAACACTAACCAGGCAAGGCTTTTGCATTTTGGGTATTCTTGCACAACTCTGAAGTACCATTGCTAATAATAAAAAAGAACCCAAAACATTTGAGCACTTTTTTGGTGCAAAAAAGATGCAGAATTAGTAATGTTCACTTCAGTGTGCTGCTGGGCATATTGGAGGAATGGCAAACAGCCATCTGCAGAAAGCAGAAAGGAAGAAAAGCTTTTATGGAAAACACAAGCATATTGCACAACTGACTGAAGAAAGCAAGCATGTAACAACTGATCCAAAGTGCAATTTGGACACTTTATGAAGCAGATGTCATTACCAATGCCCAAGGCAATATTGGCAAAAGAGGCAATGGGTTTTTGCTACTTTTGCCAAGTAGCTCATTCATGAATGGCCTGGGCCCACAATGGGTGCCAATGTCATCTGAACCTGGGTGATCAACCTCATTGTGGTTCCAGTGATCCTTAGAACAAGCCACTGGTTGACAGGGTAGCTTGTTGCCAAAGAGCGAGCCACCATGCAGCAAGTTGTCGAAGTAACACACCAACTAACCATGGCTAGTTACTTAGAATGGGTTGCCAGGTCATGTGAACACAGTCAATGAGTCAGATCAAGGTTTAGGCATATACAACTGGGCTGATGGAAACAGAATCAATCACCCCTCATCCTCCCTCCAATTTGTTGTAGGTATTATATTTTAATTTTATGTTGTGAGCCGCCCAGAGGCTTCGGTGAATGGGGCGGCACAGAAATGTTTTAATAAATAAATAAATAAATAAAAATCTCCTGAAAATGCTATATAGAAGGATGGTAGATCCTGCTGAATGGGGTGCACTGGCACAGCACAGATCCCTTCAAAATGGGCAGAGTCTTTCCATCAATGGAAGACAGTTCTTTCATTCACCCTGTTTAGTACACGTTACCACCTTTCCATATATCTGATCTGCAGTGTACCCAAAACAACTTAGGATAATGGTGGCAGCGGAGAGACAACCCAGTCCTCTTGCAGTGTTCCCTTGGAAAGGTGGAAGGGACCAACTGTCATGCACACTGACTCAGAGGAGTCTTTGGCGCACACAGAGGAGGAGACTTCCCGTGGGAACCAGGCTTCGTTGCAGGAAGTGTACATCTGGTGCCAGTGGTACAACCCCCCCCCCGCCCCCGACGAAGCTCTTCAAAGAGAAGAGGGCGCGGATGGGAGTAGGATACAAGGCGGAACTGATAGTGAACTGCAGTCGGAGGGCAGTCGGCCAGTTGCCAAGAGAAAAGTTGAGGAGCCTGATGATAACAGTCTTGGGAACGCGAGAATTGGCGTTGGCCCAGCAGCGGGGTTGGAAAATGCGTGCTCTCACAGACACATGCACAGACTAGGGCAATTGGAGATGAGAGAGTTGGAAAGAAGTCTGTTGGATCTGCCCATCGAGGGGCGGCCCAGGTGAGTCAAAACAATTCCATAAGCTGATCTCTCTCAGAAAGAGAAGACAACTTTGCCATTTTCACCATCATCATCATCATCATCATCATCATCATCATCGTTTCCTGTAACTGTATTGGCAACATTTCATAAAATAAAGGATTTTAGCTACAACTGCCTGGTTCGTTGTTTTCATTGGGAAGGAGCACCAGCCTCACAACACCAACAACCTGTAGTAAGCCAGATTGCCTGTTGGGCTCACTGTGGGTTGTTTCACTGACAACTGACCTACTGTGGCTTAGCATGATGTGTGAATGTGCCTAAGCAGCACTGGGTTCTCTGAAAAACAGAAACTTACCTGGGAATTCGGTTGTGTTTCCTGAAAAGCTCCAACATATTCCTGTTTGGAGATAAAGTGAGTGATCATTTGCTATAAACTGGCCAGAGAGCCATGTGGCTATTGTGATGGTCTATAAAAGTTTGAAATTAAAAATAAAACAATTTGAACTTCTGAGACAGTTCTCTCATGATAAGTGCACCCTACTGTAGAGATGCAGCAACAGAAGAACTATACCTGTTGCACAAGAGAACCCACTTCCTGAACCTAAGAAAGAACTAATTACTACACAAATGAAAATTAACTTTTATTGACTGCATTTTTTGGTCTTTGTTTGCCTTTTAAGAACTACCATGTTGTTAAAATAAAACAGAGGATTGAAGACCACTGAAGTAAACATATTTTTTTCAGGGCAGTAGTATATCAGAGATTGGGTATTTTGGAGAAGCTGTCACTTTGGAAATAGCAAAGTGCCATCTCTGAAAAGACAAAGGGGCAAAAGCTGTGCAACCACAAAGCATACCATGGCTGGAGTGAGGAGAGTAAGCAAATGACAGCTGCTCCAAAGTGCCACTTGGGCAACTAGTGAAGTCGCTCTTGCTGCCAGTGGCCCAAAGCAACCTCAGCAACAGAGGCAACGGGCTTTTGCCAATTTCACCATTTTGATTTTCTTCCTCATTTGAATTCCTTAATGTTGGATTTGTGTTCAAGAGAATCAGAAAAGCATATTGGAATACTGGCAGCCGGAAGAAGACAGGAGTCCTATAACAGGAAGAGTTCTTTCAAAGGAACTCCCACGCTCTAAAGATGGGGGTGAAAAACAGCAGCAGCTCAAAGACTTAACTCATGGGTCCTGAAACTAAGGCCCAGGGGCTGGATCTGGCCCGCCATGCCCATTTAACCAGCCCGCCCCACAGGTTTTGCATTCGCCAGGCGTGTGCGCAGGTGCGTGTGGGTGCACGGCTTGCTTGTGGGGAGATCGTTTTGGACTCAGAGAAAACGATCTCCTCGTGAGCAAGCCGGCACCTCACCGTGCGCATACCCAGCAGCAGCTTGCTTGTGGGGAGATCGTTTCGGACTCAATCAGAGAAAATGATCTCCTCGCAAGCAAGTCGGCGCCCCTCCCTGCATGCCCTTCCCCCGCCCCTGCCTCACCCTGCCCCCAGTGCCCTTCCCCCTGCCGGCACTGCCTTGGCGTCCTGCGCCTACCTGCGCCTACCATTGACACCTCTCAACTGGCCCCCCGTTGAAAAAGTTTGAGGACCCCTAACTTAACTGATGGACATGCCTTTACTTGCTTCAGGATTTCCTGATATTTGATTTGTTTTAGCATTTGCTTCCAGCACGAGACCTAAGTTGGTGGTAGCAGTTTTGCTTTACTTACCAGGCTTCTGCTGTTCTCCCAGCCCTGGCAAATAGAACTGTAGAGTTACTCAAGGAAGTAGCTGTCCACTGTAGGTAAGTGGGTCTCCTTTCTTGTATCTCATAGAGAGGCACTATATCTGCAGCACAGTCAGCAAATGCCAACTGAATCTGAAAAAGATTTGACTTAAGAATCCTTTTCAGTTACTTTGTTCTGCTTTTCATGTTTGCTGCTGCTGCTGCAATTAGTTTAACAATATATCTTATTATATTTTATGATTTATTTATTACCCATCTTCAGAGTCAGTTTTTCTGACAAGGGCAGGATAAAAGCATCACTGAAATTAAGAAGTGTGTACACATCTTATATTCAATTTTATATTATTGGGAGTCTGAGGTATGAGAGTATAAGCACAAGCCAATAACACATAGGTAGCAGTTTGAGGAAGGCAAGCTCTGCGATGCAAGCATGGCAGATCAGCCTGTGGCTCAGAAAAGATGAAAATATGATGAGGCTTCTTCCATTGTCTTGCTCTGCTGACAGAAAGTTTTACAGCAATTTCTCTGTCTTTAAGAAAAGACTTGATTATAAAGTGGGTATTTTTGGCAGCTGTCATCTGCTTTCAGGCCCCCACACTCCTGCTGATGAAGGGAAAGCAAGATTGTGAAGATGGAAAGAGGGAGAAATGAGTTGCCTAATGCTGGGCTTGGAAGCCTAGTGGACGTGACCTGGAACTCCATGCTGCTGCTCAGCTGCAGGAAAACAGCAGGGAGTGGGGCTTGAGGGCAGGTGGTGAGGCTTCCCTGTGCCTTCTCCCAGGGAGAGAAGCAGCGGGTGCCTTTGCTCTGCATGGCCACTCCTCAGGTGAGAGCTGACTGCCCGGAGTGAGGCACCTCCTCCTGGGCTGTTAGTTCCTTGTGAGGGTAGCTTGGCCCTCTCCCCCAGGATTCTGCATGGCTGCCACTTGGGGCTGAGTGCCAGCTGTGCAGAGGAAGTCCTAAGCAGTCTGGTGCTGCTCTTCCTCTTGGCTTGAATGGCACAATAAGCCACCTAGGGCTTCCTGAACTCTATAGCAAGCCATCACATTTTGGCATGGCTTAAAGCTACCCCGGGGAATCATGGGGGCTGGAGTGCACGGTATGTCACCGTCTCAGTGGCTTAGTGTGTCCTCCAAACCCAATCAGTGATGGGCTGCAGTCAACCAGGGAGCTTCAAGGCTGACAGTGCTTGGGCTGCTAGCTAGGGATTAATTAACCAACTCACACAGCTGAACTAGTTTTTCACACCAGAGTCCCTTCTCAACTTACCTCTGCAGAATGAGTATCTCTGGCCATGAGAGCCAGAACTTCCTCCACAACATGGGGCCTACAGCCATGCCCGAGCTGCTTGATATCTTTTCAGAGAGGGAAAAGAGAGAAAGACAATTAAGAAATGAAGCCATAACAACCAGTGAATTGCTGAGAAAAATGGTCACATAAGATGCCCATGATTTCACTGAAACTGCATCTTTTGCCTGATAAACACCAAACAGTTGATTAGCCATCTAATAATGTCAGTTCTGAGACCACCAATAGTGCTATTAAGATCACTGTACTTCTGTGAAAGTGGTCTCTTATTTTGGGCAGGGAAATTTTCTCTTGCATTACTCTATACGGCATAATGTGTACTGACAGAATCGTCTATGAACACAAAACACATTCAAGTCACTGAAACTGTATGGCTTTATCATAAAAGGAGAGTGTGTTTAAGGAGAGTCAATCTGACAGTCTTTCCCAATCAAGCTGCCAATACCAATTCATGGTTCTGAATCTGAAGTATTTTGTAGATTTGGTGACTCTAAGTTAATCTAACCAATATTAGAATATTAAACTTAGTTACCCAATTAAAATAAAAGAACAAACATTATTACTGACCTTTCCAGATCTGAGGAATAATTTCCAAGTGACTGGCTGTGTCCAATGCTTGAAGAAGATGCAACATCCCGTTAGAGTTTGGGTAAAACATCTGATGAAATAAAAGTTTTTTCCCCCTCAATCATCAGCTTCATTTTCTTAAACTTCAAAAACATCCACAAATACACGCATTAACAAATACTTACTGAAGGAACAATTTGTTTATACCATTTCAACACAACATCAAGTTGCTCCATCAGACACAACAACTTAAAAAACCTTCCCCTGTAGAAAGAAAGATCAAATTATCAAAAATCTAGCAGTATTTGAAATGGAATTCTAGTCATTAAATCTCCTCCATGACATCAGAAAAGCCTCAAATAGTTTATAATAAAATTATTCATAATGTTCTACAGCACGTGTAACCTTAGCACTCTAATATTAACTTGTGTGGGTTGCCTGTCAGTTTAAATCCTGTTTTTCCCCTGACATGGTAGACTGCTTTCTAGGAACATGGCAACTAGGTCTGAAGGGTTATATTGCTGCAAGTATTATTACATATATGGTTCAAAAGAAAAGCCTTGTAACACTCCACCTGCCCACAGAGAGATGCCCTCTAAAATGTTCTAGCCACTTCAAATGCCTTCACTGCAAAAATAAACTATTCTGTCCAACTGATAAGAGTATAAATACTTCTAAACTGGAAGCACATGCTGACATTTTGAATGAATGCAACAAAATACATTAAGTGGGAAGTCTGTGCAACAGTTACCAGTAAGAAGCCTGCTGTGCAGTGGTTCCCATCATTTTCCTGTTCTCTCCAGTCTTGACCACTCTATGTAGTTTATAGGCAAGTTGAATATCCTTTAAGTCCAGGCACTACAATGAAGGCACACAGCATGAGTACATGAATCCAAGACATACAAGCATCCTGCTGCACAGGGTATCACAAAGTGTTTTCAGTGTTAAGAAAATAAGCACATTTTCAGTTAAAAGTTTTGCGAATGACTATGAATTATTAAAATATCCAACCTGATCCCCATCCTAGAGCTTAAGGATACAAAGAAGGATACAAAAAAGTGGTATCTTTAACTTTTGCATTCTCTAATCAGCAGGGCTGATCAACAAAAGTCTGGCACTGAGTTCTTCAAATTTAAATTGTCAATATAAGGACTCAGTTTTCAACACAGTTTCCTTTGCTCTCAACTGTTCCACAATGAAGTGTGGTGACTATGTTGAAAGGGCAACTGTTTCTATCCTCCTCCTATCCATGACTACACACTATAGAGGATATGAATATGGAACTTGACCCAAACAGATTCCAATTTTTGTTTTACTCTACTATAATGTACAACACTTTGGGAACTATTCCAAGCTGAAAGTTGCACTGGACCTATGTCAATTTGGTTCCAAATAGGGTAATGTGTGTAGTTTAATAAAAAAAAAAATCAAAAATATACTGATGCTAAAAAGAGAAAGAAGTGTGTGGTTGATTGTGAAGGTTGGTGAAAGAGAGGAACCTGTCTACCAGAACAGATCCAGAATCCTTTGTAAACTAACCAGTAGATTTTATAGGTAGCTGGAAAACTATGAAAGTAAAATTCATATTGAAATGTTAAATAGCAGAAACAAATCCACTTACTACTTTCATTGCTTTTGAAAAAAAGTTGCCTGAAAAGGAAGAAATAAAAATCCCTGTTATTCTGGGTTACTAGAAGATAAGTGATCTATCAGGTTCAAGCAGGACTGATTCAGTTCTCATGACAGGGCAATCCATTGTGGGTACATAGCTGTAGTAGGCTGCCCTGTAGTGCAAATTCAGTTTCCCACATGGCGTGAGAACAAGCTACCCTGCCCAACCATGGCTTGTTCTTGCCATTGTTGGACCCACAGGATCAACATGTCATTTGAACCCAGCATACTGATGCTATAATGGATCCAGGGAATTGGGGACCATCCCACTTAGCAACAGCAGCAAAATCTCCTTGTTGCATATGTGCAGTTCCTCCAGGTTATGCCAACAGCTCCAAGGGCACAAGTGGAATAATCACTGGCTTACTCCCCTGCTATAGTTACTGACCCCCTTTTTCAGTCATTCCACCCAAGGTTAGGATTCTTTTCAGAATCCACAGACTTCCTCTTGTGTTCAGCCTTGTCCTACAAAATAAGTTGAACCAAGAGGAAGTTCTCAAACACTCACAGAACTCTAGTTGCACAAGTAGCAACATTCCCCTTTAGGAGTAGCTGCAGGATGCAAAAGAAGGGAGCTGCAAGCGGTCACACCTGCTGCCATGTCCAGGACCAACCTTCTTCCCCACTTGCTGCTGCCAGCAGTGGTGGTGGCTGTGGACAAATGGTGCTGATTGCGCAGCATATGGGGGTCAATTCCTGGCAAGAGCCCTGCAAACATCAGATATGTTTGCCAGGGACTCAGACCCTGGGTCGCTGTCAAGTGGACTGGGATCCAGGAAGCCAAAACCAGGAGATATGATGGATTCTTTGCACAAAGCATTTTACACACATCCCTATAACTCTAGCTTTCTTTTGGAGATTGCTTTTTGTTATCTATAAAGTGATAGCAAGTGATCCATCACTCCAAATGATTCTAGATGCTCGGGAAGGTGAAAAAGAGCCCCCCACCCCTATGGAATCACTTGCAGAAAACCATACAATCAGTACATATTCCTGTGGTTTTTTTTTTAAATGACAACTTCCTTGGAAATTGTCACAAGTAAATATTCTAGTAAATGGGATGGGCTGCACTTTTGCCCTTCCTAGGCTTGAGAAAGAGTGGAAAAGGTAGAGGACATTGACAACTGACAAGTTCAGATATAAAATCTAGGAGATCTCACTGCAACCAAGTGAAGACCTTGCGGCTTCGCTCTGTGCTTGAGAGCTACACATTTCATAGCTGTCAAGTGAAAGCAAAGTAACATATTTGAAACCCAGCTTTGTCAACATCCATGGATGAAAAAAGCCTAAGCTATTACAAAGGTAGTCATGAACAGAGGGAAAGGAAACCAGACAGGTGCTGCCACACAGCTTCCTGAAATACCTGCAAAAGGACTTAAGGGAAAGGAGTGGGGGTGAGCTTGATTGTCTGTTGGGTACACTGTGGGTTATTTCACAAACAACCCACAGCACATCTTATTCACAGGTTGCAATGATGTGTCATGGGAACTCACCCAGTGCTTGAAGCAGCTGAAATTCAGTGAAATTGGTTGAGAAACAATTATAATATTTAAGGCCTTAGATGTATGACAAACATATCCATTTTAAACTTTCATGGGTCTGACCACAGAATAGTAGAAACTGCAAACTGCCAAGAATTCTCTGCTCAAGATCTTCAACCCTGCCTCAAAATACAATTCCCATGGTTCTGTGGGTGGAGAGGAGGGATGTTCAACTAGCTTGTCCACAGTGCAGACACACTCCAAATGATATAAACAGCCCATTAACACTGAAAAGTAACAATTAAAACAGAGTTGCCACTCACAATTATAGCACTTTCTGAATGAATGACCTTGCAAGGTAAGTATGCAGAACTAGCAAGAGAAGGACAAACAGAAGGCCACAATATCACCATGTCACCAGACATTACTTATTACCCATATAACTAAATTTATTATGGCAGTGTTATATATTAACACTGAGCCAATTAACACAATCAAAGCAAAGTCAATTTAGAATAAAATCACAAAGTATAATTCCCATTTCTCGTGTAAGACAAAAGCAATTCATGTACACATGGAACTCCTGTACAACATAACAGGTGCTTGGAGTAAAGGAGGAAATACATACCATCATCTGGGTCCCGAGGGTAAAAACTTTTTCCTTCAATTTCATCTATAATATCATAGATTATTTCCACTGGTCTTTGAGTTGCTGTAGCTGTAGAACAAGAAAGCGATCATGATGTAATTGGGCACCTTCTCTAGAAAATGAAACATTTCATCTATTTCTGTGAGAAATTCAGGCATAAGAGGTGAACAAAGGTGAAAAACAGGAAGGGAACAGTAATCACATGTTTTACATAGATATTAAGCAGCATGGAAATTGACACTGAATTCTGAGGAACTCCGTGAGGAAGAACATTAAGCATCCAAACCATCTTCCAAGATCTACCTTCCAGGAAGAAGTGGAGCCACTGCAAAGTACTGAAGACAGTCCAGAACATTATCATAGTCAATGTGCACAAAATAACCCATGATGAAGTGTCATGCAACCCAAACCACCCTGTACAAGTTCATATGGCCACAGAAACAGCTTGACTAGGCGTTGTTCTACTCTAGAAATTACATACCAGAATTATGAAATATGCCAAGAAGATGGTCAAATGTTGCAAGGCTAGGTTCTGAAATAAGCAAATATATGCTGAGTCAATTCATTTTTGACTTACCCAAGGTATAAAAAATATACACATCCATAATCTAGAAACAGGAGCATCTGCTAAAAGAAACCCATTACTCAGGAAGTCTGAAACTATTCTCAGAATTTCAACTTAGTCACACTTGTTGCTGAGTAGAATTACACATATCCCAGCCTGTCTTTTGCTAAAATAATGGGAATGTGGAAACACAGAGGAAAATAGGTGGATGGAAGATGACACTTAATCCTTCTCCTGTCCACCAGTTAAGCATCTGCTAATTCTTCCATTTATGATGGAAAGCCTGTGTTTTCTCCATAACTTCCATTTCACTCTGCTTGAGAACCATTTGTGCAAAATGTGATAGCTAGCCTAATAGCCAGGATGAAAAGGTACAAACATATAGATTCCATTCTGCTCCACTTGCACTAGCTACCTATATGTACCCCAATACCTGAAAGAACACTTCTTTCAACCCCAATGTGCCCAGACATTACCCTCAACACCTGAGGTCTTCCTCTGAATGCCATCTCCAAGCCTGGTGGCAACTTGGAGGAAGGTAGCTCCCAAATTCTGAAATAATCTCACCTCTGATGCCTACCTTGCATCAATTTTACTACCTTTTTGGTGTCAGGTTAAGACTGTCCTCTTTGTTGAGGCATTTACCAACTCCAAACAGCACACAGGGAGAGTATTACCACTTTTTTTTAAGCTGGCATGGCAGTGTGGGTTGGTTTTAGATGTTAAAATGAGATTTAAATTTTTAAACACCATTTTATGATTTTTTGTTGCTGCTTATTTTATTTTTTAACTCTTGCTCACTTCCTAGAGAGACTGCTCTAATACTATAAGAGAGAGCTGCCAGTAAGACAACTTGAAGAATATAAAAACTTCAATTATTCCAGGGATTTCCAGTGAAGAGCCTAACTTTTTAGAGAAAATAGTTATATGGGCCCTTTTTGAGTGGAAAAGAATCAACAGAATGCTCAATATACAGAACAAAATATTTTAGACACACAGCACATCCTACAGTATGTACACATATGTTTACAGGTGATACATGTTTAAATGTTTTAATGCAAATCTACAGGCTCATTTTCAATGAACAGGATACCACACAGAAGTACTTCAGGAGTTCACAGATTTGCCCCAATTTTGTGGCAATGCCAGAATCACAAGGGGCTGCTGTTTGTATGAACCCTGTGGATGCTAATGACTAAAGCAGCCCCTTTCTGAACCATCACAATCACATTAATTACAGTTTTGACATGTTTATCTGTCTGGATACTATAGTAGGGTGATCTTACCTATATTTAGTGCATTCATCTCCTTCAGGACTCGCAGGCCAATAGACTTGCCTAAAGGGCCACACAACCTCAGTGTCTTCAGCAAAGAATTAAAGGTTAGCAGGTTTGGCTGTACATTCTGATGAGCCATCTGCCTCAGCAAGTTCTATAAACCATGATGAATCAGGAAACAAGAATTAGATTTGCGAATGTATAAAGATTTAAAATTTCCCCTCCCCTAGATTTTAAATATATGAAAATTGTCTCAAACAGTTGAAGATTAACACCTTTCCTTGACATTTATCAGTTCATTTACTCCTCAATATCGAAACAAATCTTTGGAAATCCAGGTCCCTCAAAACCAGTGGAACGCACATTCATATGATCCCTTGTTTTGTGTGTATAAATTCTAGTTCTTAAGCCAAGGCTTTGTAACTATCTTCAGTAGCCCAGAGTTATTTCTTCTTCAGTGATTGTGCAATGAAGTACCTCACAGATGTATTCATGTTACTTTGACTTTCCCACATATTATGGCCTTACAACTTGGAACTGGAGTAGATTTAACTGGCCCTGCTATCACTTGACGTATATAAGATACCCAACAGTGTTAAGGTGCAAACAGTTTTACTGTGAAAATTTTTACAATCAACAAAAAACAAACTGACATTTCTTGGTTGCATAAATGTCTTCCTTCACAGCTGCAGATCTCTCCAGCTCTTTCACTGTTACTATTGGCCTCTTGGTTGCCTCTCTTAATTAAAGCATTCTTTATCTGGACACTGAGTTTTTGTAGGCAGCTTTCTCTAAGATAAAATTGTGACCGAGCCATATTATTTCCATTTTGTAATATGGGCAGTCTCCAGCATACAAACAAGTCCCCTTCTTGAGAAAATGGAAATTAATTTTTAAGTCATATTTGTATGCAAGTCACCTCACACATAGTCGGCCCTCCACATTCAGGGGGTTTAGGGGTGCAGGACCCCTGTGAAAGTGGAAAAACTGCAAAAATCTCTACCCACCCTTCCAACTAAACTCACCAGTGCCTCCCTTTTGCAGCAAGGAAACACCAGAAAGATTTCCTTTGGAAGTCTCCCTCTCTCCCCTTTTGCTTCCTCTCTCTATGGCAACGATGATTTTCTGCAGTACTTTTAATTAATAGGCTTTATGGCAGGTCTTTCCTAAGTATGGGTTCTCTGTAACTCAGATATTCATAACTTGGGGACTGCCTGTAATGGACTTAGCAGTATTCTGGAGGATATTCATCGTATGGAATATTTTTATAAGCCAACAGTAACTGGTGTTTATGTACATCTTTATCCTGGAATTGTTTTGACACTTCCTTGGTCTTCATGACTCTGTTTTAGATATATTTTCCAACAAACTCTGAGGCTTTCCAGAACAAGTGCCTTTAATCTGGATCACATGACCCTGGAATTTCACACAGATAGACTCAAGTATGTGACTTCTGAGTTGCACCCAAGCCACTAGGCATGTTACAACAAAAGGGCTGAATGTTCATGAAACCCACAAGTGCCAGTCTGTTTTGGTTTCCTTAACTTTTGTGCCATAAAGCACATGTTTTGCAGATTCACAGTAGTGTGGAAATCAACTAGGAACAACACAAATTAAACCCATTTCAGTTTCAGGTTGCAACATGTCAAAATTTGGAAAAGTTGGGGGGGGGGTGACACTGTATATTTCATTTATTTTAGTGCCAATATAGATGAAATAGAGGATCATGATCCTAACTTTATCTTTATTTTTGGAAAAAGACATTAATAAGGATTAGTGAGAGCATATTAAGGCATTTGGGCATTTGAAGGTGCTGGTTAGAAACTGTTACACAATGATATATACTTGTAACTTTCTTGATATCCTAAATAATAAATGGCAAATTACTTCTCCTTTCTAATTTTTGTTGGTGCAGCAGAGTGTTGCTACATTGTTAGCATTTGCACTGGCGAAAAATGCACAATGAAAAAGCAAGATGCATCAGACATATCTGCAATCTAAAACAGACTCCATGTATGCTCTGCTGGTGTAAATGCCACTTACTATCTCCCCCTTCATAATCCATGGGCATAGAGATGTGATAATATTAGGTGAAAAGCCATGTCTGTGCTGACTCAGATTGTTGGCTAATAGAGCCTTGCCACATACACCTGATAACATTCACTGCATATTGCGTCGGGAGGACCACCTTTCCATGTCTCAGCTTCTACTCTTTTCCATCCATATCTAACTTTTACAAAGGTTTCCAAGAGTACAGCTGTGCTGCATCTAATGCAGCACAATTTGTGATGCTGCAATTAGACAAGAGCCACTCCATCAGATTCCATCCACTTCTAACTTGACACAAAAGACCATATACTCAGACTAGCCCACAGTATGAACAAATCTTTTGCCAGGTATTATACTACAGCATCCTCTACTTGGCTCATTTCTCATCTTCAAAAGTGTACTATATATAAACCCTTATTAAAAATATTGTATTACACTTAAAAGGTGGGACAGAAATTAATCTAAATAAATATTTGGCATAGCAAAGATACATTAAAACTTGTGAATTATGTATTTCTTCTTACATCAACAAGTTCCACTCTGTCAGAGTATTTCTCCTTCACTTGTGCAGCTGCTGAAATTAGTGCATTGAAAGTGTGCACATCAGCTGAAAGAAACAGAAAATCAGGTATACTATAAGCAGCTGTATTGAATAGTAGTTTCTCTATATTATGGTTCATACTTATTACTTCTAAGGCAGCTCAGTGTAAGGCAAAGTTTTCATGTGAGCCTTTCTCCAGTAAGCTAGCCACATGCCAACAATGCTGGAACACACAAAGCTCACACTCAGCTCCCATTATTTAGCTGAGGTCTGTACCCCTGCGCCAATCATCATTGCTGCATGAATCCGAGTTGTCAGAAAGCCACACAACAACCCAAACACTATTTATGGGGAGGGAAAGCAAGATCACAAGCAATATAATTATAGTGGCAGCCACTGCATTCCCACTAACACTGAAACATGTATTACAAGGGAAAGGGCATGTATAACAGAGATCTGGGCGGGAGAAGGGGGAGATGTCTCCCTCACTCAACTTTGCCTGCATGGGTACCTGATGCAGCACCAACCACACCCAGAAGGCAGGGGAAGGGGGTCGCCCTGGTTCACCAAGACTCAATTTCCCTTATGGGGCTTCCTGTCCCTTTGAGACCGGACCTAGAGTGTTTGTACCTGGTGTTGAGTGTCTGAAACAGATTAGGGGTTCTGCTGGTGTACTGTGCACCCTCTGGCCCATCAGAGTCCCTGGACCTGGTGTTGAGGACCCCCAGGATGTTTGTCCTGGAGGAGCTCAATTTCCATGCTGAGGCTGTGCTGTCCGGAGCAGTTCAGGACTTCATGGCTTCCATGGCAGCCATGGGGCTGTCTCAACATGTCACTGGCCCAACCCATGAAAGAGGTCACACTGTGGACCTGATTTTCTCGATGGGGCAGGAAGAGGGTGATCTGGAAGTGAGGAATTTGACCTTAACTCCTTTATCATGGTCAGATCACTTCCTAGTGAGGTTTGAGCTAGGGGCTGATCTCTCCCTCTGGAAGGGTGCGGACCTTATTAAGATGGTTCACCCCCAGAGTCTTATGGATCCAGATGGATTCCTGAGGGCTCTATCCTGTCCCCATGCTTTTTAACATCTATATGAAACCACTGGGAGAGATCATCAGGAGGTTTGGGCAGCGGAGTCATCAGTATGCTGATGACACCCAGCTCTACCTCTCATTTACATCTAATCCAGATGAGGCAGTGGCTGTCCTGAACCAGTAAGGGGCTGGATGAGGACCAATAAACTGAGACTCAATCCAGATAAGACTGGATTGGTGGGCAATGGTGACACATGCTCCGGTAACTTCCTGGTTGGATTACTGTAATGCGCTCTGCATGGGGCTGCCCTTGAAAACGGTCTGGATACTTCAATCGGTACAAAATACAGCAGCTAGGCTGCTGATGGGGACCAGTCATTCTCATATAATGCTGGTCCTCTATCAGCTACACCAGCTCCCAATTGAAGCCCGGGCCCAATTCAAGGTGCTGGTATTAACCTATAAAGCCCTAAACAGCTTGGGACCAGAATACCCAAAGGATCGCCTCCTTCCCTATATGCCCTCACACCCCTTAAGATCAGCAGGGGAGGCCTTGCTCCAGGAACTCTCTTTGAAGGAGATACGGAGGGTGTCTACCCGGAGGAGGGCCTTCTCTGCAGTGGTGCCCAGACTATGGAATGCACTCCCCAGAGAGGTCCTGGCACCGACTTTATGCTCTTTCCAGTGCCAGGTAAAGATCTTTTTATTCAACCATCATTTTAATAATTAAGGTTTTTAGACCTTAAGGTTTTAAGATCTTTTTTCCACAGTTGCATTTTCTACTCTTTTTCTCCTTCTTTTCCCTTGTTTTATGAAGCATTGTTTTATATTAATTTAATATCAATTGTTTTAACATTGTATTATGTAATATTTTAAATCCTTGTAAGCCATCCTGAGCAGTTCGTCGGAAAGGACAGGATATAAATGTTTGTTTAAATTAAATTAAAATTAAAAATGTTGGAAGTGAAAAAGAAGGCTGCTTTGGACACGCATTCCAATGTGTTGTGCGCATCTAGAATGCACTTTCCAGATGCCCAAACACCCAGAATGAATCTCTGAGCATGTGCAGAGTAGCTTGTTGGACCCAATCTAGTATTCACCACCAGGAACTCACCCTATGAGCATGCTTTGTCCCCCATCCCCTTGAGAGGGATTTTTTTGAAAATGGGCATGCCTCCTCTCTGCACGCCTGTCTTCTAATTGGGCCAACTTCCTCTGCTGATGATGCATCATTGGGTCAACAGCAGTGCCTGCCTCATCTGTATCTGAGCAACTCCTCAGCTGCAAGTCCCCTCCTGCCAACTGTATTTCTTGGTTATTTCCAAAGATTGCCTGCACACCTGGGGAGTCTGGCCTCGAGATAGGTGCCTCTTCTCCTTCTTCTGGAGACCAGCCAGCAGCCCTTGAGACTGTGTGCCCAAAGCATCTTTCTTACTCACAACAGTCCAGGTTACTAAGCACCATCCCAATCTTTCAGAATTCAGCTATACGAAGTAAATTAAAGTTAAACATCCCCAGAACTCACCATTAAGCCTGTTATTCTGTAACTCAGTATACATGTCAAAAGCATTTGTGTATGCTCTATGCTGCAAGGGTAAAAAAAAGAGTTAGAAATACTTGTAGATAAAGAATCAACAGAAGCCTATGTAGTGTAAAAAAAATACAACTCTACCTTCACCATTCCTCTGATCATTGTGCAATAGGAATGTGCATTTTTTTCTGGCATCAGGTTAAATATTCTCTCTGCATTATTGTTTTTCCTGTTATTTGGAAAATAACATGACATTTCAATCTATATTTGCAAATATTCTTAAAAAATTGTTCATATGAAAGATGTGCCAAAATCCATGCTGGGCTATGAACCACACATATGCTGCACATATGGGATGTGTTCATATCTATAGACTCAGAAAGGTCATCTGTTGCAGGCCAAGGCAAGATACAAAATACTTATACTGCTGTATTGGATGTCATGGTGCCTCTGAATTACTGGGTAGGTAACATATATTACAATATCTAAATTTAACATGTTCCAGTCTACGTGTATTAATACACCTATTGGTCCATTAGGGTAGAGTACTTTCAACCAGAAATTATAAATATTTCATGCAATCTGGGTAAAATTATACAAGCACAGAGGAAATTTAAACATCACAGCACATACGCAGTGGTCAATTAAGTGGGAATAGAAGCCTAATTCTACTCCTCCACCATGTTCTTGAGTGTGTAAACCTGCTGTCCCACAGCAAGTTAAGTATGTGCATTTTGTGAAGGTATGTAAGCCTTTCTTTAATAATTCCAAAAAGGATTGCTTGATTTATAGTATTGGGTGCATACCTATAAAGCATTTCAAGGAGGCTCTAGATGTTAATTTTCCCTACTCATGTTTGGCTCACAAATTCTGTGTATTAGAATCATGGCTGAACATTTGTAAATCAAAGGCCTTTTTTAAAATCTAGGATTACTTTGATTATTAAATAGTACATTCCGTTTATAGTCAAATATATTTATCACTATATGGTACAAAGCGTTCCCACTGCTTCATCTTTTAAAAAGGGCCTAATATCATATAAATAAATTTTCAGGATTTCCTAACAGAAGTCATACATGTGTCCCAAGAAAATGCTGGCACCATTTTTAATACCTCCACTTAATGCCAAGGTCATCAAAAGTATTCCTGAAGTTGCCTCTGTGCCTTTTTTTTTCTGGAACATCTTCCTGAAAAAGAAAAAGTGAAATGCCAGTCTTCTAGCACATGCACAGCTAATTCAAAATCTTTTTGCAACCAATAGATCTGGGGGAAGAAATTCATGGAACAAGCACTTGAGTAACCAGATGTTTTTGCTTTAAGCATGTCCTATGGTGGAAGTTGGCTGGGACTGCTTTGGAACGGCATGGAAAAGTTGTATGCTCTTAACTTTAAGAATTCAGTTTCTTACAGAAATTTCTTACAAGAATTCACAGAACAACACATCACTTTATACCAAGAATTTCTATAAGGAAGGGATGGGGAATCTTCAGTTCCACAGGTTCCCTCCAAGGCCCTGCCTGTCTATCAGTGCTAGAGAACAGTTCAGTGGAAATCTGCTAAATATTCTGATTAAATAAAAGCAGAAAGTCCACATTCTTCTTTAAAGAAAGGACATGTTTAGAACATGTATATATTGTTCTATACAATATTTCAGAGCAGTGAACAATGAAGACAAAAAATAAACAGACTAAAACAGAATGTAAATAAAAAAGTGTCTGCTCAAACAAGGAAGTCTTCCTATAATAAAGACGTTTTTTGGGAGGCACTGGAAACAACACACCATGTTTGTCACACCTCCAGAAACAGGAAATTTCACTAAAATGGAGTCACCACACTAAAAGTTATTTTCTGGGTGGACTTCAATCAGGCCATTGGCCCATGTGGAACTACCAGAAACATGCTATCTGATGACTTCAGTGCCTGGGCAAACCGATAAGGGGGAAGGCACTCTTCTCAGGTATCCTTGTCCTAAATCAATAAACCTGGCCAAGCAGCAAACAGCCAATGTAGTTCCTTTAGCAAAGGAGCTATGTGTTGAGATAGGACAGCTCCTGACAACAGCAGAGCTGCCATATTCTACACTGTTCCAGATTCCAGACCAACACTGTACAATGCCTTTCTCTCTCCACTGAAAGGCACTGAGCAATTGTCCCCTGTGACACTGGACCAAGGCTTTAGGAGAAGTGATCATCTAGCCCTAGGGATGACCTGGCTGACAATGCAGACACTTGGCTGAAATAGTTCTCCACCCATGATATAAACATTCTATTACTCACACACAAACTTGCTTACCAGTTCTTCTAACTCATTCTCATCTTCACGAGAGCTCTTTTGACCAGGTTCTCTGTCACCATAAAAACATAAGAGATCCAGAAGACTGTTTGATGTCTCCAAAGAGATACATGCTCCTGACAATGAAAAAGCCATGAAGTGTAAATTAACAGATTTGGAACTAGTATGCATGGACATTCACATCACTTGATAAAAGAGTCAGACATGTGAATTCTCTCTTTTTTGGTATGTTTTGAGTCAGTTTTAAGCAATATTACAATTCTATGATTTTAAAACTGTGAAAGCAATGCAGGCTGTAGATGTTACAATTATCAACTGATGAACATATGTTGAATTACTCTCAGTATGCATATTCACTTTTCAAAATATTCTCTAAGACTAACTTTAAAAAGCTTCACAAAAAAATAACAATGCCAACCTATTTTAACAGTAGAGATTAAAATACATGGGCAGTGCAGTCCAACATAAACTGTCTGTAACTTTCTGAACTTGGAGGATTATGGGCCTCCTGCCAAGGCTGGTAGATTCTTCTCCAACGTTGGCTGCCTAAGTTTTCTGCTGTGGCTCACAGAGAAGACAGGCTCAAATGCTACTAGGATATGCTGCATCCAGGCAAGTCCTTACTCTTTCTTTTCCCATGGAATGCCCAACCAATGCTGGCTCCAACGTCAGTTCTCTGGAGCTGCAGCCAGCCTTAAAAGAACCATGTGGGCTGCAAAAATGAGAATGGGGAGGGGGTCAGGCCACAGGATTGTGTCCTTAACCAATATAAAAGAGCTCATTTAAATCTAACCAGTCCCAAAGGAAGATGGCTGAAGTGGTAAGATGTTCCAATGCTTGCTTTTTAACTCAGAAGTTATGCCAAATATGTAAACAATTTAGTAAGACATTGCAGGGATTAAATAACAACTTGGAAATGACACAAAAGACATAATATGCTCATAAGCTATGGGCAATTTGCTACTACTTCCCTGCCCACAACTTGTCTTTGTGTTTAATGCGCAACAGCTTATGAGAATGCCTTCTCTCCAGAGTCTCAGTCTCCCCATAGAGTTTCTCTGTATCTGCTATGATGACTGAATGGAGAAGAAGTGCTCTGTCTGACTTTTCAGCACATGTATTTTTTCCAAGGCACTCATTCAGTTATGTAAGGGCTGCTGCTCTGAATTTTCTGGTGCTGCTTATTTTGCTATGGGTTTTTAATTTATATTTCATTGGGGGCATTATTCTTCAGCTTTATTATTTGATTATTTGGTTTCTCCAAGTGCAAAGAGCCTCAATGACAAAGTGTCAGCACAGAAGTCACTTAAGAAAGAAGATAACTGCTAATTACTGATCTACCAGGTAATCTTCTAAGCTCATAGACTGTCAACTCAAGCAAATATGAGTGCCCAGAAAACAGAGAAAATTCCAGAAGGGGAACCCTTTAAAAATGTACAGTGGAGAGATAAATCTCATGGGGCTATCCAGAAGGAATTCACAGTTCAAACACAAAGTCCCTAGAGCAGTGGTGGCGAACCGATGGTATGCGTGCCACTGTGAGCACGCAGAACTCTCTTAATTGGCACGTGAGCCAAGTCGCGCCAGCATTGCCCCAGCAGCTGAGCATTGGATAACAGCACACATAGGGGCCATGCGCATGCTCAGAAAGAAGTAGCAGCACCAGGTGATACCACGACTCATTAGCCATGACTCGTCCAAGCTTTTGCATGGCAGGTCAGTGTGTTGCCTGGACTGGCTGTGAGTTGTTTTTTCTAAACCTCAGTTTCAGGTTTTATTGCAGTGTTGGCACTTTGCGATAAAAAAGTGGGTTTTGGGTTGCAATTTGGGCACTCCGTCTCTAAAGATTCACCATCACTGCTCTAGAGTGAGTTTGCTTAGAAACACAAAGTGAAGGATAGCTTCTCTTTGGGCTCAGTATAGGATCAGGTTTTGGGGGCCTATAAATAAGTTCCCAAAGTAAAATTCAAAAATACATCCCAAGTTTTGAGTTCAATCATGTTTTAGTTTAAAAACACACACAGGAACTCATCCCTTGCAAACCACTTCCCTTCAGAAATTGCTTTTATCTGCTGTCACCTCTGATGACTCACTAATTACTGAACTCTCTCCTTAAAAAAGTATCTCCACTCTTGCTGAGGAGATACTTATTCCCATTCACTGGAAGCTAATACAGACCAGGAGTTCAGCCACAACTTCCCTGCTTTTCAAATGAGGCCCACCAAATCAGATTGTTTACAGCAGCAGCTCACCCAGCCTACTTAGATAAAAAGGCAGACTTGCAAGGAAGGTGGCTCTCTGAAGGCAAAGACCCCTGCTGACAAAGTGTCAGCACACGAGTGAATTAAGCAACCATGCAATTTTGGCAACAAGGCAAGAGAACTTCTTTCTTTTCTTCATAGTAAGCAACTGTAAATTAATAACTAAAAGCATATTCCTCACCCGTGCCTAGAGAACAACACAGTTTTCCAGATAAACAAACCCATTAATACCAACAAAGCAGTAACTACCTAATGCTGAAAGCAGAAAGCCAGCTATTCAGCCACATGCATCATTATCTGTCAGCAGGACAGATAGTGGGTATGTGGATCTGTGTTTGCTGTGATGCCTTGCTCCAAGGGAACAAGTTTGCTCCCTTGAAGTTAAAGCTGCTGACCTGGTAAAGCTAAGTGAGACTGGCTGACAAGACCATCAGGGACCAAACAGCAAGGTCCCAATGTCTGGGTGAACGTTCCTCTGCAGTCATGAAAAATAAGGGTCACTGGGATTGATGGCATCATTCCAAGAAGAGGGAAAAGAAGAGGCTCATTTTCTGGAAGATGAGCAACTATCCTCTTGCACTGAGAACTGGCAATAGCAAATTAAAGAATAAAAAGCAGAGAGGGAATAAATGGCAATTTCTCCCTAAAGAAGGTTCTACACAGGGGGATCCCACAAGAATTTTTATTAAGACTATTGCTTTTCAATGTATTCATTACAGGTCTGGAATTAGGACTCAGTAGTATAGTAGCAAAGTTTGCTGGTGACACCAAACCATTCAGGGTTGTTAAAAAGGATTGTAAGGAGCACAAAAGGGAGCTGTCCAAAGTGGGAGAATGGGTATCAAAATGGTAAATGCACTTCAGTATAAGCAAGTGTAAAGTGATGAACTCTGGGGCAAAATATCCCAGCTTCAAGTATAAGCTGATGTGATCTGACCTACCAGTAACTAACCAAGAAAGAGACCTTGGGATTGTGGTGGACAACTTGATAAAAAGGTTGATCCAGTGTGCAGCTATGTGAAAAAGGCAACCTCTATGTTAAGCACAATTAGGAAAAGAACGGAAAACTACCAAAAACATATTGCCTTTACAAATCTATGGTGCAACTACTCTTACAAGTGTGTATACTTCTAGACATTGCACCTTCAAAGGAGTTGGAAAAAGCACACAAAAATGATAAATGGATGGACTAACTTCCCTATGAGGAAAGGTTCAAACAACTGAGATTGCTCAGCATAGAAAAAAGGCAAGTGAAGGGAAACTTGATATAGGAATACAGAATTGTGTATGGTACAGAGAAAATGGAAAGGGACATTTTCCTCCTTCTCCCAGAATACTAGAACTTGGGATCATCCAATGAAACTGGTGGAAGATTCAGGACAGATGAAAAGAAGCACTTTTCCACACATTTCCATGAGAGGTAGGGGCAGCCACCAATTTGGATTAGATGGAGTCACAGAAGCAGTCAGCATGTGCTTAAGCAGACTCTGGGGGATGGTGGAGGACAAGAAGGCTTAGAGAAATGTTGTCCATGGGGTCGCGATGGGCTGGACACGACTTCGCGACTAACAAAGAGATTGGATAAATTCATGAGGGAGAAGGCTATTAACGTCTACTAGTCATAATGGCTATATGCTACCTGTTATACCTGTACTGTACTACGTACATTTGCCGGGAAACATGGGCTGGAGGAGGCTGTTGCACTAACAACCATTGTATGGGATCTCATGGGCAGCTGGTAGGCCACTGTGTGAACAGAATGTTGGACTGGATGAACCTTTGGACTGATGCAGCATAGCTTATTATCTTCTTGTGATCTTTGAACAAGACATCTTGAGCTTTAAAAAGTGTGATATTTATGTTTTAAATAAATAATGTCAAGTGATCTTCAGCCATATTCACCTTTGCTTGTTGACTCATTCATTCAGCTTCTCATAAACCTGATGAAGCAGGTTTTTAATTGCTGAAGCACATGACACTGCAGGTCATATGGCCTTTATATTAGCTGGACCCACCTTTTGTGGAAAATCTTTAGTAAAACGAAGTTCTATTGTTAGATATAAAGAAAGCAATTTAATAACAACTTAAGCTAGACACAGTATTTACAGTGGTACCTTGGCTCACAAACTTAATCTGTTCCAGAACTCTGGTTGTGACCCAAACTGGTCATGAGCAAAGTCAAATTTCCCCATAAGGTTCAATATAAATAAGGTTAATCTGTTCTGTAACTATTTTGTTTTTTAAACACAAAAATTTGAAGCGGGCGCGCTGGGGGGGGAGACAGGCACAATCATGGGTGTGCTCAGGGGGAGGTGGGCATGATTGTGGGCACGTTCATGGGGAGGCGGACATGCTTGTGGGTGCTCAGGGGGGGAAGGCGGGCACACTGGGGGGAAGGTGGATGCGATTGCAGGTGTGCTGGGGGATGTGGGTACGCTGGGGGTGAAGGCAGGCGCAACTGCAAGCATGCTTGGGCGGGAGGCAGCCGCACTTGCGGGCACACTGGGGGGCAGGCGGCTGCGATCGCAATCACCACCTAATGCAGAGTTTGTGACCCAAGGCAAAATTTTCCAGAAATTTATGTTCGCAACCCGATTTGGTCATGAACTGAGGCATCCATGAGCCAAGGTACCACTGTAATTACAGAGTGCCACCCTACTAATGGCTACACAGAAATAAATCCCATTAATTTTAATAGGACTTATTTCCAAGGTAAGTGCATACAGGATCACAGCTTTAGGTTGGTACCTGCTTGCAAAAGTTGATCATACATTTCCACAGAAGCTTTTACTTTTCTGAGCTGGATCTGATTTTTAAGTGTGCTCTCATTCATGTCTTCATTCTGAACTATGTTGAACCCCTCTGGCATGAGACACTAAAATGAGGTAACAAGAAGACTATTTTTAGATTATTTAAAGAGGCAGAATTCACCAATGCTCTCTTATTGTCCAAGCATAATTTTTTTGGATTTAACACAAGCTTCCAACATATCACCATGCCCACATGATTTCTATTTTGAAAAACTGGAAGAATGATTGGTATTCTTAGGCATTTCTGGTTCCCTTTGTTTATGCTTAATTAAGTGGACTGATTTGTATATATAGCCAGACATCAGCATTTGGATGCATATTAATTAAATGGAAGTGATGAATGCCCTTTAGATGCTCTTTCCTTGTCCTTGGGATCTTCAACAAGTTTTATATGCATCCTGGAATTCAGAGACCTACTCATTGATTCAGCCTATAAATCATCTCAGTCTCATGAGATAAAAAGCTTCCTGAAATGCCTAAATAAATGTAAGATTGGACTTGCTTCTCTAAAAACATATAGCTTCCCTAAAGACATGTAACAGTCTTAGGGTATGTAACCCTCAGCCCCTTCTTCTACAGCTCATAAAACTGGTAAAACCCCTCCATCTTTCCTCACATTAACAAAATGCTACTATGTGCTGCTATTAGCAGTGCTGGGAAAGCAATTAAATTGAAATGACTGAGGGATGGGAGAGGTGAAAAGCCTGAGAGATCCAGCTACTTTCTCCTGTGACTCACGGAGGTAGAAGTGCTCTTGGTGGTCTCTGCTGGGGGATAAAGGGAGAAACTTGCACAGCCACACACGTAAATGCACACACAGCAATCCCTACACTCAGTGGGCTGAAAGGGAGGTATCAATCTCCTTATTGAGAGGTGTGTGCACATACACAAGAGAAGAGTAGGCAGGTGGACCTGCACACACATGTACCCCACCCACCTGCCAGCTGACATCAGAGGTTAAGAAGATACTACACCCTGTTCTTGAGCTCACATATACCTTCACACTACGCTTGCTGCCTAATTCTTCCAGAATGGAAATCAAATGTATGCCCTAGTGTAGTCTTCCTTAGCCAAGTGCTGTCCAGATGTACTGGACAGCAGCTCTCCGCTTTTCTGCCTACCGGTCTTGCAGGCTGGAGCGGAAGGAAACATTCAAGGGTACCAGGTTGGATAGCAATAAAGCTAGCTTTACTGCATAGCTGGGACTCCAATGTATCATATGGCTGCCTAAACAGAGAAGGAAGAATAGCAAGTTTCTCTATAGTCCTGAACTTTTTATCTGTACTCAAGAAGACCCAACAAATGCACTTCACTATGCAGAAGATCATGTGGTACTTTCCTGAGGTAACAATGCATGTTTGCTCAAGTAAAGTACATGTTTAGTATCATTCCCCTCATACCACATAGGAATTGTGTATCTGAACAGGACCCTTATTCACCTGATTCAAACTTGATTTTAAATTGTATTCAAATTACCTTATTTATCTTGCAAATCATACACAGGATCTACCAGTTCTGCTTACTGACAAAAATGAATGCGTACGAAAATAGAAGCATAATTTACCGGAATGTGAGGTTCAGCGATATCCTTCTCAAAAAAGTTAGGATGTGTTTCAACAATGTACTTTGCTGCATTTTTCCCAGATTCTTTTGATAATGAAAATATACGCTATAAAAAGAATATATTTATATTATTTGCTGTACAAGAAAAGGTTGCAATGAGGGAGAATAAAATAGCTTTCTAACTAGTATTCATTCTGAAGCATGTACTAAAAGTATGCCCAAATCTTTTCCCATAATTTCTATATTTTTGTAGTTTAAATTGAGTATGACTTATGCAATGGAAGAAGATATAACCCTCTCCATTAAGCAAATACATACTTTTGAAGAATGGAGGGTATCCAGGCTAGATTCCCTTAGGGTGATTATTCTAAATAATCACTTGGGTGACAGTACCGAGATAAGTTTCCAAGGGATGGTGGAATGGAGAAGGAATTATGAATGGGCTGTTGTTGCAGGGATTTATCTAGGCAGGAAATTTGAACAGTTACGCCCGCAATGCCTTAAATTTTTTTAGAGATGTCTATTACAAGTTTCTACAGTTCTATACAAAACAGTTTTACGCAAAACACAGAACAAGCAGATTGAGCGTCTAAATCATGTACATGGAAGAGAAAAACAACTGGTGTTTCAACTCACATCACAGTCCACATCTTTCTCTATATAACAGAATCTCTCTGTGGTAAAAAAAGGAACCCATGAAATGGTACTTCACAAAGTTCAACTGGCAGCCAAACTCAATAGGCATCTGATTTTTCAACTTCTAACTCAGCCTTTCAAGCAGAAAGGGAATGAAATTCCTCAATCCTAAAAGTGCACTTTCACAAATTTAAGTGGCACTACAGACTTCAATGTATATAAGGGTACATGATTTTATTGCATGCTTTATGAATTGGATTTTTATCCCACCCCATTAGCCGTAAGGCTCTCTTAAAGAGTTTAATACATTAAGCAGTATAAACATATTATTATAAATAAACACTGTGTCCCAAAATCTAATCATCATCATTTCTGGCAAAACAACATTTAAAAGAGTTACTTACAAAGTCAGTGCTGGTTCTAGGAATAAGATATGGGTCATCTTGAAACATGAAGTGAGCAGCTGTGGTATCCTGTATAAAAAAGATAAACAAATTGCAAATTCTATGCAGAAAAAAACATTGTAGGTTCTTTGCCCCACATTACTAGGGTTAAAAGTTGTGCCTAAATGTTTTGCGTAACAAACATTCTTTATACTTAGAAAAGAACTACTTTGAAGACAGCACTCTTACTGTACATTCATTAAGGATGCCATCCAATATGGCTGCGCATAATTTAGTTGCCAAGAAGTACTTCCGGACAGTTAGGACCCTGAGAGTATGGAATGGGCTTCCACAGGAGGTGGTTGAGGCCCCATCGGTGAGGGTGTCCAAAGATAGGCTAGACATACACATGGTGGGCATGTCGTAAGCGGAGCCGGCTGGAGTCAGGGGTCAGACTAGATGGCGCGGGAGACCCCTTCTGACTTGCTCTTTTTCTGTTTCTACAATCCTCCAAACTTGGAAGATTATGGGAAAGATCAGCACTGACTGCAAGGGCAGAAGGAGGGGCAGGCTTTTCCAAGGTCAGAGCTAGGACTCTGATGCATCCTATGGCTGTCTTGACAGAAAAGTATAGTCTTGAGGATGAGCACATGATGATGCACCATTCTATGCAGATCACTTTTACACTCTGAATTTGGACGTTATTGATGGAATAATATGCTTCCTGCATTTATTCAGAATTATTTGAATACAGCATGTCCTCTATGAAAAGCTAATACTAAGAACAATAAAAATGCTAGAAAAATCTTGTATTTTGTAGTTTATGGTGTTTCATTAATAACAAATGAACAACAAACATGATGCAACTTTTTAAAGCACTTACCCTGTTTACAGTTGATGCAAGTGCCTGAAGAACAGCTAATTTATCCCTAAATTTAAGAAAACTGTGTTAAATACTAAACTTTCAGCATCATTAAAATGTTTTCACTCTGAAGTAGAGAACCATCATGTCCTCCTGAATCACCTCTTTGATAAGGGCTTTGGGGGCAATTTTGCATTTCTTGAGATTCCATTTCCCGAAAGAGGGGTGAAATGGGGACTCCTGTTGCACTCTGTGGCTTTTGGTGTGTCTCAGGATTGCATCTTGCTCCCACTTTAAAAAAACATTTACATCAAGCCACTAGAAGGCATCCCAGTGGGACAAGGGATCTGGAGTATACTGGCTCATCTATACACAGGTAACACACAACTTGTGCTCTTCAATTTTCTCTGCTTTAAAGGAAGTACAGAGATTCTGAATCAGTACTCTGATGCAGTTAACAAGTGACAACTTAATTCAGAGTAGAGGTTCTCCTGGTTAAGAAAATACCTGATCTGGGAATAGGGTTTAATCTTTTATTCCCAACGGAACAGAATGATACCAACTACCCGGGGGGAGGGGGGAATCAGTTTACAGTCTGGGAATATTCATAGGCACTCTGAGGAGGAAAAAGAGCCTCTGTGGCCAGGAAATTGCTAAATGCACCTGGTTCTAAGAAGGTCAAATCTCATCTGGTCATAGTATGTATGTCATAGCTATAATCAGAAGAGATTTGTCCAATGCATTTTGCAAGGTCTGCATCTGAAAGTTTTTGGAAACTTCAAGGTTGACACAAAGGGTACTGGTGAGTGAGAATATATCACATCCATTTTATAAAAGCTGTACTGGCTTCCAGTTAATTCCTAGACACAATTCATTGATGTTTACAACCTTCAAAGCCCTGAAAGAATGATCTATGTTTCCTCGAAAGCATTTAGGGAGCTATAGGATAATTCCAATGTTCAAATCCAAGGCTGGAAACAGTGCCCTGACCGCAGAACTTAGGACTGGTGTTCTGACCCTCTTTTCCTTTTCCATAGCTGCTACAGAAGCAACTGCATCAACTGCCTCCAAGACTGGAAAATCAACCTTGGAGAGTGGGTAATGGGGCAGGGAGAGGGAGACTAGTGCAACCAGATCAGAAAGTATCCTGACAGCACTGCAGCTTCCTTCCCTTCCAAACCTCCTCAGCTAGAAGGCCAAAATCAGCCATCTAGCTGAAATGAAGAATGAAAGGTTGAGATCACTATTCGTCATGCTTTGCACTGGATGCTCATAAGGCCCTGAACAGTACTTAGCATCCTAAATAGTCTGCCTATTTTTAAACTCTGCAAGCTCTTCTCTGCATTCCAGGATAGCCATGATTAGTTGGGATACAGGTATTTCTTGGCTGTAGCCAAATTTTAGAATGATCTTTCCCAGGAAGTCCATTTTGTCTCCTTTCTCTTAAGGATCCATCATTAAGAAATTTCTGTTCCAGGAGTTGTCTGACCAACAGTTTTAATGCAAGGATCTTTTAAAGTCTTGATTTGCTATCTCTATTTTTAAAGGTTTTATGGTATTACTATTATTGTTTTATTGGTAGATTTCAACCTTGTTGTAAGCCACCCCTGAAGACTAGGACTACAATTGGAAAACAGGTTGCAAATTTCATAGTATAGTATAGTATAGTATAACATTAATTAATTAATTAAAATATTTTTATGCCGCCCCATTCGCCGAAGCCTCGGGGCGGCTTACAACATTTAATTAAAAACACTCACCAAGTTTTTTTCCTTGGACGAATACTTTCTTCAGCAACTGTGAAAAACAAAGATTTTACTCATATTAGCAAAGAATATATGTCTGCTACTATAAAGAGCTTAATTCTGTGAACAATTCTTTCTTGGCATGAAAGGTTAGTATTTGTTAAAGTAAATACTTAAATAAAATAAATAAATGTTGCTTGTACCAGAATTTTTCTTTGCTAGTTATACAAACAGCAATTGCCCTAGAGGCCATAGGATGGCTTGGAAAACTTCTGAGCTCCAAGACAATATGACTGAAGGGAAAATCAACCTTGGAAAGGGAGGGAGAGCATGTGTTCCGGTGAGCAAGAAGATGAGACCAGGGTATGAATCACCTTAAGCCTACTCAGCCTCCTCCTCTCCCCCACCAAAGTAGACCTGCTTGAAAGGCTAAAAAGCCCATTTTGAGAAAATAAGAGACATTCGAGGATAGGGAGACAAAGAATGCCTTTGTGGCTTCTCTTGCCCTGCTGTCTTCAAGGTGCTTGGAAGTCTTTGAGGTCAGGAGCTCCCAAGCAGTATAGATTATGCTGTTAAACACATTTACTTAGAAGTCCAGTATCTGTAAAGCTGACATATTTTAAAAGAATATGCTTAGGATCATATATCACACTAAAGTGCAGATGATTCTCTCTCTCTCTCTCTCCCTCCCTCCCCACACACACACACAAATAGTAAAAACAACACTAACAGTTAAAATGCTGGGAAAATAAGAAGGTTTTGGCCTGGCACTGAAATGAAAAATGCATCAGCGCCAGGTACACCTCTCTGAGGAGCCAATTCCATAGCCAGGGCACCACCACAGAGAAGGCCCTCCTCCGGGTAGTCACTCTTCTGATCTCCTTCAAAGAGAGCTCCCAAAGGAGAACCTCACTCTAGATCTTAGAGGCCAGGCAGGTATATATGGAAGGGGGTCTTAAGCCATTTAGGGCTTTATACGTCATCACGAGTACCTTAAATTGAACCCAGACTTCAGTTGGAAGCCAGTTCAGATGGCACAGGACCAGCATTGTGTGTGTATATCTGCTGGTCCCTGGTAACAACCTGGCTGCTCTGTTTTGAACCAACTGAAGTATCCGGACCGTTTTCAAGGGCAGCCCCACATATAGAATGTTACAGTTGTCCAATATTTGAAAACATACTTTTTAGAAATGCAAACACAAAAATATTGTACCTTCCAAGCTTGGGGATTTTTCCTGCAGGGTCACATTCTCTGAGCTGTGTCTATGGAAATCAACCATAATATTTTTAATAAGCACATATAATGCAAAAATAGTTCTATAGCATGCTGTAGAACTGAAGAATACTAAGTACTTACAATATCCAACTTAAGTTTAGATTGCAAGAGTAGACTATGCAAGGGTATCACATACAACATATAGAAATGAATCAAATGAATTGCCTCCTTTAAACCTTTAAACCTCCCAAGGCAGCTCTCTAGAGGGTTGGAGGATACAGGGCGTATGGCAGCAGAGGGATAAAACAGGAAGGGTAAATTGCCAAAATCAGGTGAAAGCACATGGCTCAAAAGGAGATTGTCCTGTCAAATTAAAAACAGGAAATGAATGCCTGGAACCTTTTTACATTAAAAGTGTGAGATTAATAGAGCTACCACTGAGAATTACTACAAAGGAATGGGGACACCCCTGGCATGTCCTCCACAAAATATAGAAGTCATAGCACCCATGCCTTTGGTGAATTCCAAAGGAGAAGTGTGATAACTGAGAAGGCCCTTTTCCTCATCAGTTCCCCCCTCACTTCATTTGGGAGGGGTTCACGAAGGAGCGCCTCCACTGATGACCTAAATGATCTGGCAGGGATATATGGAGATAGGTTTTCCTTTAGATAGGTATTAGGGTGTTCTCTCTCTCTCAATCTGTGTGTGTGTGCGTGTATATTTGTATGCATCTGTTCAAATTTGTTTTTAATTTTTGTATTATAAATTTTTAATAAAGTTGTACTATGTTTTAATATGGTGTATTTTACATTTTATTTTCAGTGCACTGATGTGAACCGCCCACAAAGGTTTAGCTATTGGGGGACATAGAAATTAAATAATAAAATAAATCACAGTCCTTTCACTACTGTGCCGAAAATAGTAGGGCTAAACAGATGCTGCAGAAACACGTCTTGGTTGCAACAAAGGTGATCACACTTCCTTCACAGCCGCCTACACCGCTCCCTCCCACCTCAGAGTCACCAGGCTGCAATTTCACCTCGTGCTTTATTTACCGGCCGCCAAAGACACAGCACTCTTGACAGCGCGAAGTAGAGACCAGACCGCAACGAAGCAGAAGTTGAAAGCACATGGTGCCACTCTACCCTACCTGCCTTATGGCGTCCCTCCTCCCGAGCCCTGCATATCCTAGCATAGGCACTTCAGAATTGCCCTCCACTTATGCCGCCGTCGTGGCCCTCCTCGCGTTCAGCCTTACCTGAGGCTCTGCTCCGCGAACGACCTAAATACGCCCGAATGGATCCGGTTTCCCGTTGAGAACTCTTGGCGGCCCGAACGGCTCAGTAACCGCCACCACCACGAGGCCGCCATACTGGTACTAAGGGAAGTGCCGGAAGGAGAGGAAGCCGGAAACGGAAAGTACCATTGAGATGCGCTTCCCTTGCACGTGTAGCCCCGGGCGGCGCGTCTGGGTTGCAGCCTTGTGGCTGCACCGTACACGAGGCCGGGTTGCTGTGTGTGGGTCATGGCGGCGGCGAGGGAGGTGCCGTGGCGGCGGCTAACCTGCTTGTCGTTCGGGATGTATACAGGCGTGGAGATACGGTAAACCGGGAGCGACCATAGAGATCGAAAGGCTTCCCCTGGAGGAAAGACTCTTGAGGCGCTGTAAAGTTAGCAAAGGCGGCCAATCTTAACAGCTTTCCTTGACCGTCCATTGAATTCTATGACACTGATGCTTGAGGACAGGAGCACGCTGTTGTCTGCTCGTTCAGTTGTCGTGAGAATCTTGGTTGCTTTTATTGTGGCTGACGAAGGCTGCGAACCCTTGCAGAGGCTCTAGGCATACGCCAAACCCCTGGCTCCTGCTTTGCTTTGCGGGAGTTTTCACGGCACACTGTGGGAGGGAGGGCCCAAGCGCGGCGCATCTCCGCAGACGCGTCCGCAGCACGCACGGAGGAAAGTGGCCGCATTCGGTGGAGCACCGGGTTGGGCTCGGGGGGTGAGACGGCTTTCCTGGCTTGGACTGCCAGCGGCTCCCGGCGGAAAGTGACCGCCAGGCTCTGAGGAGGCAATAGCCTTCCGCGCAGCACTTTTGTTTGCCATGATCGCTTCACTGAAATACTTCGGTGATTTTATGCATGAACAACCCCTAGTTTGCGCTAATACTCCCTATGCTTCGTGTGCGTGTATTTGTGACACACCCACCCACACAACTATATACACATGCTTAAAAATAAATGAAGGTAGTTCTCAAAGCTATACAAGCTAGAAGAGGTCCAGTTTCAGGTTGTTACTGTTTTGCTTTTCCAGGAGAGTTCCCCAAAATGAATTGGAAGATTGAACGGGAGGGGGTGATGAACCCTTTCCTGGTGGCCTCTTTCCGCATCATTCATTCAGTCTTCCTTCCCGTAAAGGGCTGAGAGAGACCTCTGTGGCAAAGTTGGGTTTGTGCAGGTGGGGTGGGATTTTGATCACACACACTAGTGGTTCTGATCCTCAAGAGTCAAGACAGTCAAATAAAGCTTATTAAAATGCTGTAATGAACATGCACATTGGGCAGGTTTAGACCATACGTTAAGCTGATGGTAGCAAGTTGCCTGGGTGTCCCAACTGTGCAGCTACAGTGGGGAGAGGGACAGAGGCACCACCTTCTCCCTTCCCCGTGGAGTCCTCCTGCTGGTGTTCCATGGGATACTGCATGAGTACTGAGGGGGATGGGAATGACAGCTGATAAATATGGGTTCTTTGGGCAACTGTCAGCCACTTTGCCATTCCTATCTGATACCAGGAGTGTGGAATTGCTCCCCTCCCGTCATCAGCAAGAGTGTGAAGTAGAAAACCTGGAATGAGAGGACATGAGCCACCTCACACTAGGCTTCACAGCCCAGCCAGGCTGTCCCATTGCTTGGCTGCAGCACCACTAGATAGCACTCCCCTCTACTTGACAAGCTGCTCTCTAACTCCCCTATATCACTACTGCATACGGTCGGGTCAGGAGGCAGCTTGTCCCCTACCCTTACTTCTTTGGCATTTATGGATGCCACAACAGGCAAGAGCAGTGCATTCATCTGGGCCTCTTTCCCTGGAGTCCCAGCCAAACACACCCCCTGCTGCAGAGGAGGGAGAGGAGGGCTTCCTTTCCTCCTTTTGCACTGGACAATTGTGCTGACTGCCATGGGGAAGAAGAGGAGCTTTCCCCACATCCCAGGTGAGGATGGATATGAACAAAAAAAATCTCATAGAAGCAAAAAGTTAGTATAGGAGGTACCAATTAAACTTCATTTGGAAGAGATTTTGATTTGCTGTGGCAAGTCTGAAAAGTCATCTTGTTGACTACCGTCAGTCTCATCTGAAAGGTGAGCCTTCACCCAGTGACCTTAGATAGACAAGTTAATATGAGAATTGGAACTAAGACTAGTCTAGGGTAGTTTGTGCTCCATACTTGCCTAGTGGAGCTGATGCTCAGTTGAGTGCTGGCTCTGACAGATTTAACAGAAAAGGATGAACTGCTCAACATTGGATTTCCAAGGCCTATGCCAGGCACAGGAAGCTGGTTGCTGCTGTGTGAACAGAATGCTGGATTACATGGTACTTAGCCTCTCATTCTTACATCATGCAAAACAATTACCTTGAGAGTATGTTTTGAGGAAGAGCTACACAACCAGTTGCAGGCTAGGTCTAAACTCCCACTCCCACTGTGCTCTTCTGCATTTGAATACTCCCAGAGAGAAGGCTACCAAATGCTCTATTTGCCTTTCTTTAAATAAGTAATAAATCCTTTGTATTTTGTCTTCAATGGTGATTTTGACCCCAGATAGGGATTGGTGATTATAACAGAGAACATGATACAGGAAAGGTTTAATGCAAGCCATTTCAACCCTTTGTACAACCAAACTTTGTTATAAAATCTCACTGTTACCTTGTAAGGTTCAAGTATGTTCAATTGGAGAATGGCCTTTCATAATGTATCTAACTTTACTTTTATGTTTAGGAAACTGAGTGTAAAACCTATAACCAACCCAGTTTTTCTGGATAATGCTGGCACACCTTCAACAAATGGATTGTATGATTTGTCGTTGGGACCACTTGACAACAAAGAAGTGTGTGCTACGTGTGTGCAGGACTTCAACCACTGCCCAGGTCACCTGGGTCATATAGAACTGCCACTTACTGTCTATAATCCTCTCTTTTTTGATGTAAGTATGTTATATTCTAGTTTCTATAGCATCAAGTATTGAGTGTACCATTTGCTTGAAAACAAATATGTCAGCATCTGGGGCATGAGCAGCTGGATATCAGATCAGGGCGCTAGGACCCAGACAACCGGTACATTACGAGGGCCTATTCCAAATTGCAATCAAGTAGTCCAGAGGTCGAGGCTGGTAACAGAAGTAAAAGGTAAGTCAGTCTGAATAGCAAAGAGTAGCCAAAGCCAGTCAGGAGTCAAAAGCCAGAGAGACAAGCCAAGGAGAAGTGCATAAGGAGCAGGTGCATAAGGTGGAGCAGGTGAAGACTGGGAAATCAGGCAGGGTCCAGAAGCAAAGGCATGAACCAGATGACAGGCAGAGTTTCCAGAAACAGGTTCTAGAAGGCACAAAGCACTCGAACAACATCAGAAACCTTCATTGCTGAGGCAGTGTCTGGAGGGAAAAGCTGGTTCTTACATAGCTCTTCCCTCAGGGATCCCAGGGGGTGCTCCTAACAGCCCAGGTGACTGCAATTCATTGTGGGTCCAGTCCTGCCACCACCAGGGCTGTTATTCTGGTCTCTGACCAGAAGCGGGAGCCCTGGCATTGCCTCAGAACCTCACAATATATGAAAATGAGTTCCTGTACTGTGTGATAATAGAAACATAGAAACAGAGCAATCCAGAAAGGGCCTCCTGGGCATGTAGTCTGACCCCCAGCTCCAGCTGGCTTTTGTTTATGACATGCCTACCATGAGCATGTCCAACCTATCCTTGAAAACCCTCACCAATGGGGCTTGAACCACCTCTTATGGAAACCCATTCCATACCCTAGGAGCCCTAACTGTCAGGAAGTACTTTCTGGCATCCAAATTGAACCTTGGTTCCCTGTGATTTGCTCCGTTGGAGCATGCCCTGCCTTCCTCTACTGGGGGAAACAGGTCTCTCCCCACCTCCATGTGACACCCCCTCACGTATCTATATGTCGCCAACAGATCCCCTTGGACTCTTGTCTTCTCCAGGCTGAAAAGATCCAATTCCCTCAGCCTTACCTCATATGGCCTTCCCTGCAATCTGGCACTGCACTGATTCTAACATGGCGATATCCTATATGTAATGTGGAGCCCAGGAATGAACACAATACTCCAGTTGCTGGCACACCAGAGTAATACCTCTCTCAATCTAGAAGCCACCCTTCTGGCTATGCAAGGGTGGCGTTTGCCCTTTTCACTGCCACATCACACTGCTGATTCATGTTTACCCTGCAGTCGACCAGTACCCCGAGATTCCTTTCACAAGTGCCGCTCTTCAGCCAGTTGTCCCCTAACCCGTACTTATGACACCCATTCCTATGCCCCAAGTACAAGACTTTGCACTTATCCTGGGTCATCCTGTTGTCCCCTGCCCACTTCCATAGTCTGTCCAGATCCTTCTGGATCTGGAGTATCTGTTCCTCAGTTGTGGCCACCACCCCCATTTTAGTATCATCTGCAGATTTGATCAGCAGACTGATTAAAGGCAGAGCAATATTGTAAGGCTGTTTAGTAAAGTATGTGAAGCCCTTTGAACATTTGATATTATTAAATAAATGTATAGTATTATAACAAACCAATTGTCTTTATCTTCAGAAATTATTCCTTTTGATACGAGGTTCTTGTATGAGCTGCTGCCATTTGACATGTCCACGTGCCACAATTCATTTACTGCTTAATCAGCTGAAGCTCTTGAAAATTGGGTTGCTTCAAGCAGTCCATGAGCTTGAGGCCGTCTTAAGTAGGGTAAGTTTTGTTCCTCTTTATGTGTTCTTGAGCATATTCTGTGATTTTTCTAATGTATTTTTTTTTCAGTTTTTAGAAGACAACGCAGGCACATGTGGTGCAGACATTGAAGAAATGTTAAGTTTGAAGACAGAAGAAATGCTTCAGAATAACCAACTAAGAGACCAAGGTGCCCATGTAAGTGAGGGAAAAAAAGTATTGTGAACTGTTTCAAATGTGCAATTTTAAAAGAATGCAATTTTATATTACAGTGTTGCGATGGGCTGGACACGACTTCGCAACTAGCAAGCAAGCAAATCCGTTATTTATAACATTGTAGAACAAACCTTTGTTCTGTGATACAGAATGACAATTTGTATTCAAAGTATGCTAAATAGGAAGTTTCAACCTTTCCATCAAAGATGCAAAACATTTGTTGTTCTGTAAGGTTCTTCATCACCTCAGTAATGACATAAAGACCCACTAGCATGTATAAGTGAAGCACTATTGTTTCTTTGTAAATTTTTTAGTAGGAAGTGGAACAGTTTTGAATTCTAGCTATTCCTGCTAGCTCTTTTGTGCTCTAAGTTTCTGCACCATTATCCTAGGATATATAGGATGCCTTTCAAGCTCATTGTATATTTAAGCAAAATATATTTAGAAGAGCAGGCAGACAGAAACAGAAGCTAAGTCACTACATGTGAAAAATGCAGATGTAAGGTTCCAGGGGCTCCTTTGATTTGCTGATCATCAGAGGTACAGTGTTCTTTACTGAAATAATGAGGAGGATAATTACTGCTTTGTGTTACTACAGTGCCTTTGTAGTCAAATTGGAAAGATACATCCTAATCAAGAGGATCTAGGCTGTATTGCTTTCTGATAGTTATGACAAAGCTGGTGAAATGCATCCAGGCATTTTTTTCTGTGAAAATATTAAATTAAGGAAAAATGTCAACAAAGGGGCAAAAACATCTTTTGGATGTTCAGGGACAAGCACATACAAAGAGAGTTGATTGAGTACTATGTGGTTAATCTTAGTCCACTCAGGTTATATGCAAAGTGTGGCTGTGAATATGCAACTTACTTCCATCCATCCAAGCAGATATTTTTTACTCAGGTCTGCTTTCTTAGTACCAGATATGTGATGCCCAAGATCACAATCATTTCTGTTATAGCAGCAAGAAATGGTGTATTCTGTATTAATGATTAGCCTATTTACACATTACATTTGCCCTTGCATGGGTAAATTTGAGAATTAGAGCTTATTCATATGTAGGTTCTTCATTTCTTTACTGCTCAATAGCCAGTGCTTTCTGGGTGGTTCATAACAATTAAAATAATAAAATACAACTTAAATTGCATTGAAAGTATATAAAATTTAAATTACAATATAAAATAGAAATAAAAGTAAAAATAGCAACAATACAAAAAAGTAAAATTCAGTAAAGGGTTTAAAGCAACAGGCTGAAAGACTAAAATTCCTGGGAAAATAAGCTTAGGTGTTATTAATTTTGCATACCATTTCTGCATTATATCCTACCATGTTCATTTCACTAAGCAGTCGGGATTTAATTTGAGAGCAGACAAATCCTTTTGTGACAAAATGTGAAAATAAGTTTGCATTCTAAAATCATTGCAGGTTAATATTTTAAAATTAATATTCGTTTTCAGTGTTGAAATTGCTTTACATCAATTTTTCTGTTACTTCTAGAACTTTATTTTTCATTCTCTGGTTTTAGGTAAAAAATGTATGTGATTGTAGAAATAAACTTATTTCCCAGTTCTGGAAATCACACATGAATTCAAGGAGATGTCCAAACTGCAAGTGAGTATAATCAAGTACAACTTCTTATGGGCTTTTAAATTCCCTGTTTTCTTATTTAAATATTAAAAATGGCTCCATTTTATGTACATATTGGATTGACTGTGATGTTGTCTCATCCTCTCCCTAAGAGCGGGAAGATCACTTGTCCGAAAAGAGCACAATAGCAAACTCACCGTGACTTACCCCACTGTGGTACTCCAAAAGTCAGGCGAACAAACGATAGTGGAGGAAGCTGCAAGTATGTATGTTCTCTTGTAATAATATAAAAAAGTATAACTTCATACTGATTATATTTGTTATGCTAAAGCATGCAATGTAGTACTTGGAATCTTCACAATTTTTCATGTGTCTGAAAGAAAGACCAACTGTCCTGACCAACAGTGAAAATGCTATTTTTTAAATAATATTTTCTTAGTATGTTTCTTCATGGAGGGTTAAAACTGGTCTTAAATTCATACTTGGAGGAAACTCATTTAATACAATGAAACAAAGTTATATCTATCTTTTAAGTATCATTTATTTCAGTGGATCTATTCTGAATATGACTAAGTCCGGATCCAACACACAGTGGTATATCTTATCTTAGGAGTTGCTGTGCTGAATGTTAATTGTGCAATGTTAATTGTGTAATCAGTGGCATGGTAATAGTATGCATGCATTTATAACTAGTCCCTTAAAGCATTCAGTAATGAGGTACTACACAAAAGACTGAACAAAGATTGCATTGTATTTACTGTTCCCCATTCATATGTACAGAATGAAGATTGCACGTTTTCATTGAATCTCATTCAATTTCATTGAATCATGTTTTCAATGTGTGTGCATGCACAATCCACAGTTATTTCATCATTGCAGAAATCACAGTTCTATCCTAACGTCTTGTGAAGAGTTACGTTTACTGTGCTAGCCACTGTAAACAGGGAGAGTTTTAATTGCTGTTTATTACATTTTTTGATGGAAATAGTCCTAGATTTGACCCCAGTCACTCTGGCAGATACAATCTTTGGAGTATTGGTGACGCAATTTTTGTATTTGTTTATAATGTTCAGATAGTCAGTATGTAAGTGCCCATTGTATCCTAGTTTTTCTCCTTGATGTGGAAATCTGATGGTACTATATCAGGAATTCATAACCTCAGGTCTGCAGGCTGAATTCAGCCCTCCTGGGAATCATACCCTTTGGGGTTCTGCCCCACTTTCCTGGACCACTGATTGCTTCAATGTTCCATGCCTTTTTCACCCCAACTTTTAAGCTAAGGTATGACTTTGTCTGTTTTGCCTTCAGCCCAACTCTCCATTGGGCCCTGAGAGCTTTTCTAGAATGTATTTTGGCCCTCAGATGAAAGAGGTTTGGCATCCCTGTATCGTGTGAACAATTTTATTCTGCAAGAGATTTTCCACCAGCTGCTGCTTCTTTCACAGCACTTAGTCTCTTGCATTCTCTATATATCTGACTCTTTCCACTGCTAACCATAAACTTCTATTACAGCAGTAACGTAATTAATTCCCCCTGACCCCAACATTGATTAGGGTTGTTCCATGAATGGGATGTTGCTCCATGTTCAGGTGCTTACTTCCTTAAAATGGAAAATGGACAGTAAACAGGGCATATATTGTATGCTTTGAACTAAAACTTGCACTGCATTCCAGTTATAATTTTTAATCCTTTGCTATCTCTTTATTGATGTAGGTTAATCCAAATATAAAAGAAATAGAATTTTCATAATTCATCTTAATTATTTGGACATGTAGTTACATCAGTGTAAAAAGTGATAGTGGAGTGGTTTGATGCAGGTAGTGAGTATGAGGCATACCTTCTTTGCCTCAGGTGACTCACGAACACCTGAAAATAAGTCTTTTAATCTCTCCCACTTGGTGTCTGGGTAACCTTCTTACTCCTGAGAGGTGCATAGGTGAAGTAGTGATGATCTGGGAGCTCCTTGTATGTCTGTATCGCACACACACTGCACACAGTACCTACCCATGCATACTCTTCCCTTTTCTGCATCTTCTCTTCCTTGCTAATCAGCTGGGGGAGATACATAAATCATGTCTCTGAGACTTAACATTGTAGTACAGCAGTGTTGTGTTGGGGAAAACAGTGCTTGGGGAAGACTTCCCTCACTTGCTCTTTTTTCCAGCAGAATCACCTTCTCAATAGTCCATTAAACAGCTGTTCCCCAGCATGATTGGGGGGGGGGGGGTGGTAGCAGTGCATAGTGGAGGGATTAGGGGGTGCATGTGCAGTGGGCCACAGGCATCCAAGGACCACAAGATCCTTGCTCTATACCAAAGATATATCCCAGAACATGTTTAACCATGTTTAAAGGAAGCACTGTTTAGGAAGCACTATTGTAGTTCCATTAATCAGCAGTCATATGACATATTTGTAATAGGAAGATCATACAAATATATCCTTGTCCATACTTGGAGATGTTTCTGTGTTCAGCTTACATCTTGTACTGTGTACCTGTGCATTAGGGATGGCTTTGTTTGACTGGTGCTGGTAGTGAGCAAGTGCAGCTTTGCTCTGTTTGAATTTTCCAAGTAACCTGACACAGTCTAAAGTTCTGCCTTGAACCTAAACTTTTTAGCCATAGAAGAAACTCAGCTAGGAAAACGAGGCTTCATGACACCTACTACTGCCAAACAACACATTGAAGCTTTGTGGAAAAATGAAGGTGTGTGAGTAAAATTGCTTGCTAAATTTTAATAGTTGGTGCCTCTTTGAACTACTGACCTTGGAGTGTATTTTGTTTGTGGCCAAATATGTGGATTAGGTATGCAAGCCTTTCTGTAGTACGTTTGTTTGTTATTTTCCCCTTCCATTGAACACACTGTTTTTGTTAGAAGAGGAGTGCTACAAATTCTAGATACAAATTCTAGAATTCTTCATTGAATTAATTTTGATGAAGTTTGAGCCAAAGAGCTTCTCACTGGATTGTAGCCTATGGGTCTGATAGAATAATAGATTAATAGAGTTGAAAGGGACTTAAAAGGCCAACAAGTCCAACCCCGCTTTTACAAGTGGCCCAACCCTAATCAGCACTTAACATAGAATTGTAGGAAAACTTTCCTCACACTAGCCTTGAGAATGAAACATTGGTAAATGCTAAGAAGGTTCCTTGTTGGTTGGTGTGCAAAAGGCATCCCAGACACACCCTAAGCTTGTCTCTGTTTTCTGAGTCAGGCCTTCCCTTGGCATCTAATTTCCTTTTCCTTTATGTATTTGTCCTCCCTGGAAAATTTCCTCCTCCCCACTGTGGTCCTTAAAGTTTTCTGCTTATACTGAGGTTCCCCCCGCCCCACCTCTACTAGTGTAGCAATGGATGCAACTGACAAGGAGAAGTCTAGGACTGGCAGAATAACTAAAGCTCTGTTGCATGATCCCTGTGTTTCTTTGGTGATAGAAGGACTCATTGGAGAGATATTTTCCTCATGGCAACTCAGAAGGAACTTTCTTCGTAGGGACCAGTGTTCTATTATATTTCAGGTTCAGTGGTCATTCTAATGATTTTTTTCTGTTTAGGATTTTTCCTTTGCAAGCTTTTTTCTGGCATGACAGTCACTGGTGATTCAAGTTTCAATCCTGATATGTTCTTCCTAGATAAACTTGTTGTTCCACCTTCTAGGTAAAGAAATACTTTTTACCTTCATTTCACAATGTTATCTTAATTTTTTTTAATTATTTACAGTTGTGATTTTATCAGCCATAGTTAGATCATATTGCTTTCCTCAGTATAACCAATGTACTCCAATGCAGGTATCGACCTATGAGTTGTGTTGGAGACCAGATGTTTGCAAATGGTCAAACGGTAAACTTGCAAGCTGTTATGAAGGATGCAAACTTGATTCGAAAGCTTTTGGCTTTTATGGCTCAAGAACAATGTCAGTCCAAGCAAACTGAAGAGGAAAACCTCAAGATGGTAAATTCAGGGCCTGTTCATTGTCCCCAGTTTCAGGCATCTGGTTAAACTTCAATAAGATTCTTTGATTATTTTTCCTTGTGTACAATTGAACAAACTCATATTGAAGTTCCTGATTCTTTGTGAAGGAAGCTGAATAGCTGCAGATGTGATGAATCTTTTTAGAATTACATTGATATGCCACTTTTTCCCCTTTTGCAAGGAAGACAAGACTACTTACATGGTCCTCTTCCCTTCCATTTTATGTTCACAACAGCCCTGTGAGATAGGTTCAGCTGAGAGTCAGTGGCTGGCCCAAAGTCACCCAGTGAGGTTCATGGCCTGAGTGGAACTAGAACCTGGCTCTCCTAAGTCCAAATGATAACCACTACGCTGTGTAAACTTTATCCCTCCCTCCCTCCCTCCCTCCCTTAGTAGGGTGGATCTGCAGCAGGTTGGGGTAGGATTAAGTGCTCATACATGCTCCTTCTTCCCTGCTTACTGCTTTTTAGTAAATGAGTCCCCAGCTCTGTTTCATTAAGGAGAATGTGTAGATTAAGCTTCCTAAGACCAGTACCTGCCATATATTTTGGATGACACTTCCCAGCATTCTGACTAATGGCCAAGCTGACTAGGGCAGATAAGAGTTGAAATTTGAAACATCTGGAGGGCACCAGGTTGGAGAATACTGATATAGATTAAGCAGTGCAGAATTTCCTTAGTAGGATGGTATAAGGTGAGATGACAAGTGTATCTGGATAGATTTATTATGGCAAAAGGTCATCCAATCATCCTTTGAGAAGGAACTGCATGTAAAACAGTTGAACTACACAAATGAATCCTAATGGTATAGGGTAGCTTCTATGTTTCTAAAGAGTCAGACTACTGGTCCATCTAGATCAGAGAGCTTTGGCTATTGGGCAGTATAGAAGTAAAAATAATAATAATGTTACTGCCTTGCATGATTGCCTTAGATCCTACACTTGGATTGTTATTCTGTCTGTGTAAATATGTCAGGAGGTACTCCTTTAGCCTGTATAGATGTCAAAGTGCTGACATAATAAGATTGTGTCACCCAGTTCCATTTAAATGTCTAGTTGCCCTGTTTTGGACTAATTGAAGTTTCTGGACCATTTTCAAGGCAGCCACCTATATAATACACTGCAATAATTCAAAGAAGAGACTATTAGAGGGTGAATAATTACTGCTAGGCTCACAGTTGCTATATTGCCTAAGTTGTTAAAAGGCACTCTGAGTCCCTGAAGCTACCTGTGCCTCTAGTGATAATGGAGGATACCTCCAAACTACAGCCGGATCCCTTAGGATTTAGTGTAACCCATTCTACAACAGACAGAACCAGGCTGTTGCTGCTGTCTCTAAAAGCAGAAGGTAAAATTGGAGGAAGTAGCATAAAGAACTGTGTCAATCTGGCCACATTCCATATGGATAGCAGCCAGCCAAGCTTCACTCAGCAGCTATTTCCATTTTCTTTCTGTGACAGAGGTGGGGAAATTGAAGTTATTAGGGCTTTCAGATCATAGTAAGCTTCCAAGCAGTGAATACACTGGGTTCTTTGATTCCCAAGGGGAGAAGTATACCTCCAGAACGTAGAGTGGAGTTGTGTAGTAGGTAGATACCCAGATTTTGGGGACTTTATTTCCCAGAAGCCCCAGTCAGAATGGCCAGTGGTCAAGAATGTTGGGGAGTTGAAATCCAAAATATCGAAATATCTACTTTCTGCATACCCCTGCAGTAGAGTACTTGGACAGCTGCTAGCTCCTTTCATTCCCCTATCCCCTGGTCAGTGGAAAAGAGGGAAAATAGATTTCTGAATGTCTTTCTGTATTTTCAGTTCAGCAGCATGGCAGGGCATTTGGTAGCCCAGGAAAAACCAGTGGGTCTCTTCCAAAATATAGTCTTGTTGAATATAACAAGGCAAGGCTCTGACACATTTCTTCCCTCTCCTTTCAGAAAAGACATAGCATCTTCTAAGGTCAGGGTTATGGGCTCCTTAAGTGACCTTGGACTCACATTCTCATTCTCAGTTTTGTATTTAACAGAGAACCACAGTTTCAAAGTGTTTCTGAATATGATTTTTCCTTTGATGAAGTTTTATTTTAACTTCCCACAGATGGAACAGCAACCCTTGGAACCTCTAGATCATTCTGTCCTGGTGACAATCCCAGGGCAGTCTCCTGCAGATAAGCTATACAACATTTGGATTCGCCTGCAGAGTCATGTAAATATTTTGTTTGACAGTGACATGGATAAATTAATATCTGAAAAATACCCTGGTGTGCGTCAGGTGAGAATTGCAAAAAAATATTAAGTGCTTTGTTGAATTTTTTGAAGTTATATGGCGTTACAGGAAGGGACTAACATATTTTGAATATTACTGTACCACAAATGTGTTTGTTTTTTATATTTGAACAATGTATTTTTAAAATGGCTCCTAGGGTTGTTCACATTGCTGTATATTATATTTAATGTAGTAAAATCAATATAATATAGCAAAATACATCAATCATAATAAAACTAACAAGAAAGCGGCAATAAAATTAGGTTAAGAGATGGATCTTTGAAAGCCTGGGAAAACAAAAACATTCTCCTAGAAGCAAAAAGTTAGTAGAGGAGACACCAGATAAACTTCGTTTAGAAGGGAACTTGATTTGTTTAACAAATCCTGAAAAGCCATCTTTTTGACTACCATCTGTCTCATCTTAAAGGTGAGCCTTTACCCAGTGACCTTAGATAGACCTTAGATAGACCTTAGATAGACCAGTTAATATGTCCCTTCCAGTTAATTTGTGAAGTGGAATTCCTTTAGATATCCAGATCCTAAAACATATAGGTATTTAAAGGCTAGCACCAACACTTTGAATTGTACTCTGAATAGAAGTACTAGAAGCCAAACAATGGTGTAATATGATCCCAATGACTCCTCCCAGTCAGTGCGCTGTAGCAGCTGTAGTCTGAGGTATCAGCATTTTTCAGGAGGTCTTCAGTGGTAACCCTACATCTAGTGTGTTACAGTAGTTTATTCTGGAAGTCACTAGACCATGTATGACCATGTGCAGCTTATCTCTGTCCAGGAGAAGCTGCAATTGGCACTCCAACCATAACTGATGGGGGACAATGGGTGATACACTTGGACTTGAAAGCTGGATTTTAGAGCATCGCTAAATTATAAACCTGATTATTTAGGAAATGTTTGACTCCCATCTAGAATAGGCTAACATTTACTTGAGCAGATGAATTGACTGCCCATTTTGTAAGGATTTGGCTTGTTTATTGGCCCTTATCTAGCTTCTTAATGGTTCAGAACTACTACCATCTCACTTGACTTAGATGAAAATGAGAATTGATTATGGCTGATGTCTTGATCACACCTTACCCTGAAATCCCAGATTACTTCCTCCAGCAGTTTCATATACAGGAGAAGATCGTTTCAATGGATCTTGTTAATGAAAACCCATATTTCAGAACTGTAAAACTAATGTTAATCTTTTTATGTCTGTTATTTTTGGGAAAGATTCTGGAGAAAAAGGATGGTCTGTTTCGTAAGCACATGATGGGAAAGCGAGTGGATTATGCTGCTCGGTCGGTCATTTGTCCTGATATGTACATTCAGACCAATGAAATTGGTATTCCTATGGTACGTGAAAAGTGTGTTTAGTATAAAAAGAGACTTTATCAGTAAAGATTTGGGGTTTGGCCTTCTTATAGTCTCTCCTAATTCAAGATGTTGATCTTGGCATTTGTAAATAAAATCATTATCAACTAAATCATCATCAAATAAATAATTATCAAAATCTTTACTGTTGAATGTCAGCAGACAGATATTAAATTTTTGATTCAGTAGAACAGAATTTAAATTTGCAGAAAATGTTTGACACATCTTCCCAAAAGATTCTTAAGAAAGTTACATTTACCAAGGGATAGGATATCTCCATTACTGCATTTTTTGAAGTGTAATGTGGGATGACCCAAGCGACTACACTGGAATTGGTTGTTTTAACATTCTGTATAAGTGAGACAGGGATATATGGAAACTGATGAAATAAGCTTATTAAAGGTCATTTTGTGAATGTTTTAAATCAATATTCTCAATGCCTCTTCTCAGCATATCCCTAATTATTCCTTACTTGTAAGGCTTAGACTAATGTTTTCTAATATGTTTCTTCCAACATACTTTCAAGATTAGTCAATATTAGGCATATGTTATTAGGGACATCTCATTGTTTATTAGAAGAAAATATTTGTATGAATTGCTATTTGTTTGTCTTCATCAATATAAATTGTGCTTTACACAAGAACATCAGCAAAATGAAAGTGCTGATAACCTAAGACACAGAAGGGCAGACAAAATAGGAGAAGGAAAGAAAATAAGAAAGGAAGGGGCAGTAGTAGCAGAAAATGCATATGGATCTATGCAGCTAAATGCATCTGGACCTTGTTTTCAGTTGTAGGTGAGGACTAAAGGATTATGACAGGAGTAATATGGCAATGAGTTTGACAGTCCATGTGGTGACTGGACTGTGGAATTTGATAGCAAAGTAAGGGGAGTGGAGGTGGACCTAGTTAGATAGGAGAAAACTGAAGTTAATCTTAGCTCCAGTGATGACCTCAATTGTTTATTTTTTATTTTTTGGAGGTATTTGCTACCAAACTGACCTATCCTCAACCTGTGACTCCCTGGAATGTTCAGGAATTGAGGCAAGCCGTTATAAATGGACCCAACCAGCACCCTGGTGCTTCCATGATTATCAATGAAGATGGGTCTCGCACAGTATTGAGCATAACTAGCCAGACTCAAAGGGAAGCCATAGCCAAACAGCTCCTAACTCCTTCCACTGGGGCACCAAAGCCAGGGATAAAAATTGTAAGTATTGTCCAGACTTAGGCTGACTTGGTTTTTTATTGGAAGAGATACGTTGGTGCTCAGGTAGCTGACAAGGTGAAATCACAATAATTAGTTTAGACTACATTCTATTATCTTTTTGCTTGAGTCACTTTTATTTTCTACCATGCATGTTTTGGAGATATGAACTGCATTTTTTACAGCAACTAAGAATATCATAATGAACATATCCTGAGATTGTGTACAAACATTTCTGGCATGTGTTATTTTATGCTATTTATGCCTTTCTACCCTGCTTTGCAGCATGCATTGTCCTTGTAAGGCAGTGATTCCCAACCTTTTGTATGCCCTGCACCCCTAGAAAATGTTTAATTTATGTTTGCAACCCCTGCAAAAGTGTTACCACAATTTGAACCACAAATTGAAGGCAAAAAAATAAGCTTTTAATTCCTTTTTTCTTTTTTCTTTTTTTTATTATTTTAATATATACAAATACATGGAAAATATAGAATAAAAACTAATATAAGTAGAACAGACTAAAGTGAACAAAATAAACAAGTTGCCAAGGGAATTAAAAACAAATACAGCCCATATATTGCAGCTCCCAAAACTGACTCTTCATAACTCTATGAGAGTTTGCAAAAAGAAAAAAAATGTTCTATACATCAACAGATTTTCTAATCAGTTCAAATTCTACTGCTTTCTTTTTTCCTTTCCAAACTCGCCTGAACTTCCATTAGTCATGCTATGCACAATAAAATTTCCATTTGTCATCAAATTCTTCTAATGGCCTTCTATTTACATAATTAGTTAGCTTTGCCATCACTGCATATTCTGCTACTCTGTTTCTCCATTCTTCAATGGCTGGGGCTCTGGTGATTTCCATTTAGAAGCTATTGTGATTCTTGCTGCTGCTGTCATATGCTTAAATAACTCTGACATGTTTTTTAAAAGGGTCTCTGGCATGATATTCAAAAGCATGTTCTTGGGACTCAGGAAACATAATTTAAAGATTTTCTGCATTTCTGCATGCATCAATTCACAAAATATTTGTGTAATTTCACAAGTCCACCACATATGATAGAAAGTCCCATCTACCCTGTTACATTTCCAACATTTTTCATTATAATTCTTATCTATTTTTCCAATATCTTTTGGAGTAATGTACCAATAAAACATAAAAGACAAGCTTCTAAGTCAGATAAAATTCCAATATAAATTGAGCAATTAGAAAAAAATATAAACAGTAAAATCAATCCCAATTGTGAATATAAAATTCAATGACTTCTGCTTTTCATTCACAATTTTGTCAAAACGTGGAACTTTCTTGCTGAATGTGATCAACAAGTCTGCCTGTGGATTCAGGTGATTCCTAGATTTTCTCTGTCTTGACAAAAGAACATGCAATTCAAATACAAACAAAATAATAACAAATAATTTTATTAACGAGATTTTTTTTTTTTTTTGGCAAAAAACTTTGTGATGCTGCTTCTCCTGGTGCGGGCACCCCAGGTTGAGAACCCCCATTCTAATGGCAACTTACAATGAAAGAGCATTAACAGTCCCCCTTTCTTTCAACTAGCTGCAGTCTAGTATGCCTGCTCAGCCCAGAAGTGGAGGGCTCAAGGGTTCTGGTTAGTCTTTAGGAGGATAGAAAGACTTTGTGTCCCTTACTGCACCATTGAGTGTCAGGATCACATAGCTCCACTGTAATATTTCTGCCTCTATGTTATGTATCTTTGCAGCCCTCTTTGGACTGGTTATTTTCTCCCTCTACCCTCACATACTCCTTTTGGTTGTCTGCCAGTAGCCATTCTTAACTTTGTTGGAAAGGAAATGTTTCTGTGGCTGAATTTGAATCTCTTCCAGGTGTGCCGCCATATTAAAAATGGAGATGTCCTTCTGCTGAATCGACAGCCCACCCTCCATAGGCCCTCCATCCAAGCTCATCGAGCAAGAGTTCTGCCTGGAGAAAAGGTTCTGAGGCTTCACTATGCCAACTGCAAAGCTTACAATGCTGATTTCGATGGTGATGAAATGAATGCTCACTTCCCTCAGAATGAGCTTGGCCGAGCAGAAGCTTATATTCTGGCCTGTACTGATGAGCAGTATCTTGTTCCTAAGGTGAATCACTCAGCCGTGGGGTAAATCATATTTGCTCTTTATGTTTTTCCAGAATGTTTCCTTTTTTGTTTTTAGCCATTTTATGAAGTTGAGTGGTATGGTGTGGGTTCCAAAAGTTCAGTTGCCTTGGTAAAGGCTTCTTTTATTGATGAATAAGAATGCAAATCTAATTGTGTAAGTAAGAGTTGGTGCATGCTGTATTTATGATAAAACCAGCCATGCTGGATGAAACCAGGGGTCCATCTAGGTCTATATCCTGCTCACACAGCTGCCTAGGGAACCCACAAACTGAATATGAGTGGCACAGCACCTTCACACCAGTGTTTCCCAGCATGCTGCCCACTGATATTGGTGACTGCACACACAGCATTCTCTTTTGTCCTAGCCTTGCACCTTGTCAATGACTCTAAGAAGGTAAAAGCATCCTCTGTTTCACCTTCAAAACATTACTCTGTTTAACACAGGGCTGTATTGTGGAGGTTTCACCATTTCTCTACAGTGGTACCTTGGCTCATGAACTTAATCTGTTCCAGGACTCTGGTTGTGATCCATAATGGTCGTGACCCAAGTTAAATTTCCCCATAAGGTTCAATGTAAATAAGGTTAATCCTTTCTGTAACTATTTTTTTAATTAGAAAAATGTGAAGCAAAGTGACAAAGAACAACAAAGATCGCAGCCATCTCCCCACCCCACAAACCCCGAATGCGACCATCTCTCCACGCCCCCAAGCACAACCACGATCACGTCTGTCATCCCTGCACGCTCTCATCATCCCGGCACACTGGGGAGGAGGGGAGACGGCGTGATCATGAGCGCGCTGGGGGAGGGAGAGATGGGTGCGCTCGGGGCGCCCTGGGGGAGGGAGACGGGTGCGCTCATGCTGTGGCAGGGAGATGGCCAAGATCGTGGTTGCGCTCCTGCAGGAAAGACGGGTGCGATCTCGGCCATCTCCCCCCTGCCCCCGGGGGAGGGGGAGAGACGGCCGCGATCGTGGTTGTTGTCCAATATGGAGTTCACGACCTGAGTTAAATTTTTTATGAAATTTTTGTTCGTGACCCAATTTGGTCGTGAACGGAAGTGTTCATGAGCTGAGGTACCACTGTATATTGCTAGTGCTAGGTAAGTGCCCAGAAAAGAGGAGGAATAGTGATAAGATCATGGACTAGGGCATGTTGCATAGGGAGAGAAAGAACAAGTTTCAAAAGTTTCTGTCATTTATCCATTAATCACAGTGTTCAAAGAACGGAAACCTTTCCCACTGGTCTTACTAATGTATTGTTTGATGCTTTCTTTTCTGCCTGTTTAATGTATTTCTTAGGATGGAAAACCATTGGCAGGGTTGATCCAAGATCACATGGTCTCTGGTACCAGCATGACCACACGGGGCTCCTTCTTTACCCGAGAACAGTATGTGGAACTTGTATACCAAGGGCTGACAGACAAAAAAGGAAAAGTAAAGCTTCTCCCTCCATCCATTATAAAACCACAGACATTATGGACAGGAAAGCAGGTAGATTAAAAATGGCCAGGCTTCTTACATAAAATCATCTTTTCAAAGTTGAATAGTGTGTTTTAGTAAAGGTGTGCTTTCTCAGTAAATGAATGGACACAGTTTTTAGTGTTTGTTTTTATTTGGAGTTACATGATTATATATATTTAAAAAAATAAATTGTTTCCCTGTAAAAATGTGGAGGAGCAATTTATCTTGTAAACAGGACAGGAATAATACTAATTGATTAATAATATGACCTGTGAATGCATTTCTTGACTACCACCAGCAAAGACAGCTTCATTTACCATCCCAGCAGTTCCATGACACTCTGCCTCTTCTTCATGATCCTTTTCTGTTTTGCTTTTCTTTTCCTGGATTTTATGTTGTTTGATTTACCTACTTGTTCTGTCCTGCTAATATTGCACTCAGTCCTTGCTCTTCGTGCATCTTTCTCATCATCCTAATTTAGGTAGGTTAGTTGTAATTTGTTTGCCTAATGCTTCTATTACATTAGATCCTCTCACTGTTTTTCCTCATTTGCTTCAGTTTCTCTTCTGGTTTTGTTTTGTTTTTAGATTGTGAGCCTGTGAGCAGAGACTCATTTTGTTTTTGTTTCTGTACAGCATCTAGTTCATATTAGATGTTCAGTAACTGAGTATGATAATAGAATGTTTAAAAAGCACCAGAATCCTTTCCATGGGTTACCTGTTTCTAAGGCCTTGAAGTGTTTGTATTGTTCATTATATTAACTATTCAAGTGTGTAAAATAATTTCCTATCCACATAGGAAAATAAAACATTTGCAAATGGAAAGTAAAAATAAAGTGTCATGAAGGAACCAGTTGCTTATCAAAACTAATTATTTAAGAGTTTACTAATATCTAGTGTTTTATCTCAGGTTGTTTCTACAGTGCTAATTAATGTAATTCCAGAGGATCATGCTCCACTGAATTTATCTGGGAAAGCTAAAATTGGTGCAAAAGCCTGGATGACAGTACCGGCTTCTAGAATGTATGGACCAGATCTTGATTTTATGTGTGAATCTCAGGTATGGAATCAGTATTTATGAGTGTTTGTGTATGTGTTGTACACACAGGAGCATGCACACATGACACATATTTGGCATCTGCATAGGCTCACATATTTTGGCTGCCCTTGGTAGCCAGGTAAAATACATGTTGTTTTAACCTGACTGGTAGGGGCGAGTTAGACCTTGTCTGACACCATAGCAAGTTTTAGAGTTTTAGGCATAAAGGACAATCTTGAGCTCCAGACCCAAGAGGAGAGAAGGGTTTGCTTCTGTGATTGGGAGGCAGTCAAAACAGCAACTTCCAGAACAATTTCCTGCCTTCCTCCCTTTAAAACTCAGGAGAATGGAGAATCCTATTACCTATAAATTCTTATTGGGGGTTTTTTTTTATTTGTCCACTTATTTATTTATTTAAAATATTTCTACCCCGTCCTATACAAAAATCATCCCAGGATGGCTTACAGTATTTAAAACAATAAACAAAGCAATAAATGAACAACATTCATAGCACCAACAAAAACTAAATGCAACTGTTGATATTAAATACCATTTAAAATTCCTTAATCATTAAAGTAATGGGTAAATATAAAGGTTTTTACCTGGTGCTGAAAAGAGTATAAAGTCGGTGCCAGGCAAACCTCTGTGGGGAGCACATTCCACAATCTGGGCGCGATTGTGGACACCTCCATGTGGACACCCTCTTTACCTCCTCAGGGTGGGTTCCTGGAGCAGGGCTTCTCCTACCGATCTTAGAGTACTTGTCTAAACAGTTTGATACTCTCCTCCCTGACTAATTTTTTAGTTAAAGAAATAATTAGCCAAGGAGATGAACTAGGTGGCACTTCCTACTTCCTCTCAAATGGGAGAAGCTACTGATTTAGTAAGGAATATGAGATACGCACAGGCCTACCCAGTAAGTGGAATGCATATCCAGAAAAAATAAGACAGACAAGACTGCTGTCTAGCAAACCAGCAGTAGTAAGCACATTTTCTGTCCTCTTTTTTAGGGTGGTTAAAAAAATGCTCAAATACAAATGAAGCCTCTATAACATTTTAAAATGTTTTATTACTTTAAAAAAATAAAGGATATTTAAAAATATTTTTTCCGAAAATGATAGCCAGCCATACTTCTCTGGTGAGCTGTGTAACCAGCAGTTCAAACTGTGTTCAGAAATAGACCAGAAGCCACTGAAAATCTCTCAATATTGCAAATGTTCCCACCAACGAGTCCCAGTCTACACCCGAAAGCTGTATTTTGAACTAAATGAAGTTTTCAAACAAATGAACACTGTATTACAATATTCAGTAGTAGCTGTTATCCACGATATTATAACTGGACAGACTTTTTTGTCCAAAAGAAGCTGCAGTTAGAAAGTTGGAACCAGGAATATCCCTAGGCCAGGGGTCGACAACATGGCTCTTGAATCCCTCTGCTGTGGCTCCGTTGCTCAAAATACACGTCACAGCCCCCGATCTGCGACATGCGCCGGCACAGCACAGACCCCGATCTGTTTCATAAATGCAACACACTATAGTTTTTTTATACATAGCATAAAGGTAAAAATATACGCAGTGTTATTTTCATTTTAGAGGTCAAAAGAGTTTTGCGGCTCCTGGTGTTTTCTTTTCTGTGGGAAACTGGTCCAAATGACTCTTTGAGTGTTAAAGGTTGCTGACCCTTGCCAACCAGTCCCAGTCTACACCCGAAAGCTGTATTTTGAACTAAATGAAGTTTTCAGACAAAGGAATACTGTATTACAATATTCAGTAGTAGATGTTATAATATTGTGGATAACTGGACAGACTTTTTTGGCCAAAAGAAGCTGCAGTTAGTACCCAGGCCTAAACTGATGAAAGGCATTCTTAGTCACAGAGGCTGCATGGGATTTAATGAGAAAGTTGGAACCAGGAATATCCCTAGGCTATGGACCCAATCCTCTGTGGAGTGTGCAACCCTGTTCAGAACAGTTTTCAAATTATTGGCCCTTATCCAGGCTATTACTGATTCCAGATCAGCATTTCTACTGCCTCACTTGAGGGTTGTGACCCTTCCACTGCATCTGCATTGCCATCCAGAACAACCCCCCCCCCCCAGTATGATATTAGTCAATGGACAGTTCTTTGCTGTGATTTTAATTGAGCCAGGATTTAAAAAAAAAATCCTGGGTTTTTTTTGGGATCAGGAACATGACACATGAGCCTATCCTGATACAGACCCATAAGCTCTAGGCTCAGCCTATGTATGCATAAGCCCAGGTCTTCTACTGTTTTGATAAAACATTGGTATATAAATGAGCATGAATTTATTGTGGTGTTTCAGTCTACCTTTTTCTTTTGCATCTCAGGTTTTAATTAGAAATGGAGAGTTGCTCTGCGGAGTCTTGGATAAAGCTCACTATGGTAGTTCTGCCTATGGTTTAGTTCACTGCTGCCATGAGGTCTATGGTAGTGAGACCAGTGGAAAGGTTTTGACTGCTTTGGCTCGGCTCTTTACTGCCTACTTACAATTCTACAAAGGGTTTACAATGGGTAAGCGAGGTATTTTACTTTGTGGTTTCTCTAGAAAGAAAGAAATAGTTGCTCAATACCCAAACGATGACAGGAATGTCTCCAAGAATGAGATCACTGGGTTCACACAACATAGTGTTTGAATCAAGCACATATGTTTGCTGTAATGTAGGAAGCTGGCTTATTCCGAGTCAGAGCATTGTTCCATTGTTGTAGATTGGCAGCAGCTCTCCACAATTTCAGGCAGGATTCTATCCTTGTGCTCCAGGGAGGTGCAAGAGGCTGAACCAGGGACGTTCTCTAGCCAAAGCACATGATCTACCACTAAGATATGGCTCCTTCCAATTAGCTACAGCCCATTATGTTCTTGTTAGGAGACTGCATAAGCTGGTTCTCTCTGTATTCAATGTGTGAGTGTGTGTGTGTGTTTTTCTGACCTTTACTGATACAGGCTCAGTTTTTGCCTTCATTGGGCTGCAGTGTGTGATTTCAACACTGCAGGATGCTAATTGGATCTCCCTGCCAAGCTACTTGCCAAATAGCTGCTTGATCCAGTTGTTTTGTAACCTGCAATATGTTGCTTTTGAAGCCTGTTTAAAAACTTTAAGCAATACAGAATTTGGTAATCAGTTTGTTGACTGGGATGGGACAATATATATATATATAAATTGTATTTTTATTGTATATTTCTTGATTTGTAACCTGCCCATGGAGTCTTATGGCTGATGGGGTGGGATAAAAGTCCAATCAATCAGCAAGCAAGCAAACCAGCTTGCTTTTGGTTCACCCTTACTGGTTGCCTCTCACTGTACTCAGTCCCTAAGGTCAGTTTCAAAGAACCACCCTTAGGTGCTGCCTCTGAGAAGAGCTCAGGAGAATCAGTTTGGGAACAGGCCTTTTCTGTGATAGCCCCGTGTCTATGGACTCCTCCATAGGGACGTCCATCTGATGTCAACATTGTCAAGTTTTTGGTGCCAGGCAAAGTTATACTTATTTTCCCAGGTCTCTGAACATTAGTGATACTAATTAGCTTTAGTGATATTCATTCTGTGAACTATCTTCTGTATTTATAGATGAAGAGTTTTCATAATGAATTATTGTGAATTATGTTTTTATAGTTCTTCATGCTAGCTACAAGCCTGAGATTTTCCAGGGCTAGATATGTGATGCAGCAGTGCAATTTTTAGTGGTACAATGCTGTACTTACAGCATTTTCAGAGTGGACATCAAATGAAATCTGTTCTGTTAATAACTTCTGGTACAGAATATTGAATGAGATGCCTTAAACTATAATTCAGAGAGATACATATTATTATGCATTGCATTTTAATCCTGCCTTTTTTTTTTCTTTTGTGAGGAACCCGAGGTGACTTACATGGTTCCTTCTTATCCTCACATCGACAGTTCTGTGTGGTAGGTTAGGTTGAGAGCATGCAAAGTCACCCCAGTGAGTTTCATGGCCCAGTGGCAGTAGAACCCTGATCTCCCCAGGTCCCCAGTCCAACATTCTAATACCATACTGGCTCAATTGATTAATTAAAAAGCTATGAGAAATAATGAGTTTATTGTTTAATTTCAGTGTAATGGCAAATTTATTCTGATGTTAAGTTGTTTGGTAGGATCAGCACTTTCTACATATTTTTTAAAGCTCATAATAGTTCATAATAAAATAATTGTTTAGCCAAATGCAGCACAAAGTTTGCATAGATTTATTAGAAAAGAGTCAGGGTCAGGGTCACCTCGAAAAAACCCTGGATGTGCCAGCAATGGCTGATACTGACTCTCAAATGAGAGAAGATGTGCGTTCTCCGTCTTTCCATTTTAGGAGTTGAAGATATTTTGGTCAAATCCCGGGCAGACCGCAAGAGATGCAAGATCATCACTGAAAGTACTCTCTGTGGTACAAAGGTAAACTCATACTTGGAGTGGGGTGGGGGTGGGGGTGGGGGTCTGCCTTCAAAAGCCCTGTATTATTATATATGTCTTGGCACCTAGAAATGCCTTGTTCTTCTCAGGCTATTAAAGCTGCTTTTAACTTACCACTATCTGCCTCATGTGAGGAGGTCCGAAGCAAATGGCAGGATGCCCATCTTCACAAAGATCAGAGAGATTTTAACATGGTTGATCTGAAATTCAAAGAGGAAGTTAACCATCACAGCAATGAAATTAACAAGGTTTGCATTGAGAACTTTGAGATTATTCTGTTTGTCTATTCCCACTTTATTTTTAACATACAGGATTTCTCAGAAGTTTCCCATCGGGAATCTATACTTTATCTCAGCCTCCTTTTAGGGGGCTAGGGAGGCATGGGGTTGTATTCAGTATCCTACCTATAGCAGATACATTGAAATGGATAGGACTTAACTTAGGCCAGTACTGGATATAATCCATAATGTAAAAACTCATTTTATTATCACACTAACCCAGTAAGGTTGAACCCAAGACAACTGAGTGAACTTCATAGATAAACTTTGCTTTGTGAAGTGAGATTGGAATAATTGGGCATGTTTAGCCTTGAGAAGGGAAGACTGAGGGAGGATATGATAGCACTTGTACTTGAAAGACTTACAGAGAGGAAGGGCAGGATCCCTTCGTGATTATCCTGGAATAGTGGGCTCAAATTAAAGGAACCTAGATTCTGATTAAACACCAGAAAAAACTTCCTGGCTGTTAGAAGCAATACAGCAATGGAATCAATTACCTAGAGAGGTTGTGGGCTCTTCCATCCTGCAGAAATTCGTGATGCAGCAGGACAGCCATCTGCTAGGGATGCTTTAATTTAAGGGTCCTGCCTTGAGCAGGAAGTTGGACCTGATGGCCTACTTGGTCTCTTCCCGCTCTACTCTTCTTTGATTCCAAGTGGCATGATGGAATTACCCAGAAAACCCATTGTGCTAAGCTAAGTTACAGTCATTGTAACTTAGCTAGCACTGTGTAGTGTATATTAGTGCTTGTGTTGCACTGGTTACTGTCCCTGAAGTCTAAACTCAATCCATCATGGCCCCAATCCACATCTCTGTCCACTGGACCACACTAGCTCCTACCATACAATAATGTTTGTTTTCTGAGTGTTGGTAACACCTAATTTGAGATTTGTAATTTTTTAATTTTTGCTGATCTCTCGTAAAGTTACCTTTGAGTCAATAGTGACTTCATTTTTTTCTTCATTTTCTAAAAACATATAGGTGTGTATGCCTCTTGGACTTCACCGGAGTTTTCCAGAAAATAATTTGCAGTTGATGGTGCAATCAGGAGCCAAAGGCTCTACTGTGAATACTATGCAGGTACTTTTTATATGTTAATAATATTTAAGGAGCACACTATAACAGAATTCTCCAGGTACTCCACAACAAAAAACAAATTCAAATGTAATAATAAATCAACAAACTTTGTAATTGACATATGCTCATTTAGTTCGTTGAAAGACATTTTAAATTCAGGAACCAACTTCTGTTTTATAAAGCAAATTCTAGAGATGCTAACATGACAAGAGAGCCCACACTGGGTTATTTAACCCACAAGGAGGCTGCAGGAGGCTTGTGACCCTTTTGAACATGCACCCCTCCCCATGCAGACCTGGCAAGCATGAATTATACAAGGGATAAACAGCCCTCATATCACCATGGCCTGATTTTAGGGTTATGCAAGGGTTTTTCAACCCTTCATGAAGCATGCCTGTCAGGATCTCATGACATTCTCCAAGCTGTGTTTTTATACACAGCTTGGCACCCATGAACACTCTACATTTCACCTCTCTGAGATGCGTGGCTTACTGGAGTGTGCAAGACCAATTTTGTTGGAAGGTATTAATCTTGTTTTAGACATTTCCACAACATTCACAGTGGACTTCAGAACTGGGAAAGCTGTGTATAGTAACTTGATAGCAGTGGTTCCTGCTATCCTGTTTAAAACACATTACCACAAATCATTCTATTCTGCACATTCTTATTTAAGGACACTAATGAAGACTCTGTCTACCTATATTTATTTCCTGTTATTAGTATTTGAAGGGGAAAATGTCAGAGATGAATAACAGGAAATTATTATTTCAGATTACTTCAGTAAAAATACAGGACATCATAAGACAAAATTGTTGTGTATGGAGGAATTAACAGTATAGCGTAACAACAATGTTTCGAAACAGCTATTATTTTATTTGAAGAACCAAGTCATGCTTATTGTAATAACAGATTAGTTCCAGTTACACATTTGTTTTTACACTGGCATTTGTGGCTTATGCTCTCCCTCTCCCTCTCTCCGGCTTTTTAAAGATTTCATGCCTGCTGGGTCAGATTGAGTTAGAAGGTCGAAGACCTCCACTGATGACATCTGGTAAATCACTGCCGTGTTTCCAGCCATATGACTTTTCCCCTAAATCAGGAGGATTTGTAACAAGTAGATTTCTCACTGGAATTAAACCTTCAGTAAGTTCTTACACCTTAGTTTCTCTTCTCCAAGCTTTGTGCCTACTGTTTGATTGCTATATCTTAAGAGCAGGAAGGACATTCGAAGTACATTTTTTTAATATGGCTTTTTAGAAGCCTGGTTTAAACTGAGTCTTAACATGCTGCTAACTGCTCATGAGCGAGAAGTTTCTTTTTCTCACAGAAATTATAATTATGCCATAGGAGTTCTTCTTCCATTGTATGGCTGGTAGAGAAGGTCTAGTGGATACCGCTGTCAAAACCAGCCGATCTGGATACCTTCAAAGGTAAGCGTTGCTTTGTAACAGTCATGCTGTTCCTGCTCCATGCTGTTAAAACAGCTGTAGGAAAGTGTTCTTAAATATGATTTCTTCAACAGAGGATTACTTGTTCATGAGCAGATACATTTTCTGTACTCATTAATTGACCAGCTGCATTTTGTAAGGTTTTGGGGCATCCTTGCAGAGTTCTTTAATGTTGATTTGGAAAAAGCAGTTTTGGTTAGAAACCTAAAATGGTCCTCCCTCTCATGTGCTAATCTTTGCCCAGGTGTATCATAAAACATTTGGAAGGGCTGATAGTTCATTATGACCTGACGGTGCGAGACAGTGATGGCAGTGTGATTCAGTTTCTCTATGGAGAAGATGGGCTGGATATCCCCAAGACACCATTCTTGCAACCCAAGCAGTTTCCTTTCATTGCAGATAACCACAAGGTAGGGGTCAGTGCTTTGCTTTTGCCTTTTTTAAAAGCAAAAAGTGGGTTATAGGCTGCATCCAGATAGGGTGAGTTATCTGTTTTCCATCCATTAATAGTCAGGTTCTTTAGAACAAAGAAATGCTCTGTGAGGCACTAAGAGGCACCTCCCTTCTTGGTCAGTCTTTTATCATGCCTGTGGAGCACTACATGGGCAGGTTTGTACATCATGACAAGCAGACCTGCATGGTTACCCTGGTTCATGATTTTTACCATGTTCTACCCAACATATGATCAAGTGGTTATTGAGGTTTCCACACACAAACCCCACTCCAGCCTTCCACTGTTGGTGCATATCCCATAAGCCATCATGCCTGAAATTCAAACCCAAGATATATTGCTCCCTGCCTATGTAGTTGCCTCTTTCTAATGGGTCTGCAGCGTTCACAGTGGATGTCCTCTGTCACCCCTCTGTTTTTTCCCACATTCTTCGGCTAAATGTTCTTTTCAATTACTAGCCCTTCCTATGGAGATCACCATTTTTGTTGCACTCCCTCTGTGCATCAGAGTTTCTTCTCCCACTGCTCACTTTAACCAGACACAGAGACTTGTCTTTTTTGTCAGCTTCCCTGACACCAGTGACCTGTGAGAAATATTTGAGGGTGGCAGGCTGTCAGATTTCCTGGGTTCAACTTCTCAGACTCTTGTTAGCATTGTAGTAGCCAGGAATCTGAGTTCCTGGTGAACCTTACCAGGATCTGTGGGGCACTTGCCAGGAATTGAACCCCATGTGCTACACAAGCAGCATCCCTCTTCTGCCTCACCTGGAAGAGCCTTTGTGCTGCTGTCCCTGACATGGCAGAGGGGCATTGCTAGCTGTCATGTGCGGCTTGAAAGGAATGGATCCCTGCCCCAGGGCTAACAGCATCCCCCTTCTGGCCAAATATAGCAGCCATTTTGTTGCACCTGATGTGGAAGAAGCTTGGTTGTGTGGGGCTCACTAGGAACGGAGCCCCCCATGACCACTACATGCAGCATTTCCTCTTCCATACCACCTGCAGCATCCTTTGTGCTGCTGCATCTGACATGGAAGAAGTTTGCTGGCTGGCTGCACCGCCTTCGTTCCATGAGTATTCATGGACCTCCTATTGGCTTGGCTTGCTTTGCAAGACGGGGCCAAAGAGGAGAGGAAGTAGGTGAATACAAGAGGAATGGGCTCTGCTAGGTTTCATCCTAATCTCACCTGACACCCCCCTCTCTGCACCTTTCTCTAGCACCCTTTGCCTTCTATCCTCCCATGCACTTCCCCCATCTTTCTCCCTCCATTCTCTCATGCCAGTCTCTGCTATGCCCCTCTTTAGCAACTTCATCTCCTCCATTCTCCACTGCCTATTTTTCCACAATGCAGATTCTCTTACTCTTCTCCCACACCTCCCAAACCTGCTTCTTTCTCCATTGCCAGAAAATACAACCCAGTTAAAACGCATTGCATTCCTTATGTTGATGTGCACAAACCATCCCAAACCCAAACCAAACCCTTCCAGCCAAAGGCATGCATTTGTAGTAAAGCATATCTTTATTATAAAAACATAAGAGAGGGTATTGGTTTCTGAACAAGATTTGTTCATATAAAAGCTGCAGGGTATTGTATCTTCAAAATAATTCTTAATATCTTCAAGACCAAATTCAGTGTATCTAGGATTGTTACTGTGTACCTATATGTTTTTATGGTTGTTATTTTGTGTTTTTGTTTTGTTTGTTTTGATAAAAACAATTAAAAAATCTTCTGCTGGTTGCTATGCCTCCAATCTAATTGTCTCCACCTACCATTCTTTCCCATGCTAGCATGTGTCCAGGTGCTGGTTACAGGATTGTTACTTCTTCAGTTGGGCCATCCAATTTCCATTCCCTACCATAATAATAACCTACATGCTATAGTTCGCACTGAGCACTGTGCTAAGAGCACGGACCTGCTTGAGGACAACACATAATGCACCTTGGCCAGATCCACCACCTGCATTTACATGACATGAAGTCAGCATAGGGCCACTCTACCATTGCAACTTCTGAGCAAAAGTGTTGCATCCATTCTGGAATAAATGCCTTGGCCTTATGGACAGCACTTTTGTAGGCAGTTCTCCCAGATCCACTGAGAAATATCTTCATGGATCGCACATGCTTCACACCTAGCTACAGTTGGTGTGGGTGAGTTCAGAGAGTGTTGGGGGTGGGCTGGTTGGAGCTGATGTCAGTTGCCACAGCATCACTTTTGGCACCAGCTCCAATAGGTTCTGGGTTCTCTGCTAACAAAACATCTCCTATCCCCTCACATTTTTTTTTGCAGGATGTAGCACACCAGCATCACATTTGGGAGAACTGCCTGCTCTACAGCTAGCAAGGGGCTTCCTTCACACCTTTAAGCATCCAAAGGCACACTGCACACGTATGTTTGCTAAGTATAGCTCATTCACAAGATCTCACATATGGTAGACTTACCTATTCCAAGGGTGACCCTGGACATGCAGAAAGTAGTGCAAAATTGATCATCCATCGGAACTGTACATCAACTCTTGATGAGTTGCTGGGCTATCAGTGAAGCAAGCGTGCAGTTTTACTCCTGGCAGACATCATCATCAGATGCTAGCTGCAGAAGTAACAAGGTATCTTCATGTGAAAGCATCCCAGTGAAGATGCTATGTTCTGCTTGCCCCCAGCTCCAACACAGGGCTCTTGGAAAATTGGCATGGAATTCAAAAAATCTGGTCTAAAAATCAAATTCCCTCATATGTCTGGCTCTTTATCACTGGAATGAGTCTTTGAAATTTGATGCAATGTTGTGCAAAGCATATCTGACTATGCAGTGGAACCTGCTATTTACAAATCTCATCTTCCTTACTTTTCAAGTCTTCCAATGCTGCTTCTGTATTGGAAAAAGGCAAAAGAAGGGGGAGGGGCGGAATGGAGAAGCTCCCTGAGTATATTTTGCACTGACATTTGAAGGCAAAACTGACCAAAGCAGTTTTGCGTTCAAAACAGGAATGGGCAGACATAACAATGGCAAAAGAGAAACACCAGATCCCATACAGAGGGCATTGAATGTTCTTCTAGCACATGTTAAAAATTTAATGTGCAGCACATCAAAATTGCAAAAGAAATGCATACATATTAGCCATTACAATGGGGCCAGTACTGTTTCTGGAACAAAAAGGACTCTACCGTGTTCAGGAGACTGAAGGCAGAGAACAACAACTGCCACACACACCAAGACTATCTCCCTGCCTCAGATACCTGCTGAGAAAGGCATATTGGAGTATTCAAGAGGAAAACGAGGTGGAGTGGGGAAAGGAAAAGGGGAAATGATGCTAGTTAGTCAAGGGAAATTTGGTAAGAAACTGTCATTCATTGAAGAAAATCCCACCCATTCTCCTGAGACTCATCTATATTTATGCCACATATGTGTCAATTTAAAGTCTTCTGATTTTTTATTATGATTCAAGATGTTCATCTTCCTCCATTGATAGACCCCACTTTTATCTTGCATTTTCATAACCCAGACAAGGAGAGTTTGTCACAATTTCTCCAAGAGGAATCTCTGACACAGACAATCAGACCTTTATGCTAGGCAGATAGAACTATACTACAGAAAAGAATATGAATGCAGCTGAATGTAGAGATAGGGGAAGAAGGATTGCTTAGCCATTACTGGTAATGTTGTTCCTTTTTCTGGGAAAGTGGATATCCTGCTTAGCTGCTTGCTGGAGAGCCCTGGTGGTGCATCAGCCACTTCTTGTGCATCTTTCCACAAGGTGCATTCTCACCCTGTGGAGGTTCTTCTGAAATTACCTCTGTATTTTTTTTGGGAGGCAACTGATGGTCCAGGGACAAACTTCTGTAGGAAGACCTGGAGCATTTTTGAATCCATGGTAAGCGGAAATTATGGAACAAATTGTTTCTTATAATGTTTTCCAAGGGCCAAGCATACCATGCTAAAATGCTGCAACTGTGTTTGGGTGACACAATGGTGGTGTTTAAACAATAAAAACGCTCTGGCTTGTCATGTTGTATGAACTGAGTCAATGTCTGCAATGCCATCATCCATGTAGGATGCATCAAAAAGATATTTGAAATTATTGGTTTGACAGTTGTTCGTGCTGTGGCTAACTCAGCTACAATAGAAATAATGTTAAAGTCTTCACTGTGCTAGCTTTCCCCTTCTGCACAGAGTTAGGCCAACTTTTATGACCATGTGCTCTCTCTAAGGAGATTGATGATGCTTTATTGGTCTTGGATGCCATTAAGTTCTTGCCCAGAACTTGTCCCAGAAAAAGAATTTATCTTTTCCAAAGCATATCTCTTAACAAATTCTCTTGTCTGGTCTGGCCAAGCTAATCTCAGAATCACACTGTACATACTGATGGGCTTTATCTCCTATTTTGCTAATTAAGAAACTTGTAGTTTAATGATGGAACTTTGATTTTCTTTATTCCTTACAGGTGATGGAGAAATCAAAGCACTTAAAAGAAATTCTATCAAAAATGGACCATCAGCAAGCAAACACACAGTTCGGGTTGATCAAGAGATGGCAAGTCAAGCACCAACAGCCTTTGATGAGAAGGGAAGGAGGCTTTTTGCTGTTTTCCCAGAAAAAAATGGCTGGTATAAAAGCACAGATTGCTACAGGAGAACTTGTAAATGGTCGGGATCCTGCAACTCTACAGGTTATTCCAAAAGCAATTTATTACAGTAATTCATAACTGTTGAATAGACTTTTTTGTAAATATAAGGGGAATAATTTGTTTCTATTCCACAGCTGCAGAATCTTATAAACACAAGTATAAGAAATTTGGATATATTACTTGAAAAAATACTCATGCTGGACTTTTGAATTCTGCTGTCAATTTCAGCTGTTGAAGATGTGGTATGAATTGAGTGAGAAGAATAGGAATAAGTATCAAAAGAAGGCAGCAAAATGTCCCGATCCTAGCCTTGCTGTCTGGCGACCAGACATCTGTTTTGCATCTGTGTCAGAAATATTTGAAAATGATGTAGAAAGCTTCCTTGGAGAGTGGGACATTCAGGATCGTTGCAGCTACAGCAAATCTGAACTTTCTTCTCAAAGGTACTAATTTTATTCACAGTGACAGGCAAGCGCTCCTGTTCCCTTGATTTGTGGTTTAGAACAGCACATGTTTCTACTTTGATCTGCTGTCAGGGACATCTTGGGTCTCTTGAGTATTGCCACTTAAAATATCCATATCATAGAATTGTGACAGAAACTCTCATTGACATGAACAGGTTGTTAGTATATGACTATTGCTTTGCTTCCTAAAGTAGGTTCTCTATCTGCAGTTTGTTGATTTCATTTCTATACTGCCCAACAGCCGAAGCTCTCCAGTCAGTTCACAACAATGAATCAAAAACAAAAAATAGAGTTGAAATGTATAGTCTCCGAAAAGAGGGCTTCAGGATTATCAGTGTTGCCATTTACAATAACTATGCTAATTTTGTTGCTTATTAGCTTCAGATAATGAACAATGTTCTAGGGTATTTTTATGTTCTTTGGCTTTCATAGTCAAAGAAATAGTCTTGTAATAGTTTGACGATGCTTTAGCCAATAATTAATGCTGCCTAATAATGTAGCACCTGCAGCAGAGTTTTTATCATCCTAAAATATACATTGTATACAAAAATGGTGTTAAAAGGTGGCCTACTAAGCTGAATCTTTTGGAGCCCCATATCTCTAGGAGGCCATTTGCCCTACATCTCTGCCGTCAGTGGGCAGTTTCTGAGATAAAGGTACAGGAGCCCTGATCCTCTTGATTTTTGTGTTTTATGAGCTTCGCTTCCTGCTCTTCTTTCCTCTTCCTCATGCACTGAATCTTTCTGCCTGTGGTTTTCTTCCTTAACTGGAGGTGTCCTTAGGATACAGGGTCCTTTAAAGACATGCATGCCGGGACATTAGCGCATATGTAAATTAGTGGCATTTTTACTATCTTGTGGACCATAGCTCCAGAACTTTTCAAAACCTGCTGTTGATTATATCTATCCAAGGGGTGGGTGTGTGGGTGTGTGTGGGTGTGTGTGTGCCTAGTGTTTTTGACAGAAAGATTGGAAGGGACATAGGGGAAACGCAAAACTGTTCAAAGACTTAGTCCCAGGTAAGTGTACATACGAGTAGGAAGTAAAGGAAGTGGAGTTAGATGAAAGCATGAATTGGCATTTAAAAGATGTAGCAAGGTGTTCTGTTGTTGTTGTAGTTGTAGTAAAGTTATGGCCTTAGCATAGAGTGAATGGGGGCATCCTTTGGGCAAGTCTTGGCCCTAGCAAAGGGTTAGGGTCAGTACATTCAGCACTCCTGAACAGCACTCCTACAGCGCAGTGAAGATTGTGCTCTTTGAAAGAACATTCCAGAACTCTTAATGCCTTGAAATATTATTTTAGTCTGCTGCAATTTATCATTTTGATACTGTTTTATTGTTTACTGTTCTGTGTTTATCCCACTTATAGTAAATTGCTTTAAGTATATTTTTACAGAATTACAGAATATGAATCTAGATGATTTTATTTATTTATTTGAAACTTTTTATACTGTCACATCACAGATGTCTTGGGGTGGTTTACAACAATATGATCCAATCCTTAATTTTTTCAGATTAAAGGACTTGCTGCATTTAAAATGGCAACAATCACTCTGTGACCCAGGAGAAGCTGTGGGTCTTCTTGCTGCTCAAAGTATTGGGGAACCTTCCACACAGATGACATTGAACACCTTTCATTTCGCTGGAAGAGGGGAAATGAATGTTACACTAGGTATCCCAAGGTATGGTGATGTTATGCCCCATTTTGTTCTAATGTTGAGTACTTTGCTCCAGAAGGAACATATTCTGTGTCTTTCTTCAAGCTGTGCTATACTGGATATGGAGAGAAAAGGTCAATGAGTCTGCCTAGTGCGTCCGAATTCTGTGCTATCCTTTTTCACAGCTAACCCACACTGGGTCAACGTTTTTATGACGCTATCTATCATAGCTGGTCACTGGTTAACCTGTGGAAGTATATCTTCATCAGTAAACAGAACTTAGTAATTGAAATCATTACTACTGGTCCATATGTACATAAATATCATACTGGAAAGGTCTACATCTTTAATGGCAGTACTACCTGCTAGATGGCAAAGATTCCAGATTTTTTCAAAATTATCATTCTCCCATTAAATATCCTGAAAGATTTTACTCTGTCTCAGAAGACTGCTGGAACCTAAGTGGGATAAGAGTTGCCATAAAGATGATAGCACGCATGTAAGAGCATTTATCTGTGCCTTCGCTGTAGCAGTGAAGACAGCAAAGAAGTACTGATTTGTTGCCTCCAGTGCGACCCTGTGCAGTGGAGCTTTTCCAAGTGGTCTGGGGTTACTTTATCTAACCCAGTACTGGAATACTTTAGAGGCCCACTTTGTAGGTGTTGCGAAGATAAAATCACTCATCTTCTATTGGTATAGTGCAGTGGTGGTGAACCTTTTAGAGACTGAGTGCCCAAACTGCAACCCAAAACCCACTTATTTATTGCAGAGTGCCAACACTACAATAAAACCTGAAAACAGCCAGTCCAAGCATCTATCTATCTATCTATCTATCTATCTATCTATCTATCTATCCCTGGCAGTGCACTGACCAGCCATGCGAAAGCTCGGACGAGTCGCGGCTAATGAGTCGTGGCTTGTGACATCATTGCCTGACACCACTGCTCCTTTCCGAGCATGCGCATGGCCGCTATGTCTGCTATTATCCAGTGCTCGGCAGCTGGGGCAGTGCTGGGACGACTTGGCTCGTGTGCCGACAGAGAGGACTGTGCATGCCCTCTGGGGAACACATGCCATAGGTTTGCCACCACTGGTATAGTGTCTAGTGCATCATTGTATCATGTTTTATGGGACAAATTTCAGGTTTTGGAGCCTGAGGATGTGGGTAAGATGCTTGTTCCTGTATGACCCACCACATGCTTTCTTGGCTCTTACCTTTCTAGGCTTATTCAAGCTACCTTGCAGGTGACTGACCAGTTTGGTCAGGGGAGTGGTGAATGAATCACTGCATGACAGTGTGGTTCCTATTGCCTTGAAAGAGGCAGTTGTGTGACCTTTCCTGAAAAAAACTCCCTTGGTCCAGAAATTTATGCCAACTATCATCCAGTCATAATTACCCCATTTCTTAATAATGCACTTGAGTAATGGTATCTCAGCTGCAGGTAGTCCTGAATGAAACTGACTATCTGGATCCATTTCATCCTGGATGCAGGACTGATTTTGGTACACAATTGGCCTTGGCATCTCTGATGGATGCCCTTTGTTGGGAGAAGGATAGGTGGGGATTATGGGAATTGTTGTCCAACACATCTGGAGAGCTCCTGATTACAGAAGACTGACTTTCTTTTGAATGACTGTCCTATTTATGAAGAGAACAGATGTTCACCAGGTAGGAATGTTCAGTGTTTAGTATTTTTAAAATGTACAATTCTTTCTTAAAGGTTGCGTGAGATCCTAATGGTAGCCAGTGCTAATATTAAAACCCCTATGATGAGTGTTCCTGTACTTAATACCAAGAAAGCACACAAGAGGGTGAAAAGGCTCAAGAAGCAACTTACCAGAGTGTGCTTAGGCGAGGTAAGTTCTGTTTCACAGAAATTCTTTACATGCATTCATAGATCATGGTCAAACCACACGTTGAGAAATGTGGTATGAGAATTTGTTATCTAAAAAAGCAAAAGCATTTGTGTGCCTACTTATAGATGAAAAGGGGGAATAGTTTATGATTTAGGTTATGATATTGAAATTCTGATTTCTTCTTACTGTTGCAGCTGTTACAAAAAGTTGACATCAGAGAGGCTCTGTGTTTGGAGGGTATGCTGAACAAGCACCGTATCTACACCATTAAATTTAGTCTTTTGCCATATGAATGCTATCGGGAAGAGAAATGTTTGAAGCCAAAGGACATTCTTCATTATATGGAATCAAGGTCAGTATTCTTTTCTGCCCATTGCTTCCCTGGAGTTTATCTAAATGCTACAGTTAGAGAACAAGCTTGGTTTTGTCCATATTCTTATGCATTTCAGCTGAGCCTTTAATCATGAAATTCTAAAACTATGGGTTTTAAATGCAAAACTGCATCTTCTTTTTGTGAGTTGTTTTAAACATATTTGGGAGTTTACCAGTTAATAAGAAAGAAATTCCTCTTTTAAAATGTTCAAATTAATTTTCTGTATACGAAGTTAAAGAAAAATACATCCAATTTAAATTTAGCTGTTTGGAAGTATTTTATGGTTCTTTATAGTGGTCCCTTTTTCTATTAACTGATAAAATGCTTCAATAAATGTATATGTCTGTGATTTGTATATACAATAATGCTATATTTTATTAAAATCTAGTTTATTGCAATTCTGTAATACACAGTAGCTGTAGCTCTCTAGGCCATTTATGTTTCTCATCTGGGCTATAGCTAGACTTGTTCAGACAATAATCACTTATCTCTTCTGTCATCTTATTTTAATCCTTCAATTGTATAATTTAAAATGCAATATTGTAACATTTTAAGAAAAGAATAATACATATGATCTAAGCCCTATTAAAGGCTACTCTGCTGTTTCAGAGAAAGAAAATCAAGGCTTTCAGAATGGGAAAATCCACATAATTTTATTATGAAAGTAACTTGAAAAAGAAATTCCCCTTGTTTGTCCTCTGAACTGACTGGATCAAGGCAGAGGACTTGCCTAACTTAGATGGTAAAGTTGCCTAGTATAGAATCCAGACACGGCGATTTGCATTGTGGTTTTTCCCTGCCTTCCACCTAGATTCTTTAAAATCTTGCTGGAAACTATTAAAAGGAAAAGTTCGAAGTTAGCATCTTATAACACTGTCAGCACTCGAAGAGCACTCCAGAGGGATTTAGAAGTTGTTGAGGAAGGTGGTGCATCTCTGGAAAGCAAGGTAAGGATCTAGCCCAATTAGTTGATTTTTTTTATTAAGAATGTTTGCCTAAGCTGGAGGAAAGTTTTATTCACAAAGTTCATCCTTGGAACAAATGTTGCTATATTAAACGTCCAGGAACCATTTACATGCATAAATTATATAAGAATATTCTTTCTTCGGCATTTTAATGCATTTTTCATATAAATATTTCATGCTGTTCTTTGAATGCATGCATGTATTGTAAAACAAGATTTTCATAGCTGATGTGACTGAGTAGTTGATGACCAAAATTGTTTGTCTGACAATATGGTTTAAGGTATTTTAGCATAAATCAGGGTGGTCCAGCATTTCATACCTCAAGGGCCACATGAGAACTTTAACACAGAACCCAGGGCCACACAGTGATTTACATTTCCGTGTCGTAGATTAAAGTGTCTGCAATATATTTATTTAATTTAATATACACAGTTAATATATTTAAGAAACCATTAAATGAGGGAGAAAACTAATATGAGATTTCAGAGTTTTTTTCTCTGCAAATTTGGAGAAGCAAAACTGCGTGCTGGAAAACAAGGATGAAGAAATGAGGGAGAAAATCGATATGACTCAGAGTTGGTGTTCCTCCGCAAGTTTGAGCCACCCCAGAAATCACAGGCAGCTCAATCTCCAGCCACAGCCTAAGCACAATGACTGCCCCTCCAGGGTGGCCCATCTCTTTCTTCCCTGTTTCTCCTGCTCAGAATCCCTCCCATGTGACCCACATGGCCCCTCCTTCTTCTTGGAATCAGCATGTTGAGGCTCTTGTATTTGAGCCAACAAAGTCTTCACAGCACGAGCTTCAGGAAGAAAGCAGGAAGGGCCAGAAGCAAGAGCTTGCTGCAGTCATGACCATGCCATCACTGGGAATTGGATGGGAGAGGGAATGGGGGTGCTCTGAACAGCAAGAGGGTTACGTGTTGCACCACTCCAACATAAGTTGAGCCTTTAGGTTCTTCTAGCTGGCCGGCTTCCATAAGAGACTCTACAAAGCAACATTGATTAGTGGGAAGCAGCTTCATTTCCTTCTGTATAAAATTGGATTAAACTAGACTACTGAAATGTAATGTTTAACTAGGAATGGGGAATTTATTTCAGACTCTGCGAAGGGGAACCAAAATACCCCATGCAAACAGTGGATTTTAGACCCATTCCTTTTCTTTTGGCTTAGGATGACTATGAAGCTGAAGCTGAGGAACAGGAGAGAGTTCCTGATGGTGAAATAGGTGAAGGGGATGCTGATGCTTCAGATGTAAAAAGCAAAGCAAAACAGGAAGAGGAGGTAATGACTTCCCAATAGGATAGGTTGTTTGAAATAACTTCTGTCCATCACAGGACTTATGGTAATGTATATCCAGTTCTGAGTTTGAAAAATAAGCAGTTTTTTGTTTTGGATAATCCTGTCCACCTCAGTTGAAAGAGAAATCAGAATTTATGGTGCCAGATAAATTAAATGTTATCTTTGTGAAGCTTCTAATACTTGGTTATAAACCTTGTTAGCCAGAATTACTGTGAAAATGTACTCTGTAGGAACTGTATTTGAAACTCTTATCCACCCATTCCCTATTTAGGAATGAAGACTTGTGTTGCAAATTTCGGTCTCTTGTCATAGACTGGTAAAATCCTAATGCAGGGTATAGTGTGGCATGAAGTAGAAATTTAAATAACCCACCCAAGGATTTTGATGGACTCCGATATCAAAGGCATCTCTATACATACATAATTAACAGAGCAATCATACAAAATTTTGGCCTGTTGGGATCTTACACCTGACAGAACATGCCATAGTGTGGGGAAAGGAATTTGTTAATGTTGTGGTGTGGAATTTAGCATTTTTAAAAAGTGCCCTGGGCATCACCAAAAACTGCCTGATGACCAATCACAAAAATGTTAGGTCTGTTACTTGGGTTAAGAAAAAACCCCCTTCCAAAAACTATTTAGAGAGAACATGCAGTCCTTCCCCCACCAAGGAGTCTGTTGCCTTGCAGGATCCTTGAATTCTCCTACCTCCTTCTGCAGTTTTTCAGCAGGAGGTATTTTCATGCTGTCTGTATGAACCTATGGAGCAAATCCTCATAAGCTTTTATAGGGAGTGAAAAGTCTCCCCTAATAAAAATTCCATCCTCAGAGGAGGATGAGGCCCACTCCCACCAGGAATCCTGCTCTCACTCCACCTGTTTTTGGTAGAGGGCCATTTTTTCCCCAGTGCTCCATAGGCTTTTTTTCCTCCTAAGGAGGGAAAATGGCCTACTGAGTGCCTGAGCCTGGCTTTGTGGGTACCATCATGCATTTGGAGTACTGCCCTGAAATCTTCAGATTTTTGGAATATTTACATTAAAATGGCATGTTATCTATAAACACTTAGTTTTATATATAATTTGCTTTTATGTTTGCATGTATTAGGGATGCGCCAAGCCTGTCCAGAGTCCAGTTTGCACCTGCCTGTTGGACTTCTTCTGAAGTTCTTCCCTCTCCAAGGAAGCAAGTCAAACCCGGAAGAAGTCCACAAGCTTTTGCAGAGCTCCGGTTACGCAACTGGTAACCTTCCCCAGCTGCCATTTCTTGTGGCCAGTCTTCTTCCTCAGTCACCGCTGCTAGTGGCAGTGGTGTGAGGGAAAGAATGGCACTGGTTGCACAGCGCATGGGGTTCGAGTCCTGGCAAGTGTTCCACAAATCCAGGTGTGCTCACTAGGAACAGAACTTCTGGGCCAGTGCAAAGCAGGCAGGAGTCTGGGAAGCTGAAACCAGGGATTCCAGCAGATTTTCTGTCCAAAGCAGATTCCTCAAACATCCCTAGTTTATATGCATATATTATTTTTCCTGCATTGCCATATCTTAAGGGAAGAGAGTTAAACCACCCAATAGAAAGTAACACAGAATGGATATGTAAAAACAAAAATTTCATACATGCTTGATCAGATGAAAAGTGATCTTTTCCTTCGTTCCACAGGTTGATTATGAGAGTGATGATGATAAAGAAGGGGATGATGATGACATCCCAGATCAGGAAGAGGCTGCATTGCATGAAAGCAACCCAGAGTCACTTGCAACTCAGGATGAGACTTATGCTCCTTTGTCCAGTCAACAAGCTCAGGACGACAAGAAAAGTTCTGATGAATTGGAAGAACACAGAGTTAAAGCTGTACTGGAAAGTCATGATGCTATAGAGAGCTATGCATATGACATCAACAATGAATTGTGGTGTGAGGTAAGAGTCTAGAAAGTGCGTGCATGGAAAGTGTATCATGAGGTTTACTAGTCCCCTCACTTTGGGTGAGGCAAAATACTGAAAAAGACTATGTGACTTCCTTTCATAGACATGGCACAGAAATGCTGGGACGCAACCATAAATAGACTTGGTATCAAGGCTCATTTAACTGAATTTAGTTATTAGCTTGGAGATCTTGTCTGTGCACTAACATCAGTGCTGTTCATACCAAAAGTCAAAGCACTCCCAAATTAATTTGGATTGCATTAGATCATAGTACACAATAATGCACTATGAATGGCCCTGGCATGGGTCTTGGTAAAGCCAGATGACCTTAGTGTGAGCAAGTGAAGTGTTCACATTAGGTAGCAAAGTTTGGACACAGCTAAAGACAGTGTGGTAAGAGTCTTCCTATCCTGATGTATGAAGTACAATTCACTTGGAAGTTCTTTCGAGAAAGCCTTTTAAAATGAGCCAGTGCAACATGCTTCTGGACAAACCCTTATATTGTTCAAGATAACCCTGCTGGAATGTACCTTGTGCTAATTAGCTTGATGGAAAGTAATTATCTGGGTCTTCTGTCTTGGATATCAAAGCATCTCATGTGAGGCCTCCTTGAGGTCTGCTAGTGTCTTATACCCCTTCTGACTCAACAAATACTGTGAACTTGCACCTCTGTTTGATTTCTGTGATAGTGTCCCCACAGCAGCTTATGCAAAAGGTCAGTTGGCATGCAGTTCTAAGCCTTCATGGTGGCTTATTATTGCATCCAAAATGACTAAAAGACCAGGTTCATGTTACTCAGCATGGCGTTCCATGGCTTATTTGAGTCACAGTAAACATTGGGTGCTATCTGAAGATTCAGTCCCCAGCTATGGGCAGTTGTAGCATGCAAACCTGGCCAGCAGGTTTAAAGAGCCCACAGACTTGTTAACATGGCACAGCAACTCACAGAAAGGGATTGAACTGTCAGAATAGTGCTTGTGGGCATTGCTGCTCATCTTGGCTTAAATAAGTCACAACCCACCCCATATCTTATGAATAGCACCAGAGTGTCTACTGGTGACTACTTCATCATGGTACCCCAAATTAGTGGAGCTCCAGAGATATCAATAGACACGGTTTTGGCAATTTCTTCTGAGGCCCTGTGACCAAAAAAAGAAAAGAAGGGAAAAAAGTTGCTAACTATCCCCCTTAGGTTATTGAGAAGATCATTTTTAAGGCAACATAAATTAAGAAGATGGTATGTCTTCATGGCATGTGTGTGTTTTATTTTTCTTAATTGTCTGAAGGCTCTATTTTAATTAGTACAGTACTATTCTGTGTTCCCATCTAGGTTTCACTGAAGCTTCCTATAACGAAGGAGTACTTTGATCTTGCCGCACTAGTGACAACTCTAGCAAACAGCGTGGTTATCCAAGAGACAAGGGGGATCACACGATGTTTCTTAAATACAACCAGCAATAAGAATGGAGAAACAATACTCACTATGCAAACTGAAGGGATAAACCTTCCAGAACTGTTCCAGTATGTAGAAGTACGTAATTAGTGTGCATGAGTATATGTAATGTTATGTGGGTTCTATAATCTGGCAGAAGAGTAAAGAGTGAGGAACCCTGTTACTTACAAGAATGGCTGTTACTTTTAATGGCCACTTTGCAGCATTTTCCTGGTATGTTAGATCCTTTTAACCAAAACCTTTTGGTAAGCCACCCAGAAATTTCCAGCTGTGCAGCAGTATAGAAAATTAGTAGTAGTAGTAGTAGTAGTAGTAGTAGCAATAATCATAATAGTAATAATTTATAATAGTAGTAGTAGTAGTTGTTGTTGTTGCTAGTTGCAAAGTCGCATCTGACCCATCGCAATCCCATGGACAACATTCCTCCAGGCCTTCCTGTCCTCCACCATCCCCCTGAGTCCACTTACGCTCATGCCGACTGCTTCAGTGACTCCATCTAGCCACCTCATTCTCTGCCGTCCCCTTCTTCTTTTGCCCTCAACTGTTCCCAGCATTAGGCTCTTCTCCAGTGAGTCCTTCCCTCTCATTAGGTGGCCAAAGTATTTGAGTTTCATCTTCAGTATCTGGCCTTCTAAAGAGCAGTCAGGGTTGATCTCCTCTAAGACTGACTGGTTCGATCGCCTTGCAGTCCAAGGGACTCGCAGGAGTCTTCTCCAGCACCATAATTCAAAGACCTCAATTCTTCGGCACTCAGCCTTCCTTATGGTCCAGCTTTCACAGCCATACATTGCAACTGGGAAAACCATAGCCTTGACTATACACACTTTTGTTGGCAGGGTGATGACTCTGCTTTTTATTATGCTGTCTAGATTTGCCATAGCTTCCCTTCCCAGGAGCAAGCATCTTTTTATTTCTTGGCTGCAGTCCCTGTCTGTAGTGATCTTGGAGCCCAAGAAAATAAAATCTGTCACTACCTCCATTTCTTCCCCATTTATTTGCCAGGATTGAGAGGACCGGATGCCATGATCTTAGTTTTCTTAATGTTGAGTTTCAAGCAAACTTTTGCTCTCTCTTCCTTCACCCGCATCACAAGGCTCTTTAGTTCCTCTTCACTTTCTGCCATGAGAGTGGTATCATCTGCATATCTGAGGTTGTTGATATTTCTCCCAGCAATCTTAATTCCAACTGGTGATTCATCCAGCCCCGCCTTTCTCATGATGTGCTCTGCATATAAGTTAAATAGGCAGGGCAACAGTATACAGCCTTGCCAAACTCCTTTCCCAATTTTGTACCAATCAGTAGTTCCATGTCCAGTTCTCACTGTTGCTTCTTGACCCGCTTATAGGTTTCTCAAGAAACAAATAAAATGATCTGGCACTTCCATCTCTTCAAGAACTTGCCACAGTGTGTTGTGATCCACACAATCAAAGGCTTTAGCATAGTCAATGAAGCAGAAGTAGATGTTTTTCTGGAACTCCCTAGCTTTCTCCATGATCCAGCGTATGTTGGCAATTTGATCTCTAGTTCCTCTCCCTCTTCGAAATCCTGCCTGTACTTCTGGTAGTTCTCGGTCCACATACTGCTGGAGCCTAGCTTGTAGGATTTTGAGCATAACTTTGCTAGTATGTGAAATGAGTGCAATGGTGTGGTAGTTTGAGCATTCTTTGGCATTGCCCTTCTTTGGGATTGGAATGTAAACTGACCTTTTCCAACCCTGTGGCCACTGTTGAGTTTTCCAAATTTGCTGGCATATTGAGTGTAGCACTTTAACTGCATTGTCTTTTAGGATTTTGAATAGCTCAGCTGGAATACTGTTTCCTCCGCTAGCTTTGTTGTTGCTCAAACTTCCTTAGGCCCATTTGACTTCACATTCCAGGGTGTTTGGCTCGAGGTCAGTGACCACCCCATCGTGGTTATCAGGGATGTTAAGCTCTTTCTTGTATAGTTATTCTGTGTAATCTTGCCACCTCTTCTTAATCTCTTCTGCCTCTGTTAAGTCCCTGCCATTTTGGTCCTTTATCATACCCATCTTTGTATGAAATGTTCCCTTCATATCCAATTTTCTTGAAGAGATTTCTAGTCTTCCCTATTCTATTATTTTCTTCTATTTCTATATGGAGTATAGATCTTTTACAGCATCGGACTTTCCTTTCACCACCAGATACATCCACAGCTGAGTGTCCTTTCAGCTTTGACCCAGTCGCTTAATTCTTTCTGGCGCTACTAGTACTAGTCCTCTGCTCTTCCCTAGTAGCACATTGATCACCTTCTGACCTGAGGGGCTCATCTTCCGGCATCATATCATTTTGCCCTTTAAAACAGTCCATGGGGTTTTCATGGCAAGGGTACTGGAATGGGTTGCCATTTCCTTCTCCAGTGGATCATGTTTTGTCAGAGCTCTCTGCTATGACCTGTCTGTCTTGGTTGCCCTTGCACGATATAGCTCATAGCTTCATTGAGCTACACAAGCACCTTTGCCATGGCAAGGCAGTAATCCATGAAGAGTAGAAGTAGTACTTTTTCTCTAGTACTCCTTTCTCTCCTTTTTCTCTAGACTGGAGATATTAAAAATTCAGTTCACATCATATAACAAGCCTCCCTAACTTATAAGCCAAAGGTTTTGTTGTGTCATGTGAAACCACCACAGCTTATTCAGGGTTGTTTACAAGCCCATGGTTTATTTTAGGGTTTGGTAGCCACTCCTGTGGTTGCCATGTAATCCTAACCTGGACAATGTGATAACTCCAGGGGTGAAAACGCTTTCACTTCTTGCCAAGCAGTTGCTGGGCAAATATTACTTGGGGGCAGCTGCCAAAGGTGATTTGCATAATGGGATGGCATGGCCACCCTGAACTCCTGCTGATGTTGGCACAACTGCACTGTTAGGCTGTTGGGCTGGCGGCTGCTGCTGCTGGCACCAGCAGAGCATGGGCAGGCTGCATCACCACCTTAACCACTGTTTGGGTTGGTAGGAAAGAGGAGGTGCATAGCCTGCTAGAGCTGACTCCTCTGCCACCTCTGCCCGCCATCTTGGGCTGGCAGCACCAGTGGAGAAGAAGCTCCTGTTACTGCCAGCCCTTTTGGTGAAGATCCATTTGGCAGATGCATGGGTGAGCTGAGCTGATTGCACTGACAAGTGGCAATTGAGATGGGGTGAAACCTTGGTGTTTGCTAGGGGTCCCCTGTGATAGCTTTAGGAGGACTGGGAGCAGGGAAAGGATGCACCCTACCTACATTATGCCTTTGTTGTCTGTTGTGCATGCCCTTTCATTGCCTGATCTTTGCAGAACCTATTGTTGAAGGATACTACTAAACAAAAATGGAAATTCAGTGTAGTAGAGATAGTGGTTCATGATAGAGGGGAGGGAGATAGTATTGTCCTGCCTATTAACAGTTAACTGTATTTGCTATGTTTGCACCTTCTCAGTATGAAGATCATTTTCAGCAGCACCTGCTGTATACAACTGGAATATTTAAAAGAAAAGGCTGGGATTGAAGGAAACTGCTTCTAAAGATTTCTGAGACTGGAATATGAAAGTGATAATTCCAGGCCTAGCATAGTCATGGGCATGTAGTCATCCACTCTTCTGCCCTAAGCATTTGAGTCAAGGTTGCTGTTAGCTCTGTGCATGCACGTTTGCTCAAAGGGGGTTAGTCTGGAGCTCTTGGGGCTCAATTACAGACACTCCATGCTGCAAGTTTCTGTTTGTCACCAACCCACTGTTAATGCTTTATTTCATAATTCTGTAGCACTTCACAGAAGCTGTTCCATCAGGAGTGGATGTTGTGGAATGTTGTGAACCTTTGCATTTGTCAACTTTATCCTTTTCAGATTTTTGATGTAAACAGACTTTATTGCAATGACATTCATGCAATGGCCAGTACCTATGGCATTGAAGCTGCTTTGAGAGTTCTTCAGAAAGAAATTAAAGATGTGTTTTCTGCATATGGTAAGACTGTTTTAGATAAAGTCTGTTGAATCTAAATAAGGCATGCTTGAAAACAATTCTGTCTGTACCAGACTTCCTTTTCGCAGGATGCTCTTGCAGGACAGATGGTGAGGCCATAATCTCCATGTAGATATCCCTCTCTACACTCATCATTGCAATGTCAGAATGAATTGCACCCAACCAGAAAAGAATATTTGCTAACAAAAAGCACAGTTAACCCTCCCCTGTTACTCTTTTCGAATTTACTTGCAGCCTGCAGATCATTCCCTCAAATACTTGGAATGTTGTATGTGCCAGATGCGCCAGTAATACTTAGACATGCAGTATCCATTAACTTCTGTTACAGGGTTTGATGCTTAGTGGCTTATTGCCACCTAATTAGAACAAAAGGATGAGCATGTTAACTGTCTTGGTCTTTCCAATGTGTGACACAGGAACAGCAATGGGTACCTTAGGGTTTCAGTATTTCTCAAAAAAAAAAAAAAAAATTAAAAAACAGGTATTGGTGAATAGGCTGCATTTAAATCCCCCTCACATCTTCCTATAACCTTCTTTTAGGAGGCAATGATTTTGACATTCCTTCTATATTTACAGGGATCGCTGTAGACCCTCGACATCTCTCTCTGGTGTCAGACTACATGTGTTTTGAAGGCATTTATAAACCAATGAATCGCTATGGGATGCAGTCCAATTCATCCCCCTTACAGCAAATGACATTTGAAACAAGCTTCAAGTTTTTGAAGGAAGCAGCCATGCTGGGTAAATAACTCTCAAGATCATCTTGAAATTAGTGCATTTTTAACCTTTCAGTTCCATTGCCATAGTGCAGCTTACTTAGCAGACTAAGCCTTTAATTGTCCAGATTCTTGGAATGGAGGAATAGAACTAATCTTGTCAGCCCACACATTTCAGGAATCATCTCTTTCTTTTGGAAAAGAAGACTTAAGTCTTGGGGAGAATGAGAAAGTTCTAATACTGAAAGCATGACTGTAATCTAGTTGTAGGAAAATCAGAATTTCAGAGGGATGGACAACTTGCAGAGCTCCAGGTGCTTGAACCTACAGCTCTGTTCAACCTTAGATGGCATAGCTGGTAGGGACAATTGACCTTGTCTCCATTAGCTGATCTTTATAAACAAATGTGGGTGGCTGTGCCATCTATTCCTGGTTGTTAGGAGATTTGGGTCCTTTCTTGAGCAAAAGAAAAAGGGCACATTCCAATTAGTGGAATTCCTTGAATCAGATAATTTGAATGGTTGTACTCCATTGTACATTTCTGTGTTTTTGACATGCTTCCACTGAACTGATCTCATGAAAAATGAATCAGTCTTCTCATTTCATTTCCAACAGCAAGTTTTAGTGCTAGTCCAAAACATACTCCCTTTGCAAAACAAAACCAAAAACAACTTTATTAAATCAGACTTAAATATCAATAATCTCTTTCTTTTGCTTTAGGCTCCTATGATGAACTACAATCTCCTTCTGCATGCCTGGTGGTAGGAAAAGTGGTAAAAGGAGGAACTGGCTTGTTTGATCTCAAGCAACCTCTTAAATAAGCCTTTTAAGCTGCTACATTGCAAGGAATGGAGATGTTGCTGTGGTGTGGGGGTTCTTTGCAAGTTTGCTGAATGTAATATTACTGGTTGAACTTTTTGAGTAGATTTGACCTGTGCCTTTGGATCTTCAGGGATTGTATTTAAAAATAAATGTCTTGTGCAATGTCTTCTGTTACCTCTTTTGTGACTAGTAGGTTTTTTTTAGATTGGAGCAAGTGATGCACTTCATTTTGAGATTGTCATACTCCCCCAGTATGGTGATTCCAGGTGTTTCAGACTTCCATTCTTAGGAGCTTCAGCCTGCACAGTCAGGAATGCTGTGACTTGCAGCCTGAAAACTGTGCAGGACACCTGTTGGAGAAGACTAGATTAGAGGCCAGTTATATTTGATGGCCCCCAATTGCGAAGACTTGTGAATTCTTTTGTGCATAATTATGCAGCTTTTTACTGTTTTGCATAAGTTGTTTCTGATAGTCATGGGCAACAAGTTTTATAGTTATGGAGCAATAGGCAGCAAGTTAACTGAAACTCAAACAACTGACACTCTCAAGCAATTGGCAAAAAAAAAAGGAAGAAATAATACTTTAAATAAAAATTAAAATAGAATCAATTTCCAGTGGAAATGTAAATGTAAATTTAAACTTGATGCACTGCTTGGGCCAACTCACTATGGGTAAACAAACTGATCACTGGGATCTATTGTTATTCAAATTTGTGTTCTCACCCAATCACAAGTATGTGTAAATGCGTAGTGCTTACCCTCAAGCAGAAAATGGAATTATGCAAGAGGCTTGAAAAAGGTGAGAGTCTCTGCAGTGCTCATGGAGGAATTTAGTGTTGATTTGTCAATTATCTAGACCGGTGGCCAACATCCAACATCCCGTTTCTGGGCAAGGTGTTGGAGCAGGTGGTGGCGGGACAACTCCAAGCAGTCTTGCAGGAAACTGATTATCTGGACCCATTTCAGTCTGGCTTCAGACCCAGGTATGGTACTGAATCTGCCTTGGTTGCCCTGTACGATGACCTGTGCAGGGAGAAAGACAGGGGGAGTGCGTCCCTGTTGGTTCTCCTGTACCTCTCAGCGGCTTTCGATACCATCGACCATGGTATCCTTCTGGATAGGCTAGCGGGATTGGGAGCTGGGGGCACTGCTTTGCAGTGGTTCTGCTCCTATCTCAATGGCCAATTCGAGAAGGTGGTGCTGGGGGACTATGGCTCTGCGCCATGGAGTTCTGCAGGGATTCATTTTGTCCCCCATGCTATTCAACATCTACATGAAACTGCTGGGAGAGGTCATCAGGAGGTGTGGGCTGCGGAATCATCAGTATGCTGATGATACCCAGCTCTACCTCTCGTTCTCTTCCAATCCAGGTGAGGCAGTGGCTGTACTGAACTGGTGCCTGGCTGAGGTAATGGGCTGGATGAGGGCCAATAAACTGAAGCTCAATCCAGACAAGACAGAGGTCCTGTTAGTAGGTGGATCGGGCTTTGGGATGGGGGACTTTGACCTTGTCCTGAATGGGGATGTACTCCCTTTAAGGACAGGGTCCGCAGCTTGGGAGTGCTCCTCGACCCAGAGCTATTGTTGGAAGCTCAAGTGACAGCGGTGGCGAGGAGTGCTTTCCTTCAGCTTCGGCTGATCCATCAGCTGTGTCCCTACCTGGAGAATGACTGCCTGGCAACAGTGACACATGCACTGGTCACTTCCCGATTAGACTTCTGCAACGCACTCTACGTGGGGCTGCCCTTGAAGACAGTCCGGATACTTCAATTGGTGCAAGATGGAGCTGCCAGGCTGCTGACGGGGACTGGGTGTTCTCATATAACCCCAGTTCTCCATCAGCTCCACTGGCTCCCGATTGAAGTCCGGGTCCAATTCAAGGTGCTGGTTATCACCTACAAAACCCTGAATGGCTTAGGCCCTGGTTACCTAAAGGAGCGCCTGCGTCCATATATGCCCTCCCGCCCCCTGAGATCGGCGGCAGAGGCCCTTCTCTGGGAACCCTCTGTGAAAGATATTAGGAGGGTGAGTACTTGGAGGAGGGCTTTCTCTGCAGTGGCGCCCAGCCTATGGAATGCGCTCCCCAGAGAGGTCCACCTGGCGCCATCCTTATTTGTTTTTCAGCGCCAGGCCAAGACCTTTTTATTTAAATGCTATTTTAACTGTTAATGGTTTATTTGTTGATTTTAAATTGACCAGGCTGTGTCCACTATTTTATGTATTTTAATTATTTGATGATTTTTACTTTTTTTTTTGTATTTTATGCGGGATTTTATGATTGTAAGCCGCCCCGAGGCTCATGCGATGGGGCGGCATATAAGTTGTTTAAATCAATCAATCAATCAATCTATGACATTAAGGCTCAGTCTCAGAAGATAGAAGTTTAATTTTCTTTTAATTACTGTATTTTATTAATATCAAGTCAATACAGAGGGTATGGTATAGTATGGGGTATAGTATTAGGCCTGTTTTTAATAGTAACTCTCAAGCAATCAGAAACTACATTTAACCAGCATCTACCAATCTCCTCGGGTATCAGTTAACTGAGAGTCTACTGTATATAGTTATTGGGTTCTCTGAGCATCAGAAGGAGTGCCTGTGTGCAATTTGACCAAATGTTGTTCACCAAGCATTATTTTTAGGGCATACATTTTCTGCCCTCAAAACTAGGTAGTTTGTTTAAAAAGAAAAGGCTGAGATTTTCAGGAAGCTGAATTCTGTACTTCATGTTACCTTTTGTGGCATTTCTGCACTCTTGTTGTTTAGGAATACATGCAACTGAAGGAAAAATAATTTTGGTCCAAAAATTAACCTAGAAGAAGCAGGAAGAACTAGAAGAATAGGATGAGTAGTGCATAGCCTCTGTTTCTGTTTGTATGGAAACTGAAGTAAATTCCTAAACCCATTCCTTATTTTAGAGTGGAGCTTCCAGAAATCTGATTTGAAGGAAAAGCTATTAAGATTGTATTTATCTGGGAAGGACTCAGCTTAAAATGTTAGACCATATTTAATTAGGGCATTTGAAGGAATCTCAACTTATTATCTGAAAGGTGATATTTTGATTACTTTGTAAATAATTTCCATTTATGAGCATCTTGTTTTCCATTAAAGAGCTTTAGCAGATTTGCCTTGAAGTGTGCAAGTGTTTACCCACTTAATCTCTACCCTGCATTAAAATTTTGCTTGTATTGCATGATCCTAGTCACTCTTTATAATCTAGCTGTGGAGACCAATGGAGAGAAGCTACAAGCACCACTTGCGGAGGAAGCTGAAAGCAGCTGGCAGCTGCAGGGGAGAAGTTATTACTTCAAATTACAGGACAAATGTTATTATTTCAATAGAACAAGAAGCAGCTTTTTTAAAGTGTTCCGTAGTGCTGAAGTGTAGGATGAAATGGATGCACTGAGCTGCAAAACTTTCGTAGAGACCATGTTTTGGTACTGGTTCCAGGCAATAGTTCAGATCACCTGGGAAATGGTCTGGAGTCAACTACCAAAGAAAATCACATGACTATAAGGGAATGATGTAATCGAAACAAGACATGCATAAAAAAATTGTGATCCCCCTTCCAGGAAATAGTCTTTATTCTGAAAAAAAGGCTCAGCATGGTAACCTCCAAGTGAGCTAATACAACCAAATTCACTACTTCCTATATGAAAGTGTGTCTCAAAACATCCACAAAACCCTCATCCTGATATTCCACTTCATTGATGGAATCAGATGTTTTGTATAAGAATTTCATTTACAGATGCATGCTAGAACACTTGCATAAGTGTGCACTCACATGAACAGACATTAGTACAAGTCTACATTTGCATGAGCCCCCCCCCCCCCAATAAAAGACTGATCTGCAAGATTATGGAATCCATGTGACTTGGAAAATGTCTGTTGTGGAAATTGCAGGTTAGATTCACAGAAACCCGATCTAAGAATTGGTTGCTGATTTCTTCTTGGCTTGTAGGGCATGATCCAGATTAGGACTACGAGGGGCATTCAATGCATTCTCGGTATCTGAATGAAGAAAAAGGAGTAATAAATTGAAATAAATTTTATTTTTCAATGTAATCCCCCATAACTTCAATACACTTATTACATCTAGAAATTAACTTTTCAGTTCCCTGTAAAACCTACCCTTCCTCCTTGTCTAAAAAATGTGTGTTAATTGCCACCTTGAGCTCTTCATCGTCGGAAAATCGCTTTCCATGAAGATCTTTTTTTAAATTCAGGAATAGGTAATAGTTACTGGGGGCCAGGTCCGGGCTATAGGGTGGGTGATTTACTTCTTCGAAACCACAGTCTCACACAGCAGCCTTCGAAACGCGCCATGTGAATGGGTGTGTTGTCGTGAAGAAGCAACACACCTGCAGTCAGTTTTCCCCACCTTTTTTCTTTAATTGCTTCTCTTAAATTATGCAGAGTGGTTGTGTAAGATGCTGCGTTTATGGTTTCACCTTTTTTCATGTACTCTATCAAATTTCCCTTTGAGTCCCAAAACACTGTGGCCATGACTTTTCTGGCTGATGGAGTGACTTTGAATTTCTTTGGAGGGTCAGCACCTTTTTTATGCCACTGCATGGACTCCTGCTTACTTTCAGGGTCATAGTGATGAACCCAAGTTTCATCTCCAGTAACAATCCAGTCAAAAATACTCGATGGATCTTCACCGCAGAGCTCTAAAAACTCCCTACAGTACTCGACTCGCACTTGTTTCTGAGGCGCCATGAGCATTCGCGGCACCAATCTTGCACAGACCTTTGAAAGGTTAAGATGGTCATGAAAAATAGTAAATATGGTACCAACGTATAGGTTTGTCATCTCTGCTAACATTTTGATTTTTATTCTGGCATCTTCCAATACAAGTTTCTCAATTTTTTTCACATTTTCTTTCGTAGTGGCAGTAACCGGCCCGCCTGAGCGAGGGTCATCTTCAATGCTTTCTCTGCCCCTTTTAAATTCACTTGACCACTTTTGAACAGTAGATAATGAAGGTGCAGAGTCCTGGTAAATGGCCACCATCTCTTCGTGAATGATTTTTTGACTTTTTCCTTGTTTTGTAAGGAACTTAATCACAGCGTGGTGCTCGATTTTCTTCAACATCGTCGCATCAGTCATCATGGTCATCTTTCACTGAGGATTACTAGGGAACTAATGATCACACTTATTTGAAATTTTGCATGTATACCCTCAGATAGTGTCATTAGCTAATGAAATAATTAAATTACCCACATCAATAGCAAATCAACCCGAAACCGAGAATACATTGAACGCCCCTCATACTGTGGTAGCAAAGGAAGGCAGCTTCCTTACTTCTCTATGCTGTGGTCCCAGTCAGCATAGTAATATGTAGTCTTAAGGAATAAGCTTCACACAAATGCTTTTTGTAATTAAATTTCACTCTGCATCCTAGCGACTTTCTAGCTTTAGAGTGAAACTGGCCACGCTTAAGGCTATTTTGCTAACTGTTGCTTTCACAGCAGAAGAGTCATAATAACTTCTGACACAAAGCATAGAAGTTCACCAAACTTACAGAGTACACATTTTCTCAAGTTTGCTTCTGAACAAGAAATCAATGATAAGCCAAGCTGCAGCTTAGAGTAAAAAGTATGCAGCACATTTAGCTTGCTGTATCTGTGCAAATTTATTAACAAGTCAACTTGAAATTGTGCACAAGTGCTTCATTGGGGAGGCCACTGAGGCCTGCTAAACAGGCGGCTTTTTTAAAACATTCAATTGGCAAGAAGTTCTCAGAATCATGTACAGGAAGGATAAAGGCCATAAAAAACAGCCACCAAAATGTAACAACAGAAACAGCAGTGACATGTAACATTTTAAATGGTGGAAACTGTTTCTTGAGCTCCTTTAAACTATACCCCTTTGTCTAATTTACACCCCCCCCCCAAATAGTGCATGTGCCCCCAATCCTTTCCCATGTGCGTAATTGAGTTAATGGTAAGTTGAATTGGAAGGTTTTACATTTGAACACTTCAGGTTGTTCCCATCTGTTTCAATACAGCGTTCCAATTTGCTTGACAAGGATACATATGTTGTTCTTGGTCCTTGTGCATCGCACATACAGCTTGCCACTTGGCCGACCAACCTGAAAAAATTTTCTTGACAAAATCATGTATTTCTATCCAGCTTTCCTATCTCCATAGCATTTCCCCACCATCTACTCCCCCCTTTCTATCTGCTGCTCACCCATCTATGCAATGGTGTCGATGGCCTCTGGAAGCAGTGCCTGTTGTGAGGCCAGGCTTCCCTCAACTGATAGCCATTTGCTGTGCCTCCTTTGCCTAGAGAAGGAGCACATAGTGGGGACTGGCACTCATTGCCAGGCCTTAAAACAGCAGATCCTCAGCCAAGAGACTGACGGGCTTAAGGCTGAACTGTGAAAGAAGGCCCTCTGAGTAGCTGACCCCTCTAAGCAGGACGTGGAGTGCCCCTCCACCTCCAGAAAAAGCAGACCCATGAGGGCTGATGGTCAGCTAAGTGGAAGGCCGTATGTGTGAATGCATAGATGACCATATGAAGAACGACAGTTATGGGTAAACAACCTGCCTAAACACAAGTTCTGATCTCAATTACTCATTCCCCAGAACAACTTTACTCATATTCAGTCCAGTCCTATGTGTGAATTTAGTTGGGTTTATCAACTGGAATATTGGCAGTGTAAAACATTTTCCAGAATATTTCCTGCAAGGCAGGGTTTTTGAGAATGTTCTATGGCTTACTGTTACAGCTGAATTTAATTTGTTTCAGGAGCTGAGTCCTCTCCTTCCCTTCAAACAATAGACAGTTGTTTGGCAAAAAGCACTTTATTTCCAATATACAGCTAACAAAGTAATAGCCAACAGAGGGAGAGCCCCTGAGCATGCACAGAGTGGAATGTTGAACATAAACAAGAAACTTTCTGAGAACCCTCTGAGCAGGTCCTTTTCAGTAACCTGCTCCTCCCCCTTGGGATGGAAATGGGCTAGTCTTCCAGTTGGCTAGCTCTTCTCTCACAATGCTGCATTATGGGGTCAGGGATTGGACCAGGGTCTTCTTGCTCTTCTCCTGTGGCCCCTCCATGCACTTCCAAATCCTGTTGGTTCACAAGGTCTACCTAAACACCTGGAGACAGCAACCTTGAGGTAGCTGTTCCTCTTCTGCCACCCACAGACCTTGTTTCCCAGCCCGCACAGTCCTCGTCCAAAGAGTCCAGGCCACCTGGAAAACATGCTTCTTTCATTCCCAACACTTTGGCTAACTGGGACATTGCCATTTTGGGCTGTTTTCTGAGAATACTAGATTTTTTCCACCCAGCCTTATAAATTATGCTTGATTCACCCTGAATACTATGTAATGCCTGGATCAGGCATTACAATGTGGTTTCAGTGGATATTTTCTGGCTGATTACATTGCTTCCATAACATGGTATGTGGCTGGAGAATTGGACTGATTTGGCTTACTTGGATGTTGGTATTCCTGGCCTTTTTCTTAAATACAAACTATTGTTCTGAAAGTTTTGTGCATAATTGCATTCCTATTCAGTCATGCCTGACAGGCACATTTGGTGGCTTGGCTCACTTGGAAGCTGATATTCTGCCTTTTTCCAGAATGTGGCCTATTGTTCTGAGTGGGTATTATTATTATTATTATTATTATTATTATTATTATTATTATTATAACATTTCTATGCCACCCCTTGCCGAAACCTCGGGGCGGCTTACAACATGATAAAATACATTGAAATACAATAGTACATAATAAATTACTATTAAATATAAAAATACAAAAAATACATTGATTTACAAATACAAAATTAAAATTATCAGTATAAAATAAAAATATAGGAGAAAGAGAAGGAAGAAGAAGTTGCCCAGGCCAGATCATATGTTTTAACAATTGAAATGATGTTTAAATAAAAAGGTTTTTACCTGGCACCGAAAAACCAGTAACGACGGTGCCAGGCGGACCTCTTTGGGGAGTGAATTCCATAGGTTGGGAGCCACCACAGAGAAAGCCCTCCTCCGGGTACTTACTCTCCTAATTTCTTTCATGGAGGGTTCCCGGAGAAGGGACTCTCCCGCAGATCTCAAAGGGCGGTCGGACATATACGGACGTAAGCGCTCGTTCAGGTAGCCAGGACCCAAGCCGTTTAGGGCTTTGTAGGTCATAATCAACACTTTGAATTGGGCCCGGGCTTCAATGGGAAGCCAGTGAAGCTGATGGAGGACTGGAGTCATGTGAGCATAACGCCCCGTCCCTGTCAGCAACCTGGCAGCTCTATTTTGCACCACTTGAAGTGTTCGGACCGTCTTCAGGGGAAGCCCCACGTAAAGCGCGTTACAGAAGTCTAGGCGGGAAGTCACCAGCGCGTGTGTCACCGTCGCCAGGCAGTCGTACTCCAGGTATTGGGACCATGGAAGCTAAGCAGGGTTAGGCTTGGTTAAAATCTGGATGGGTGACCTAAATATTGTGAACCAGCCAGAGAGCTTTGACTACAGGTGGTATAGAAATATATTAATGTGAATGTGAAGGTATAGAATCAAACAGTTGGAAGGCCATTGCATCCAATTCCCTGCTCAATGCAAGACTGAAATCTTCCATCCACATTCTAACTAGGGCTGACCCTATTTATTTTCCAGGATGAGGCAGGATAAGGCACTTCAAACTATATGGAAGCATAGTGTTGCCAATTGCAGCACCCCAAAACACCCCAAAAGTAGTTGGCCACAGGAAGGCCGCATAGTAAAAACACAGTTATACTGTCCCAGAAGGAAGGGCAGATAAGAACAAAATGAACTTCGTGTAACCCACAGCTAACACGCTAGCCTGACCTCGAATATAGTAATCAAAGGGACAGTGGAAACTGGTTCTAGCCGCCATGAAAGTTGCAAATGTGCAGGGAGTAAGAACATGGCAAGCCTGTGTGAATCTCGAGCAGATAAGAAATAGCCATGGGAAATGTCTGGTCCTTGGCAGAAGAAAGGACTCTTTCTCCAGCGCAGGAGGGGGTGCATACATTGATGTATCAATACATTAGTTGTGTATTAGGTGACCTATTTGGTTACCTAGGGTATAAAACGCATGTACCAGGGTGCAACTTTTGAGACACTGCTTTGGGCTGAATGTACCCTTTCGTCTCCCTTTATTCTATACTGCACTAGAATAAAGCTGATTTTGGCTCTAAGTCTTGTCTCAGGCTCCTTTTGGCTCGGATCTGGGGTCCACCCGGTTATGCCCTAGCTGTTGACTGGCTGAGTTCGGCAACAATAGCTTTGTGACTCAGTGCATCCCTCCCATACAATCACGTATGAATTATTGGCTCGGCTTGCATGTTCTGTTCTTTCTCTATTCTGGACTGTATAATATTGCAAGGATTTCAGTACCAAAATACTTAAGTGTAGCCAGCTGCCTAATGAATAACGTGGGGCTACGGGAATGTATCGGTACTAACAGGGTAACCTATTTTTTTTTCTAAGTGTAAAAAATATAATACATCTCTATAAGGTTGCATGCAATGTAACACACCCTCCCCCAAGAAATAAGACGAGTAGAGCATGAACTGCTTCTCTGCAACTGTCTTTTGTCTCTGCGTAGGCATTGTGCTGCCCAGTGATAACCGTGTCACGAAAATTCTGCACGACTCCGTTGTTTTCTTCGGAGGTTTCTAACTTCCGGCCCAGAGAAAAATAGTTCCGCCTTCGGTTCATGGAAGTGTTACTCTAACTTTTCCTATCTCTCTGGGCACCCAAGACAGGCCTCGGTGCTTTTCTGCCGGGTGCTGTTCCTTTTCCTTTGCTCCCGCCTCCGCGGCTGGGATCTCGCTGGGGCGGGTGAGCGTCGAGGCCATCTGCAGTCGGGGTCAGATTCCGCAGGAGGGCCGTCACGCCGCCCCCATCGTGCAGCGCAGGGGCGCTCACGCCGGCCACGTTGTCCTGGTAGGCGAGGGAGTCCGCAGGGCTGAGGTGAGTCGGGCCGGATCTGGCCGAAGCCTCTTGGCCGTTTTGCTCTCTCCTGAATCTTGCCTGGATAGCGGCCGAGGGCGGGAGATGCCCTGCTTGTCCCGTCCTCCCGCTGCTGCCGTTTTGTCAACGCTCTGTTTTTTCGTCCGCGCTCCGTTTATCCTTCGTGGAGGCGCCATCACCAAAGAGCCTTGCAAAAAGTCGCTCGCTGCGTCTCTGCGCGTCAGTGGCGAGTGCGACAGATACATCGTAGATAATTTCTGTATCTGTTTGCGTGTATGCAAGTGATAAAGAGCTTTGGAGCTGGAGACATTGCTGCCGCCGCTTTCGCTCCTCTTCAAGCGAGAACGGAGCATGGCCTGGGAGAGACAGAAATTGGTTAATGGAGCATCCTGCTTTTCTCAGCAGTGACCAGTTCAGGAGCCAAGGGTGGCGATGGTGGTCGCCATTTCCTGCTTAGGCATGGACTTGTCTTCCATTGTCATCACAACTGATAACTATCATTACATCAGTCCTCCACGAACTGGGCTATCCGTTTTTAAAACAATTTGGGACCATCACTGTGTTCTGTGACAGTGAATTCCCTTAAGGCTATGTGTGCTCTGTGAAATAGTAACTTCTTGGGTTTGCTCAGAACCGGTTAGGCAGCTTCACTAGAAGACAGGCAATCTTAAAAATTGCCAGCAGCCACTTTTAGTCTTTTTCTTCTCTAATGAAAAGAATTCTGCAGCATGCTACATCCTTTTTTATAGAGAAAGTTCTCCAATTCTTGATTACCCTAATTCAACTTTTATTTAGTTTTTCTGGCCCTGTATTCTCCTTGAGATGTATTACACTCTGTTACTGTTATCTATCATTTCTACAAGGTACTTGGGGTGTCCACTTTTATCCTCTCATTCTTGTAAGGCTGAACTATTTCTTCCTGATAGGGGTTATTTATGTACTGTTTCAGTTTTGCTGTGATTAGGTACAGATTTTCTGTCATGGAGAGTGTTGTTTTACTTTCAGCTAAATTAAGGAAGAGTTTGGACTTTAAAGCATCTCTGAAGTGAGCATAATGTTATGGGAATAGAGCTTAAGAGAATTGGTGGGTTCCCACTTCCTGTTAAGCCACCCTGGAGAATAAGCTACCATAGTTGTTTGTGGTGTAGTGGTTAGGAGCATGGGACTGGGACTCAGAGGATCCGGGTTCGAGTCCCCGCTCAGCCATGGAGCCAACTGGGTGACTTTGGGCCAGTCACAGACTCTCAGCCCAACCTACCTCACAGGGTTGTTGTTGTGGGGATAAGATGGAGGAGGAGATGTAAGCTGCCTTGAGCCCTTTGTAGGAAAAAGGCAGGGTATAAATCACAATATAAATAAAATAAATATAAATGTTCCTGCTTGACAGATGACTGGGCATATGGCTTCTTGGTATGGCTTATTTATTTATTTATTTGATTTCTAACCCACCACATTAGTACCACAGCTCCCTGGGTGGGTTATAACAATAAAACCATGCAATACAATATAAAAACACAAATCGCAAATGCAATAAAACATTAAAACCATAAAATAATGAACTAATTAAAGCATGCCCACTGAACAGAACTAGTAATTTCATAAAAGGCATACCCTATTGTTAAAATGCCAATAAAAACAAGTTAACAATTAAAATACAGTTGAAATAAAAAGGTCTTTGCTTGGCATCAAAAAGAATATAAAGTGGGTGTCAGGCAAACCTCCCTGGTGAGCTCATTCTAAAGCTAGGGTGCCACTCCTAAGAAGGCCCTTCTTCTTGTTGCTACATTCCTTATTTCTAGAGGAGGGGGCTCCCTCAGAAGGGCCTCAAATGCAGATTCAAGGTGCTGGGTAGGTTTGTACAGGAAGAGGTTCTCCTTTAGATACCCTGGCCCCAAGCCGTTTAGGGCTTTAAACACTACTGTTAGCACCTTAAATTGGGGCCGAACCTCTGTTGGAGGCTAGTGAAGATGGTAGAGGACTAGCTTTATATGATTGCATAGCTGCCCTATTTTAGACCTACTGAAATTTCCAGACCATCTTCAAGTGAAGCTCCACCTAAATTGCATTGGAATAGCCCAGGCAAGATGTTACCTGTTACCAGGTCCTGTATGTCCAGATATGACCACAGCTGATACATCAGCTTTAGCTAATAGAAGGTACTCCTGGCCACCAAATCCACCTGGAATTCCAGCAATAATTCAGGTTCCAGGAGCACCCCCAAGCTGTGAACTGTGTCTTTAGGGGGAGTGTGACCCTATCCAGGAAAGGCAAGATGTCACCCATCTGAACAGACAGAGCCTCCACCAACAGCATCTCCATCTTATCTCGACTAAATTTCAGTTCATTAGTTCTCATCCAATCCATCATCGAGGCCAGAACATCCACTGCCACACCTGCATTCTTTTCCCCAAGTCCACCAGTGCATTTCCTGTACATATCCTTTGCATGACCACCTGTCTTGCATTCTCATCTCTATGGCAGGAAATTTGCTCAGCCCCCTCCTACTCAGATCATTGCCTGTTTTTGGAGAACTTACTGTGTCTACAACTTCTTATCTTTTCAGTGCATTGGAAATAGGGTTATTTTATACACATGTGTGCGCACACACCTTCCTGGCCTTTCACAAGTCTGCAGATTTGGTTATTTGCTATGTCTAGTCTCGCCATACAATTTAATTGTATGTTGCAGCTGTCAAAGGAAGCGCTGAAATAGAGTAAGTAAAATACACTGACATTGAAAAGGAAAAAAAAATGAAAAGGAAGCAACTGTTCCAAGAAAGAACACTAAAGAACATTCTAACTTGGAAATATCAGCCGCATGCTATTAACCTTTGAACTTCCCCCTTTCAATGGTTGCTTGAGTATTATGGTTCCCACCCTCTCATTTTGGCTTCTTTTCAGAGCAGTCACTGCTGCTGTTACTAATTTTCAACATTTATGCAAATCATCTGAATAATTAAAACAAAAAAAACTTAGAAGGCAGCTGCATAGTATGGAATACATGGGGCTTTACTGTGAAAAGCAGATGTAACTACTGCTAGTGCAGATGCCTTGTTTGCTTCATTCCATTCAGTTTGGGAAAAAAACCCAAATGACCCAATTTGCACACTTCTGAAGTACCAACCCCCCTCCCCCCTCCCAAAAAAAACCTAAGTGGCAACTGAGTTACCATCCTTCTGGAGTACCATTTGGCACCAGTGGATGGTTTACCACTGTGCCACTAGTGGGATCAGGCTCTTTGTGTTGCTTTTGATAAGTTATATAAGTTTTGATAAGCTATAGTTGCTTGAAACAGATCACACTGTTGAATTTGGACATGAAACCAGCAAATTTATTGAATTAGTCTAGAGATTATATCAAGCATGGATATTATGAATGCAAATTAGATGCAAAAATAATTATATTTCTTTTAACATAAGACTAGCATAAACATTTAAATGGTACATTAAAAGTTTGGATAGCCTTTAAAATCTCATGTAGTTTACAACTATTATAGGTAAAGGTTTCCCCGCACATGTGTGCTAGTCGCATTCGACTGTGGGATCAGTGCTCATCTCCATTTGTAAGCCGAAGAGCAAGTTTTGTCTGAAGGTGTTTCCATGGCCATGTGGATGGCATGACACCGAGGTGCACGGAACGCTGTTACCATTCCTGCCGAAGTGGTACCTATTTATCTGCTTGTATTTGTATGCTTTCAAATTGCTAGGTATGCATATGCTGGGACAAAGCAGCTGGCCCTAACCCTGATCAACAGACCAGTGGCTCAGCACCCACTGCACCACCCATGTCCCCAACAACTACTATACAGCTCATTTAATCAGCCATTTTTCCATTTTTTTCTGTAAACAGAAAAGAGGGCTAACCTCTGAGTCACAAACTGAGCAGATTCCTGAAGAACAAAATTCAGTTTAGCCTTTGATGCCCAGTTTCTTATGGTCCCAGGAAATGGAAATCAGCAGCATTTCTTGTAATTAGCCTGTAACCCACACTCCAGTAAATAGTGTGCTACACTTTTCCCACAGCTGCACCACAGATATACTCTCTTATAGTTCCGTGAAGTGCCCCTGAATCCTTCAGGGGAGGAAGATGAGTCCATCTGTTCATGTTGGAGGTGAATTAAGAGAGATTTTTCTTCCTGCATTTTGGTTTGTGTTCTCTAACCGCTTCATAGACATTGCATTGCCAAGATGGCATGGTCCATTTGTGCTGTAATATCTAGAACTCTTGGCTTTAAAATAATCTTATATTAAAACTGAAAATACTTAAAGTTTTCACACTAAAACCATAATTTAATGACAATTTTGAAAAATGAGACCATCATTTTTCCTGTATTTTTAGCTATCTGTTCATTTGTGCATTTCTCAGGCAGCCTTTTGTCTTTCATATAAACAGACATACCAAGAGTTGAACTTCTTACTTGAGGTGAACCTGATCTGAGATGCCTTCTGATCCATTAATTGTGTTTTTCCATCCTGATTATGCTGTCACATTTCCTTAAGCTCCCCATCCAGCATATTGAAACATAAATTTGTACCTTTTGTTGACTTTTCCAGTATTCTATGATGCCAAAACATGGAATTTCACGATAATGCAGGGAAGTGCTCTACTTCTTTCCTCACATGGACATGATGCAAATAAAATGACAATTGTAATGAAAGTCACTGATTTGACTCACCCATGCCCACCCAGTGTGCTTTATTATTGGTTAAGCATTTGAACTTGCTACTTCTATGCATGTAATCAGTATTTCACAGATGGGCAACTTGTGGCTCTCCAGCTGTTTGACCTACAACTCCCATTGTTCATTTGGGAGCAATATTTTAAGCTTAAGACAACATGTGTGTGCTGGGCATAAAACTTGCAATTCTGTTCCCATTCCACCCACTTTTTGGAGTACCAGCTATGTAGTTCATCAAATGCTGAGTGATTTGCAGTGTAGCTCTCTTATTGGTAAGAACTGAAGTAGAAATAGCTCTTCTTTCAGCATTTTGAAACACTGTTCTTGTTCTTTCTTATTACTAGAAAAATTTTAACATTTCATGCCTGTGGAGTAACATTATCAAGTCTGGATTCCATGTCTTTCCTTGTAAGTAAACCAGAACGCATTAGGGTGAGTGTCAAACACTTTCAAGAATTATTAACAAGCATTTATTTTTGTGTTCTTTCCTTTTCAGTTTTATGGACAGTATGATGTATGGACAGTGTTGGGTTGACTTACCCATGTTTCCTTTTTAGGAATCATTAAGGTTGTTATGGAGGTGACAGAAGTTAGGGCAAACCACCATGGCTCCAGTCCTGAGAAAACATTCCTTTGGGAAGAAAACATTCTCTTTAAATAAACACATTTAAGCTGAAGCCAAGAAATGTAATGCATGCAACATTATTTGGGGGCTTGAGGTGCCCTCCTATTATTATTATTATTATTATTATTATTATTATTATTATTATTACTACTACTACTACTACTACTACTACTACTACTACAGTTTTAAGCTGCCCCGAGGCTTCGGCAAGGGGCGGCTTACAACACAATAAAATACATTGAAGTACAATAGAACGTAATAAATTACCTCCAGTTACATAAATACAAAGAATATGCTGGGATACCCACATAATCATATAAAGTTAAAATTAACAGTATAAAATAAGTGAGTAAAGAATATAGGGGGAGAATAGAGAAGGAAGAAGAAGTTGCCCTGGCCAGATTATATATTTTAACAATTAAAATGATGTTTAAATAAAAAGGTCTTTACCTGGCACCGAAAAACAAGTAACGACGGTGCCTGGCGGACCTCTTTGGGGAGTGAATTCCATAGGTTGGGCGCCACCGCAGAGAAAGCCCTCCTCCGAGTACTTACTCTCCTAATTTCTTTCATGGAGGGTTCCCGGAGAAGGGACTCTCCCGCAGATCTCAAGGGGCGGTCGGGTATATACGGACGTAAGCGCTCGTTCAGGTAGCCAGGACCCAAGCCGTTTAGGGCTTTATAGGTCATAACCAACACCTTGAATTGGGCCCGGGCTTCAATGGGAAGCCAGTGGAGTTGACAGAGGACTGGAGTCATGTGAACATAACGCCCCGTCCCCGTCAGCAACCTGGCAGCAATATTTTGCACCAATTGAAGTGTTCGGACCGTCTTCAGGGGAAGCCCCACGTAGAGCGCGTTACAGAAGTCAAGGCGGGAAGTCACCAGCGCGTATGTCACCGTCGCCAGGCAGTCGTACTCCAGGTAGGGGCGCAGCTGATTAATCAGCTGAAGCTGAAGGAAGGCACTCCTCGCCACTGCTGTCACCTGAGCTTCCAAAGAAAGCTGCGGGTTGAGGAGTACTCCTAAGCTGCGGACCTTGTCCCTAAGAGGGAGTGTTACACCATTCAGGACCAGGTCAAATCCACCCTCTCTGAAGCCCGATCCGCCAACCAACAGGACCTCTGTCTTGTCTGGGTTGAGTTTCAGTTTATTGGCCCTCATCCATTCCATTACCTCGGCCAAGCACCGGTTCAGCACAGCCCCTGCCTCACCTGGGTTAGTGGAAAATGAGAGGTAGAGCTGGGTATCATCAGCGTATTGATGATTCCGCAGCCCACACCTCCTGATGACCTCTCCCAGTGGTTTCATATAGATGTTAAATAGCAAAGGGGATAGAATGGAGCCCTGTGGTACTCCATGGTTTAGCTGCCATGGCGCAGAGACATAGTTCCCCAGCATTACCTTCTGGAGTCGACCGTTGAGATAGGAGCGGAACCACTGCAAAGCAGTGCCTCCGACCCCCAATCCCACTAGCCTATCCAATGACTTTCTTTGCTTGGAAAAAGGTCAACTTTTTGATTAGTATCAAAAAGCCATTATTTTCTTTATTGATGGATATAATGATGCAGTATAGTATTTCTCATTCTTATGGAATCTTTTAATTTGAAAAATTAAGTAGCTACATCTGAGTAACTGCTTACCAATCAGATGTGAGGGGGCAAACAAGTTTGTTTAGATTCATGTTCTGTTTTCATATAGGGAATGTAGTAAAGTCCACTTTTAACATAAATGTGCTTGGGTGCCTTATTCCCTGTGCTTTAATGCTGCACAATTTTCCTCAGCCTGGCTCAATTTCTATATCAGAAAAAGGGTGTGGGGGTGAGTGCCTAAAGTGAGATAAAGAAAATGTTATTGGTGAGGGAAGAAGTTGCAGTTTGTGTATTTTGGTTCTGGAATGGCTAAGATGTAATGCCAAAGCATGGAAGAAGCCTTGGGACTGTGCACTCCTCCCATTTTGTAGTATAACTACTGTTAATCTTACTGTGTTTTATTGTAAACCACCCAAAATGCCCTCTGTTATAAAGTTATAAAAATAAATAAATGAATTTCTTCCTCTGACCCTAGTTTGAGGCAGTCATAAATTACTGCTTTATCTGAATTGTAAAACTGGGATTTGCAAACTGTAATGAGCTAGTTTAGCCAAACATCCAAGCAGTCATTTTGGATTGAGGGGAAGGAGTTGTTGTGTACAAAGGAAGGCAAGAGTATGGGAGCATGAGACTCTTTAGTACTTATTCATGTAATACCAAATTGTGGCTTGGCATTCTCTCTCTGCTACTGCATATGAAGTCAGTGGATCATGCAAGTTTTTTTCTTTTGTTAAGTAAAATAAAAAAAATGAACTGGAATATTCCAAGATCTCATATGAAGTTTTATTTCTGTGGGGTTTCTTTTTTAGAGGTGGATGTCTGAGAAGTTCATTTTTGAGGGCTTGAGGGAGTTGGAACTATTTGGAGGTAAGTGCTTAAATTGTATTACGCATTTTCCTAGCTGTGACTTTGTACTTCATGCATTTTAGTGCAGGGAGGTATATTTGGTACTTGGCAGCCCAAGGAGTGCAGTCCTTAAACTTTTCTATACCTTTAATTCACAGAAATCCAATCAATCTGTTTTTGAATATTTGCTTTGGAATATCCATGGGTCTAATTTAGGGCTATTGCCCTAAAATGAACAATGTTGCAGCATTAATTAGTAATAGCTCCTGTGTCTCTCTTGCTCTTAATACCTAACTGGTTTCCATAGGAGTTTATTCAGTAGATTTTGCTTGTACATTGGGATCCTTGAGTCCATAGAGTTTGCTGGAGTAAAGTGGTGATAAAACAATGGGAAGAAACTACCCATTACTGAGCAAGAAGGACGGCTGGAAAGTAGTGGGGAGGGGTTCCTGGAGCAGGAATTGAGATTGAATTAGTTTAATGTGATATTTAGGGAAAGATTGGCATAGGATGTATATATGAAGAGGTGATACTCATTAAAACATGGATCAGGGATACTCCTATAAGACTTATCTGAGTTGAGAATGTGATGTATTATCTGAGAAATGATCCCAAGTGTTTGATGCTTCTTATTCATCCTAATGTTTCCTAACAAGGAAAACTCCATCAGTAAATCATATTTCCTAAGTAATTTTCTTAAACTCTGCCCTTTTATCTATTACTTATGGAGGTAAAATGCATGTCTAACATGCAAATATGCCAATTTCTTTCTGAATTCAACATTTTTTTGATTTTATTTCCTCTCTACATCCCACAGTCTCTCCATTCTTTTCATTATTTTAAATTCTAATTTCATCTTTAAATACTGATATAGTTTTTTCTACTATATAAGTTCTTCCTTGTGGTCTCTGTGCATTACACATATGGGCTGTGCACACGTGTGGAGCCTGTTTGGGAAGATTCCACAGGTAAGATTTTACTTAGTAGGAGCCCCTCCTGTAGCCACACCCAGGCATGAGGGAAGGGTTCCTGCCTGAACCTCCGTTCTTCTTCAATCGCCACCATGAGTGCATCAGAAAGAGCTTCCTCTGCTCATTATAGTTTTCTACTTACTTCCAATTATTTCTCCTTTCTTCTAGACACTGTAGAAGAATATCTTTTTTTTTCTCTTTCCATAACCTCCATCCAATGTCTTTCTCCCTACAGAAAAAAATATTTACCTTCCACTTTGTCTCCTTCTCCATCTGCATCCCCTTCTCCCTATCTCCAGCTTTCCTGCCTCATAATGGCACTCAAAGCTCTGTTTAGGAATTGCTCCAGTTGCAGCAGCAGACTCTCCCCAACCATGGCCATTTCCTTTGCCTGGTCTATTCCCCTAAACCAGAATCTGGACTTGGTGCACCAACAGGGGTGCCTCTTTAATGACAATTCATGTTGCAGTTACCAGCAACACCATGCTTGACACACTCAGCCATGCCTCCACAGATTGCTATAAGTGGGAACTGAACCACCGCATCTGGAGAGAGCTCTGGGTGAGATGGAATCACCCTCAGATAGACCTCTTTGTGACCCATGACATCACATGCCAATGTTTCTGCTTTTGAGTGGGTATGGATCTCAGCTCCTTGGGAAATACCTTCCTTCAAACCTGGTTGGGGACACTGTACTATCTCTTTCCCCTGTTCCAGTAGGTCATGAAGGTCCTAGCAAAAATTCATTGGGACAATACCAATTGCATCCTCATCATACCATGGTGGCCCAGGCAACCCTGGTTCCCTCATCTCTCCAGCCAGACCTTTCTTGGGTATCAGGCTTGAGCCTGATGTCATCTCTTGGAACTAAGGAGCCATCCCTCATCTGGAGATCCATACACTCTGACTCATGGTATAGAGAATCTGGCCCTAGTCCCCAACATAGCCTGTATGAGGAGGTCTGGCCAATTGTGGAAGTGGCCCTGAAGCCAGTCACAAGAAGCTCCTACTGTGCAAAGTAGAACACCTTCACTGACTTTTCCATGCAACATGAATTCAAGCCCCTCAACTGTTTCATACAAGTTCTTCTGTTCCTGAACTCTCTTCTCCAATGCAGCTTCAAGACAACATCCATCTGTATCTACAGAGCCACAATTTTGTCTTTCCATGGCTCTGGACCAGGGATTCTTCACCTTTTCTCACAGCTCACCCACTAGCTCCTTAGGGGCCTCAAGAACCTTGCCCCCCCAACCCCCACCACTGGCTTGGAGTCTATACATTGGCCTTCAGGCTCTCATGAAAAGACCCTTTGAGCCTGTGGTCACTGCAGACTTAGAAGCCTGCCTTCCTGGTGGCAATCATCTCAGCCTGCTATTCTAGCAACCTGCATGCACTATGTGTTGACTCACTGTTCCCCATCTTCCTCAGGGACAAAGTGGTACTCCACCCCAACCCTGCCCTCTTCCCCAAAATAGTATCTGCCTTCCATCTCAGTGAGGACATTGTCCTGCTAGCTTTCTTTGCAGCACCATTGGGTCCAATCAAGCCTTTTACAAAGCTAGGACCAAAACCTGCAGCCACTCATATGCTACAGTGGTGGGAGCAAGGGCCTCCCCATCTCCTAACAGCAACTGACAAGACGGTTATCTCCTTAGCCTCTGAGCTAGCCTGTCTCCAACCCTCAGGGCCAATAGGGGCTCACTTTACTTGAGCGACACTAACCACCACAGCATATCTCTGCCCAACCTCTGCAAGGCTGCCACCTGGTCAAACCTGGAAGCACTACCACCTCGATGTCTGAGCCAGAGTGGACTGTGCCTTTGGCAGAGTGGTCGTTTCATTGGTCCTTCAGTAGCAACCCCACCTGCCTCCGTGGGCTAAGCTCACCAGTCGCCTGTATGTGTGATGCACAGACCACAAAGAAGAAAGAAAGGTTGCTTACCTGAAACTGTCATTCTTCAAGTGGCCATATGCACATTCATACAAAACCTACCCTCCTTACCCTGATTGGTATCACCTGCCGGTGGCTCAGTTATCCACACTAAAGTCCACCTAGGCCCAAGGGCTCATTCCTCTGACATTGGGCCACAATGGTAGTATCATGACTTTTGAACTGAGGATCAGGCAGGAGCCACTTCCTCATGCCTGGGCACAGCCAGGTACGGGTTCCTGCCGAGTAAAAGCTGTGGAATCTTCCCGAACAGGCTCCATGCATGCACAGAGCCCATATGTGTGAATGCACAAATAACCACATTTACAGGTAAAAGAGCTTGCTTTTTTTTTCTCCCTACTTTCCAGTGTGTTTCCTTCTGCCTCTAGTTTCAACCCAGTATCCATGTTCTTTATGAAAAGGAGTTGATTTTCTTCTGGATTTTCTCCATTACCAATCTGTGCTGTTTATGAAAATGTCATTATCATTTCCTTAGAGGGAAACAGAAAAAGCTGTGCTAGAGAGCTTGATAAAATTTAGATAATGCTTTGGAAATAAATATATGTACTAATATACACACACACACATATATATATGGAAAACAATTAATCAGATAATTATAAATAAAATATATTTAAGTTCATTTTAGGTTTAAGTTTAAATTAATTGGCAATTGCCAATTTAAAATATCAATCTAGTAATTCAGAAATAGTAATCACAGGAATAATGAGAAGATATTTAAATAATTTCAATATCAATTAAGAAAAGCCTATTTATAAAATAAGTTTGTTGCATGATATAACATTTTAATATAATAAATACTGTTGGAGCAAGATGAAAGTCAAATAGCCTCATCGAGTAGAAATATCTAAATTTCATGAATTATTCAATTTCAGTATAACACGTTCCAAGTTCCTGAATTTAATGAATTACCCAGCAGAAAATCCTTAACAGCTTTTACCAGTCTTCAAAGTTTCCATATAGGATTTTTTTCCAAGATGAAAACATGCTGTACTGGGCAACCAATGCAACCAAAACCAAGGAAAATAAAGAAAATTATATTATTTTTTCCAGTGCAAACAACTGTGGTTCACAGCCTTACTTGTTAGGCACCATTTAGGTGCAAAAGAGTTGAGTCTGAGTCTAAGCACATCCAGAATTCTTTTATGTATCCTTGAAAGTCTTAGTGTCATTGAGGTGCTGCCTTAGCAGTAGCTCAACTTTCAGTCTAGTAAACATACATCTTATGTAACATACATCTTAATGTCCTGCCCTCCCAGCTCCCAAGTGGATTAAGGGTTAAGGAAACTTTCCCTTCAGGCACAAACCAAAACACTGCTCCCCACTGTGCTCCCTCTGGGACCAGTGCTTTTTAAGTTACTCATAAATGATCTAGAAGTAGGATAACTGGTATCATGGCCAAATTTTGAAAGGACACCAAATTATTCAGGGTGATGAAAATAAAAGCAAATTTTGCATTGCTCCAAAAGGAACTCTCCAGCTTGAGTGAATATGCAACAAAATGGCCAGTATAGGTCAGTGTAAGTTAACTGTAAAGTGATGGGATCTGACCTGGCTGTTTCTAATTAGGAAAGAGCTCTTGTAAATGTAGTGAAAAGTTCATTGAAACAATGAAATGACAACCCATCGTGGGTGAAAAGCTACAGTAGGCTGTTATGTCTTATAGATCCAGACTGCTTACCACAGCATGTCTTGTTTGAGGGCCACAAGCTAACCTGACAACCCATGGGCTTGTTTGAGGAGTTGACCAGCACATGATGAGTATTATCTGCACCCAGGTGCCCATCCTCATTGTGGGTACAGGGAAGTGGCAACTTAGGTGCTTGACAAGTGCCTAAAACATCCTGCTGTTTTTGCTAAGTTTGCCTGGGCTACCACTAGTGATGGCCACCACATCAATGCTCAGGCAGCACAGTGGAGCAACTCTTACTGGCTTCATGAGCCTTGCTGATTATGAGCCCTTTGGCACACACTACAACTTCGCCCTATTTTTCTCCCTCTGTGTGTGTTTAGGAGATTACTTTTCATAATCTCCAAAATGCCCAAGCATCACACTGGAGAGGTTTTTACTGGTTTGTGTCTTTGTGTGCGTGTGCCCCAAATGTGCACAATTTTGTACTTTTTTAACATTTAGTTGGACTTGTGCAATTGCAGGGTATTTACTTACATGGATCTGAAATGGGAAACCTCACCTGGGCAGTGTCCTGGGAGGTACCTAATGGACAATGATGCAGAGAGTTTGCACATAGGGTTGTTTTTTTACCTTGCTTTCCCTGACAGCTGACAAAAGTTGTGTTGTCAAGAGGAGGTGAAGCTGCAAGTGATCTTTGCACATGAAAGAGAATAGCCACACTGAGATCATATACACTTTTTGGCTGGACCTGACTCCTTCACCTTTTCCTCAGCTTCTAGGAGCTTGGGAAAGTAGAAGAATGCAAGCCACCCCTTTTTATGGTAGCATGGGAATCTAAACCAGCCCTGTTAAAATGGGAATTTTGACAGGGTTAACCACAGTGTTTTGACAGGGATGTATGTATATATATATTTCCTGTACAAAAGGAAAAAAATTGAAAGAAAGTCTTGAGTTTTGATAGATTTCCTTCTCTCTCAGCTCATAGAGATATAGGCAGATACACTTTGATAGGAACATAGTGGCATAAAACAAATGACCAATTTTGTCCAGTAGCAGCTGTCAGTCTGGCACCAGTATGATTATTTAGCTTATTTTAAATAACACTCATTAATGAACTGATTTTAGTTATATTCTTAATGGATATCTGTTTAAGAAAACTCAGTTGAATGATTGATTTCTTTACTCCAGAGCAGCCTCTGGGTGACTCTCGGAGAAAAGTAAGTGATTTTTGTAGACTCTGGTTCTGTGGCCTATTGCATGGAGATATGTTCGGTTCCTTGTGGACTCTTTGACTTTTTTCCATTTTACCTTATTTATACATCAAATGTTTTCTGCTTCACATGTGTGTGAACAAGGTTTCACCCTGGAAAAATGGTTTTGGTGTGTGGCATAAGGAACTATTTTAGCCATGTATCTTGGTATTCAAGTGGCAATTACATGATGATTCATTTCAGCCCTTTTTTAGAATGCCCTTTTAAAAGGGAAATTACCAGTGAGATTATTTATCAGCTATTAAGAGGGGGAAAAACACTCCCTCTTTTCTTCAGGTTATGTTCAAAATCAAATCCTAGAGAATTATGACTGGCCAAAGTTAACCTGCAACTGTCTTTTCATACAACTGTCTTTTCAAAACAGACCTTTCATTTCTCTCACAGAAGCTGCATACTTTGTCAGGGCTATAAATTGCCAGTGCCTTTACCCTAAATAATTTGGAGCTCTAATGACTATTCCACAACACCTCAATCAACACTATGGTGGCAGTGTCTCAAGGTGAGACAGCCAACTACCAGCACAACCCTATATATGCCTACCCAGGAGTAACTGAGGGTGCAGTCTTATATTACTTATTCTGTTAAGTCCAATTTCTGAGTAGACGTGCAAAGGATTCCATTGTTAGTCTACAAAATATTCTTTACATTCATACATAAAGAATATTCCTATGCATCAGCAAGATAATAGGCACATGAGATTTTTCCAGCTCTGACCTAAAGGTCTGTTTTGCTGAGAGAAACCTCTCAAAGTGCATGGGAACAGGAGGAAATAGAAGAAAGGCAGTCAAAATAGGGAAGCTGTGACTCATGGAACCAATAGACAGGACAGCCGAAGAAAAGCAGAGAGGACTCAGTGGATTGAGAGACAGGAGTGTTGCAACAAAGAGGTTCACAAGTAAATAAGGCGGAATTGGTTAGCAGCTAAGGCAAGAAAGGGCCTTAGACAGGAGGGATAGGGGAATGCATTTTACAGGTTCTAGCAACAGAAGTATCTACATCCAATTTGCAAGAGGAAGGGATGATTTGGCAAGTCTGAGAAGCTGAGCGAAAAGAAGGCAGGGATTCATGCTGAAGTAAGCAAATGGAGCAGGCAGTGAAATGAAAAGAATCTGAGCATATAAAGGCTAGAAGAACTTTTGTGTCAGAAAAAGTGGAACTGGTAGGAAATCCTATATGGAATCTAGGGATAGAAGAGTTTGTGGCTGCTAGCAGAAAGAGAATGCACCAGTAAGGGAGGATTTGGGGTACCTTGTCTAGGATGATAAAGATGCTAATTAGAGGATGAGGCTGGGGTAGAGGCTCCACATGGATTCTTTTTCTAGCCTTGGCGTTTTCCCAATTGCCTTAGTAAGTGTGCATCTGATTTCTCCAAAAGAGGTTTGGAAAAATATACATCTAGCTAAATGAGTTTCCAAAAAGCCATCTATTTAGAGGCTGGTATATTTCATAAAACAGTAAGTTTGGAATAAGCAGGTTTTTACTATTTCCTAAGTGTTTGCCGTTTACACCAAAAAGATCCAGTGTTGAAACCCTTGGAGGCAGCTGGATTTGATTTTCTTGGAGATGCTTTTTGTGTTCTGTACTTCGCGAGTAGCATTTTTATTTAAGATTTTTACATTTTTATAAAATAGTGCAACTTCAATAGAGTTCTTCTGCATGGGTAGAATTTTTACTGTTTCTTTGTGGAGATTTAGAAAATAGCCCATGACGTGTTGGGATGGGGAGACTGTTATACTCAGTTTGCTGGGAAATTTGTGTTTTGTGTCAAAATAATAGAGTTGCTTTTTTGTGCAGTGCAGAACTTCAGAGATGCTTTATTAATATGACCACTCCTATTTTAAATCATTTTTAATGCAATTCTATTCACAGTTGCCTAAGAGTAAGCCTTATTAAATGCCATAAGACATTTTTTTGGATTCTCCTGTTAGACATATGATTGTCCTTATGCCAAAGCTTGACCTTTTGGTCAGTTTGCTTCCACCCCTTGTATCTGGCTTTCTTTACAGGATCTTTATTTATATTATTGTAGTTCCTTATTTTAAAAGTGTATTTAGTATGTGTTACAGTTTTTGAGAGCAGCAGATTAACTATTGGTACATCTTGCCCAGAATTGTCTGCTTTGGCTAGCATTGGCTTTCCGCCATTTTAGGTAGAAGTATTTCCTTGTCCTAATTCCTAACCTCTTTCCAGCTGGAAATGTTGAAGATTAAGCCTGAGATATTGAGACTTCTTGTACATCTGAAAGAAACACTAAAATTGCACCCAGCTTTGTTGGTTGCACACAAATCCATATCTCAGTACCTAGATTTCAAATGTACGTGTGGAAATTTTGCATTTGAAGATTGAAAATGCGTTGGGTGTAAATTTATGAATAGTATTCTGGTTTAGAGGAGGAATGAAAAAAGCACTCCAACCAAGTATTCTAGATGCATAATCAAAAGAGGTAATAAAGGGGACAATACACAACACGTGGCGAAAGCAATCTTATCCATGTCTACTTGGAAGTAAGTCCCATTGAGTTCAGTGGGGCCTACATTCACAGGATGCAATCTTGTGGCTGTAAGATGCTGTCATAGGAAAGGTCAGAATTTGAATTCCAGCTCCAATCCTGAAAATACATTCCAAGGTCACAGCTGGAACTTCAGCTCAGAGTTCTGTCCTTCCACTTTCATAGACAGCATAGTACTGTCTGTGTCGGCTGCAACTCTGAGGATAGAAGATTAGGAGAGAGGGGTGTTCCAGGGGGTATGGTGGGGAGTGGAGGAGTGAGTCTCCTAAATGGTTTGGAGGACAGGAGGATTGTCAAGGTAATCTTCCCGTCTATGCTCTTCCTGCTTTCCATTGTATATCCATAATCCTCTGAGTTCAGAAGGTTATGGCCAGCCACACTGGATGACATCCTAGGTGACCAAATGCTTTGGAAGAGATGCAGTGAGAAATACAGTAAATCCTTATAGTAAAAAATCAAATTGGCTCCCTGCATCTGTTGAATAGTCTAGAAGTGGTATTTTAGAAAGAATCCTTCTTAACCAGACAAAAGCCACATTTCCCAAATGCATCTGTCAGTCTGATAATATGCAAAACTTTCATGTGGAAAAGCTTCTTTTGTCCTAGTAATTTTCTGTATCTTATTTTTTCCTTTTTCAGACCAATGAAGCAAGCTCAGAATCAATAGCATCTTCCCACAAAAGGGACACCATGAGCAGTTATCTTCCTGACATTAATTGCTATGAATTATTAACCATAATAGGTAATGTTTTCGTTCTGTGAAAAAACTCTATTTATCTTTGCAATGTCCTGATCTCTTTATTTTTCCTCAACTGACTTTGTCTTCTGAATCGAAAAATGAATATTGTCTTTTTGTGTAAATGTTGATTTGTTTAACAATAATAAGATAGCCTGCCATTTTAGTCCACACATGTACTTTAAACCATTAGATGACAAATGAAAAAAATACTTGCTGGGGACACTGGAAAAACTGAGATTCCTCTCTGTGTATTAGGAAGGGGAATAACAAGCCATGAGTGCTCATTGTCATTTTCACTTCTCTTGCCTCAGCTTCAGTACTTGCTTTGATTACCATTTTGCTGAAACTGAAGACAGCTGATTTGTTCTTAGTCAACCAAAAACTGCCCTGGGAGTGTTCTAGTCAAAATGGTTACTGTGGAAAACAGTTCACTCACATCTGTAGAGGTAGTCCTAACTAGTCATTCACATCCGAACATAAAGCCAGATTGGATCAGATCAGGGTCCCTCTAGGCCAGCATTCTGTTTACATACTGGGCAACCTCCTGCCCAGGATCCTTAACAACCTTGTGGAAGTGAATTCCATAGTTTAACTATGTGTCTTGGGAAGGCATGTTTCCTTGAATCTGTTCTGAATTACCTACCAGTCAGCTTCCCAAGATGACCCCAGGTTCTAGTATTCTGGTACATTCTCCACACCATGCTTAATTCTGTACACCTCTATCATGTCTCCCCTTCCTCACCCTTTTTTTAAGCTAAACAGTTTCAACACTTGTCACTTGTTCTCACAGAAGTTGCTCAAACCCCTTGATTATTTTAGTTGCCCTTTTCTGCACTTTTTCCAATTTTCCAATTTATTTTTTAGATGTGGTGACTAGTATTGTACCATATTTCAAGGGTGATCTTACCACAGAATTGTTTGTTTATTTATTAGATTTATATCCCATCTTTTTTTTTTGAAGAATTCAAAGCAGCCTTCCAAATTCTCCTTCCCATCTCAGCTTTATCCCCACAACAACAACCCTGTGATGTAGGTTGGGCTGAGAGTCTGACTGGCTACCTGACTGGCTCCATGGCTGAGTGCGGACTTGAACCCAGATTGCTTGCACCCTGGTCCCATGCTCTACACCACTATACCACACTGGCTCTCTCATAAGGGCAGTATGATAGAATCTCATTGGATATGTATAATTTCTCTTGTTTTCCAAGAAATTGGATAAAAGAATCTGAGTTACAGCAATTAACATTTTTATTTCTTTACATAAGGCACAGTCCTATGATCACTAAATGCTGTCTTACTAGCCATAGGAAAGGTCAGAGTTCCAGCTCTGACCTCAGAGCTTCGACCTTGAAATGCTCTCCTGCCACCCTTACAGCAGTCTGTGACTCTGAGGACAGAAGACCTCAGAGCTGGTGCTGAGTGGTACAGGGGCATTTCAGAAGCCAGCGGGGTGGAGTGAGGGTGCATTGGGATATGATATACTCATATCATGCTCACAGGAAGGTGCAAAATGATTAGATGGCCAGAATCAGCTATCAAACTGTTTTGGAGTGGGGGATAAAGCTAAGGTAACCCTCACCTCCATGCTTGTCTTGTCCTCCACTGGAAGGTTATAGCAACATGACTGAATAATACCCTTAAGTCATTTGCTTAACACTCTGTGTGTGTGTGTGTGTGTGTGTGTGTGTGTGTGTCTGTAAATAATCTCAGGGCAATATGTGTAAAAGGCAAAACACTGCCCATTTTGTGAGGTGGAATAATTTTTACTACTTCCAAATTCTACTTAGTGTATATACATAGAAAAGCTTTGAGGTAATTTAACTTCTTAGGATGGCATCCTTGGTGGCTGCCCATAACCCTCTACATTCATAAGATTCAGGGCATCCAATGGAGGGCAGGAGGAACATGGAGACAAGGATTGCTTCAGCATTCCTATTGCCCTTCAAAATGAGAGAAGCACAAGTCATTTGTTTTATTTTCTTTTTATTGTCTTTTGATTTATCGATTTATTTATTTATTTAAAACTTTTGTATGCCATCCCTTATGTCTTGGCATCTCAGGACGGCTCACAATCCATAAAATTGAAATACAATAAAATCACATATATGAATAACATAATTCAATAAAAAATTACATAAAGGACAAAATCAAAGTGACTGTTCGGCACAATTAAAATATTAATTTTTATAATAGTGATTACATAAAAAGGTTTTGACCTGGCGCCAAAAAGAATATAAATTCGCTGCCAGGCTCCCCTCTTCAGGGAGCACATTCCATAATCTGGGTGCCACCACAGAGAAGGCCCTGCTCTGGGTAGTTGTTCTTTTTATCTCCTTTAAAGAGGGCTCCTGGAGCAAAGCCTCTTCTGCAGATCTTAAGAGGCGTGAGGGCATGTAAGGGAAGAGGTGCTCCTTCAGGTATCTGGTCCCAAGCCGTTCAGGGCTTTACAGGTTAAAACCAGCACCCTGAATTGGGCCCGGACTTCAACTGGAAGCCAGTGTAGCTGGTAGAGGACTGGCATTATGTGAGAATAATGACCGGTCCCCATCAGCAACCTGGCAGCTTTGTTCTGTACCAGCTGAAGTATCTGAACCGTCTTCAAGGGCAGCCCCACATAGAGTGCATTACAATAATCCAACTAGGAGGTTACCAGAGCATGAATCTCCGTTGCTAGGCTGTGCTTGTCCAGGTAAGGGCGCAGCTGGTGGATCAGCCGAAGCTGTAGGAAAGCACTCCTTGCCACCCTCACCACCTGGGATTCCAGTGATGGCTCTGGGTCAAGGAGCACTCCCAAGCTGCAGACCCTGTCCTTTAGAGGGAGTGCTTCCCCGTCCAGGACAAGGTCAAAGTCACTTACCTGAAACCGCAATCCGCCCACCAACAGGACTTCTGTCTTATCTGGATTGAGGCTCAGTTTATTGGCCCTCATCCAGCCCATTACCTTGGCCAGGCACTGGTTCAGCACAGCCTCCTCACCTGGAGTAGATGTAAACGAGAGGTAGAGCTGGGTGTCATCAGCATACTGGTGACACCGCAGCCCAAACCTAGTGACCTCTCCCAGTGGTTTCATGTAGATGTTAAAAAGCATGGGAGACAAAATAGAGCCCTGTGGAACTCCGTGGCACAACTGCCATGGTGTAGAGCAATAGTCCCCCAGCACCACCTTCTGGAGTTGGCCAGCCAGGTAGGATAGGAGCAGAACCACTGCCAAGCAGAGCCTCCTACTCCTAACCTGGCCAGCCTATCCAGAAGGATACCATGGTTGATGGTACCGAAAGCTGCTGAGAGGTCCAGGAGAACCAACAGGGACGCACTCCCCTATCCCTCTCCCTGCACAGGTCATTGTACAGGGCGACCAAAACAGATTCAGTGCCATAACCTGGTCTGAAACCGGACTGAAATGGATCCAGATAATCTGTTTCATCCAAGAGTGCCTGGAGTTGTCCCATCACCACCCACTCTAACACCTTGCCCAGAAATGGGATGTTGGCCACCGGTCTAAAATTGGTGGCCACCTCTGGGTCCAGGGATGTCTTCTGCAGGATAGGCTGTATCACCACCTCCTTCAAGGGGGTAGGGACCTGGCCCTCTCTCAGTGAGGTGTTGACAACCTCCCGGACCCAGGGACCAATCCTGTAACTGGCTTCTTTAAGTAGCCAAGAGGGGCAAGGGTCCAGGAGACAGGTGGTGGGACATACCATTCCAAGCACCTTGTCCACATCATCAGGCTGCAATAACTGAAACTCATTCAATAATGATGGACCAGATGGCGCTCTGGACACCTCCTGTACTGGATTCAAATCAACTTTGCTTTATGATACTCGAAGATGGCACAAAAACAAAACATAATTAGTATATAAATGAGACTCTGGCTATAAAAAGAAGTAAATAAAGATTTTAAATCTTTACAGTCTATACAGTTTTAAAATATAGATGAAGAAGAAGAGTGGTCATCCCTAAATTCTGCCTTAATGAAGATTTCAAAATTGGACAAGAGAAAGCAATAATGTTTTTCTCAGAAGTTTTTTGTCGCCTACCAGTTAAGACTATGTTGAACCTGTTTGTGTGATTACTTTACCTCTATCTTTTCAGGAAGGGGATTTGAAGATCTAATGACTGTGAATTTGGCACGATATAAACCGACAGGAGAGTTTGTCACTGTCCGGAGGATCAATTTAGAGACCTGCACCAATGAGATGGTGGCATTTTTGCAGGTAGATTTAATAGTCTTGTGCAGAGTTAGTTTGGTTTGGCCATCCTGGAGATACTCAATCTGGTTGGATTAGGACTACTGTGTGACAAATTTCTGACATTCCCCTGCAATTCTGTATAGCTGAGGTCAGGCAAAGCCTGAACCAACAAGCCATTGTGAGTCTCATCATGTCTTATTCGACAGTGGCTGAATATAGAATCAGAGAAATGATCAAGCCAGTCAGACAATACATTACCTCCTGTGTTTCCTCAGAAGTACTTTCACAACATCTTCCATGGTGGAACTGCTGTTAGAGTTACCTGGATTTTGCACCAGGAACCTGGTACCCTATTACTTGAGTCCTTCCAGTGGAATCATAGGCACATTCACTCAGAAGGTAATACTACTGAATTCGGTGCAGCTTTCTTCCTGGGCACTGTGCTTAGGATGACATCTTCAATCTTAGAAATGGTTCTTGTGAGCTTTGTGGAAGTGGACCGACCCCTTAGTTGCTATTAGGGAAATAGTCATTCTTCCAATGAAACCATAGGGGCTAAGCAAGTGTTCTCTGTGCATCACACATATAGGCTGTGCATGCATGTGTGGAGCCTGTTTGGGAAGAATCCAAAGCTAATTATTTGGCAGGAATCCCTCCCTTGGGCATGCCTTGGCATGAGGGTGGGCCCGCCTGATCCTCAGTTCTTCAACTGCCATCATGAGTACATCAGGAAGTTCCTCTTCTGCTCCTTGTAGCTGCACACTTACCTTTTCTTGTGTGCGTCCTTTCCTTTCTGACTAAGATCTTTACCCTCTTTTCAGACTCTTATTTCTCTTTTTTCCTCATCCTAAAAAAGGCTAAAAAAGATATATCTGTTTATTTGTCCCAATTTTTCCTCTTCTTCCTTACATCTCGTGCTCCCTCCCCTTTGCCTTGCCTTCCCAACCCCACAGCAGCACTCAAAGCTCCATTTAGAAATTGCTTGAGTTGTGGTAGCACACTGCCTCCAGCTGACAGATACTCGCTTCGTCTCTTCTGCCTGGGAGAGAGCCACGTGCTACCACTGTCAGACCTTCACCAAGCGAGCAAACACTGGGCTGACTGCCTGACAGTACAACTCTGGAGTAGAGCCCTCCGTGGGACTGGCTCCTGCCAAATGCCAGAGTAGTCATCAACAGTGAGCCCCCCAAAGTCATTTTCAGCACCCTCCACCATGGGGGCATGTCCCTCTTCAGCTGCTCCCCCATCTGTTCCCTCCTTTTCTGCTGATTAACCACATCCTCACAAGCTTGATAACAGATGAAGCCAAAAGGTTCCTAATCACAGCTTGGTGGGCAAGACAAGTACAGTTACACTGCTTCTCAATCTAGCAGGAGGAAATTTCCCCCATTTCCCATTGATTCTGAACTTGCTGTTTTGGAACAGAAGGCTGCTCTGACACCCAGACGGCAATATGCTTTAGTTGAGCTGTAGAGAATCCATTCGTAACACACCAGTTGAATTTGCATCATGCTCTCCAAGAAATTCTCCTTGCTGCTTGGAAACCAGCCCTCTTATGCTCACAAGTGGACTGTCTTTTCCTCCATTTCATCTGATGCTAAGGTGGATCCTGTTTGGTGCTCTGTATTGGCCATGTTCCACTGTTTGTCCTCTCTTTCTTTGACAAAGGCCTCAGCTATGCTTCTCTATACATTTGCTTGGCAGCAATCTCAGCTATCTTGGAACCAAGCCTACACACTGGTTTCAAGCAGATGGGTTTTTCATATTGGCCAGTTCTTCCTATGGGTGTGAACCATTTCACCCCGTTTCACTCACTGTTGACCTGGTGGAGTTTGCCACTAGTTCTTCGGGCCCTAACACTGAAGTCTTTCAAACCACTTGCAACAGTGGATCATTGATTCCTTTGAAATGTGGTGTTTCTCATCATTCTTACATCCAGCTTGCAGGTCTAACAAACTGTGTGTACTCATAATGTATGCCCTGTACTTTGACTTCCATAAAGACAAGGTTGTCCTTACATAGCCTTTCTACCAAAGATCATCTCTAATTTTCATTTGATTCAGGACATTATTTTCTCTGTTTTCTTTGCCTCCCCCACCTCACCAGCTCACCATTCCTTTGGCATCAGTAATGCTTTAACATTCTACAAGTCTTGAATGAAGGCTTCTCAAAAAACTCCCAGCCTCTTTTTATGTTATTGGGAGAAACAGAAAGGGTTTCCTTCTCACTGGGTGATATTTTGGGTTGAGTTGTCCGGACCATCAAATTAGTCTATTATTTGTCTGTTCTGGAACATTCAGGAGCGTATTCAACACAAGGAGTTGCTACTTCCACTATATTGTTGCATCAAAGCTGTTTACATTTATCCAGCATTGTAGACTGGACATATAATCCTGAAGTGACTGCTCTTTCAGCCTTGCAGTCCTTTCTTCTTCCTGCAGTGATGCCCATTTTCTAGCAAGTCAGCCAGCTTATTACTTGCCCACATGTGTAATGCACATATACAATGAAGAAGAAAAGTGGGTTGCTTACTTAGAACAGTAGTTCTTCAAGTGACTGTCTGTGCATTCACACAATGCACCTGCTGTTCCCATTTCAGTATTGATCTCCACTTCAATGATTGACTGAAACCAGTCTTTCTGTTTATTAGCATCAGTGCCTGTATTGATTTTGTTACCCAATCACTTCCTTGGTTTCCAAGCCATAATCAGGGGCCTCAGGGAACTGAGGAAATAAAGTGGGAAACTGTTAAGGACATGCATCATTGGATGGTGTACTCAGCTTGAGTAACTTCCTCAATGAAGCTTCACAAAGGCCCAGAACTCAAATGTGTGAATGCACGGATGATTGCCCAAACAACAGCAGCTAGCAGTCTGCCTTCTTAGGTTGCAGTGCATTGGTCTGGTAATACAGTAATGCATCTGAGTTTTCATTTTTCATTTGTTATTAGAAGTTACTGAAAGTGATACTCCTTTAATAACATCTAAATAATGACAACAATAAATATTGTCTGGGTTTGCACAAACCAGTGCTTGATTGTGACTAGTGGATTTCCACATTGTGCAGACTTGGAAAGGTTCCCAAAGAGTGGCTTACTTTCCCCCAACAATCCTCCGTCAGAACCCATGGCTTGTTTTAGAGTTTATTGAATCTATGATGGTTTTTTGTGTTGTCTGAACCTAGGTGCCCAACCCCATCATGAGTTGCAGGAAGCAGTGAATGAGTTGCTTGTCAAGAACCTCTTGCCAAGGTCACCTGGGCCACTTGCACTTAAAGCCACACCATCACGTACCCAAGCAGCAGTTTGGAGTTACCATCATTGGCTTGCTGTTCCCTGCTCTGATTATGATCTCCAAAGTGACCACCAGTGACAGCCCCTCCAAAGTGCCCAAACTGTCATTGGTCCATCTTTTTTTCTTTTTGCATCAGAAATGTGGACAGATGTTTTCACTGATTTTTGTTGCTGATATTTTGGAGTTGTGCAAGCATACATCGCTGCCTGCCCGAAATGCAAAGCCTTGCTGGTCAATGCCTCGGTAAGTGCCTGGTGTCAAAGCAGGCAACGTCCATGGACATTGACAAAGCCTGGCTCCAAATACATTACTTTACTTTTACTTGACAGCTGTCAAACAGCAAACTGTCAAGCAAAACTGTGAGAAGATGGTTTAAGAGGTTTAAACAATGAATTGCATTAAACAATTTAAAACAATATATTAATTCAGAATTAAAATGGCTCTGTCAAATGTTTCCCTTCCACATATTTCATGATATTGGTTTTCAATGCTAGATTTAATAAATTTCAAGTCTTCCACCACATTATTTTATTTAATTTTGCATAATTTTAATTAGGTATATGTCTTGGTTAACCTCTTTTCAAACTGTTTCTTTCCTACTAAAAATCTGAGGCAATACATTCAATTATAAGCAAAATGCTATTTTCTTGCTTGTTTGTTTTGAATTGATCTTGCTATAGGGTGGTGGTGCTTTTTATTACTGTATTTTTATTTTTAATTGTGCCACTCTTTGTGTGCTGAATTGGAAAAATAAATTGTTGTCTTTTATTGAGTGAGACTGTGAAACCATGTCAGTTTGCAAGTGGCTTTACTTCTTAAGTATCCATAGCTTTGGAAGTTTACTTGTGCTCATTTGCTAAGAATCAACTGCTGTGTTGTCATTTTGTTTTCAGGGTGAGCTTCATGTTTCAAAATTCTTCAGCCATCCCAACCTCGTGCCCTATAAAGCAGCCTTCACAACTGACAACGAACTGTGGGTTGTTACATCTTTCATGGCCTATGGTAGGTATGGTGTAGGTCTTCCTCTGTTATTAGAAAGGTCCTTTTTATGTGTCCGTGATGAAACCTCTAATGCAAGGGTGTATTTGTGATGTTGGCAACATCAGAAAAAATGGGAGGTGGGGAAAGAGGGGGCAAAGCAAATTTCTGGATGGGAAATATGTGTCCTGCTTTTTCAATTGGAGAGAGAAATAATGGTATATTTCACATTAATGGTTACCTCCTAAACATATTTTATTTGAAATCACGCTTATAGATTTTGAGGAAGTTAATGTAGGTGATATAAATTCTGTTTTTATCTAACAACCAACCATCTTTAAATTGTAGTAATAAAAATAAGGAAAAGAACTTCCAAACAAGCTAGAATTCTTACACAGTGGTGCCTTGTACTTCAAAATCTATTTGTTTCAGGAGGCCATTTGAACTCTGAGTTGTTCAAAGTCTGAATCAAT